AACAAACAACTCCTAATAAGGCATTACAATACAAGTATGTACACAATAACAAAATGCAACAAATACCAACATAAAAAGGTGAAGAAATAATTTTAGATCAGCTGCATAGATAAACCCTCATTCATATATAGAAATGTGCAATAAAAATGGCAAAGAACTGGTATCGGTATCAATAGCAACAGGGAAAAGCAATACATAAAGGCAGACAACAATCCTTATACAGTAAACAGAGCGGTCGTACGAATTCAAAATAACTAAGTTATGAGCTCAAGAAAGCGGACTGCAAAACGGAAGTATAGCGGACGACCTTCCCTCCGATACACACAGGTATATGTTGACGTGCGACCACTAATAAAAAAAACAAGACAAATGTAAAGTCCTACATATGTACGACAAGCCAGTATGATATGCTATCGTATGAAAAGAAAATATACAAATGCCGTAGCATACTCAATGTAAACAGACTTGTGAATATTGTGAGCACTTCAACTTTCTCCGTGTGATGGGCCGTCAATCATCATAAATTAGAGACGATTTTCCTGTTATCACTTAGATATAACTTCATGGTTAAATTCAAATAACCTCAAAATAAAATTTATAAGTTCTGATTGCATTATCATAGAAATATGCATAATATATTTTTTCTAAAATTTGACATGATCATTTAACGGTTTGTAGTCACAGGCATCACAGTTTGTTGACGTATAAAGAGTATGACATAGGAGTCTATTTATATTTTTGCTTTACGCAGTCAGTACCTACAAGTTGGTGAATCAACAAGAAAAAAATCTATAATGGATTGTTGACATTGACACTGACGCATAGCCATGGAAGTTTACCGATAAAAGTTGGATAAAAGTCATTAAATTGAGTCGTTAAGTCTACGGTTCAATTTCAATGCAATGATTTGAAGTTATTTGTATTCATTCAGAATCCTTTTTAAAAACTGTGTCCCCTGGTATCTGTTAAAACTGAGATAATTGCTAACTAAGGTTAATTCGTAATAATTAAGCACGTACCAGGATTTTTAAAATATGGTCAATATGGTAGAGTGCTGTTCATCGGAAATGAACAATTCTTTAAAATGATAAATGATAGGCCGAGTGAAAACAACGGACGAAGTATGCAACGTAACCAGACGTCATTAGTTGGCGCGCTTGCAGGAAATCGTACATTATGAGTGAAAACTGAGCATTCTGCATTTTCAACTGAACGGTGAGGATACTCATGTCGAGTCACATAAACAGTAAGTAGTAATAGATGAGTAATGGTCAATATTTTCTCAACGCCAGGGTAATGCACTGGCGGCGTCGGCACGGTATAGACTGGTTGGGTACTATTGTCCGTAATCACAGCACATCTCTATACACACCCCACTATTAGGGAACAATATTGAAGGTTCTCAAAGGTCTCAATCAGTCGATGTAACTACTTTGTTGCTTGTTTATCGATTTTGTACAACTACAGAGAAACATTACGATCGCTCAAATGTGGTGCTCTGAAATTGTGTCAATATTTGGTAGGTATGACTAATAACATGAAATTGATTATGTGGATTTTTTAAGTTACGCTCTTAATATAAAATGTATAAGAAGGATTATGTTCATCGAATGAGATTCAACAATTTGTTTCGATGTAGCGGTTCATAAACATTTTTACCTCGTGTTGTGTTGGCGTAGAAACTAACGATCTCTAATTTCGTGTTTAATCCGTTTGTTACCCACATATCAGGCGTGTCAGACATCTGTAAGTAGGTAGTATAACATTTGACTTGATCTCACACGTCATCTTCGTCTTCAATCAAAAGGGTCGACCTTTTCACAGCGATTAGAAAACAGCTATTTAGCTGATTTGTAAAAAATCAACTACCAAAATGAAGCTTTCATTAACCGCTCTAACTTTCTACTATAGATCTTATACGGAAGTTACATAGAGCAGAGATAAGTGGACAGTGTGCGATAACATCGACTCGATGTACACTCCATAACAACGCTAATTTATTGTCGTTACAAGTTACAAGAGACCCCCAACACTGGGATTACTTGACAGTGTAATGAAATAACTAATTTAAAACTGAAACACATTCGTAACAAACGAATGAAACTGAAAATTATAGAACTAGAGTTATCGAAATGAACATTTCCGTCAATTTGTTTTACCGAACAATAACAGATTGACGTTTAATTAAGCTTATTGCTTATTGTGTCACGAGCCTGACATCTGAAATGGAAATGTATCGGAGCTTTAACCAATACTTATAATTAAATTGATTTTAGTGTAATTAGTAGTCAGAAAGCTTACGTACGAAGCATAAAACAAGCAAACTTCTTGATAACTTCATGTAAATATTATGTCATTTAGATGTTATCAACCTATTACAGTCATTTCGAAGATTTATAAAATTTTTCGATCTCGGCCAAGGAGGAAAGGAAATCGATTTAGGAATTCTAAGTGGTATGTGTGGCTAATTCTTACAGAATTACATTTCTTTGTCTTATTTATAGTAGGCCAGTATTAACCGCTTAAATGCACCGATATGAGATACAATAGAAAATACATTGTGTCTTGCGTGGATCCACGTTAAGTAAGACATGACGGGTTAATAGAATTAGCCATTTATATCGGTTTATTATTCCATATAGCATCGCTACCTAATTGACTTTGGCGTTATGTCGATATTGCAAAAAGACTAACCTAATCAATAAAAAATGCGATAAGCAGATATGCATCAGCTTTCGGTGCATTAACATTCATATTGTCATGTACCTGTGTACATTAGAATATGTAATCGCAACATTACATCCAAAACAAAAATGCTTTGTCTCGTGTACGAATATTATTATTTACCTGCGCATTATTATTTTGTTTACACTCGTACAAGAGGCAAATGCACACGGATAGCAGTTAAATTCAACTTGACTTTTATGAGTTTCGTGAAGAATTATACGATAAATACAGTAGCAGGTGACGACACCATCAAAAATAAACCTAATGTGGTATTCTAATACTTTACATTCCACACACGACAAAGCACAAAGGAATTGCGATTTTTTCTTCAAAACTGCCATGTTAAAACAAAACTTTATTGTCTAGACGTGGAACAATATTTTTTATACGAAATATTTAGAACAAATTAGTCATTCACAGTCCGTCATTTAAATTTACATATGTTGAATCATTAATCGATCGAGCCATTTAATCAAAGTACCTGGTTAAGCTTGCAAAGTTGTACTTGTGTGCGAAATGTGTACAGCATTTTTATTGTTATTTTAGCCATTACAGTCTTCTGTCTTAATAATTAAATGTAGCAGGAAGTAATTATCCGTCAAATATGGTTAATTACCAATCAATTTACAATCATTGTACTTAATAGGCATTCTTCGCATATTTTTCCGAAGATCCCATACATTCCATGTGAAGGTCGGCTCACTACCAGCTACCAGCAGCAGTCTTTAACTATCGTATATATTTTTGGTTTGTTTCTTCACCTTAACTTCAAATCCATACTACTTTTTGCTCCAAAATCCATTACTTGTATCCAAATTCAATTGATTTCGTTAACAATATTTTTATCTTTCATTATGTAAGAATACTTACAGCACATTTAGGTTTTGCAAGATTTTCAAGCATACTACAGATGTATGATACCAAACTACCGCGTTAAAATCTATCTCCACCGTCTTAGTAAGTCTTGCCCAAAGTTAGGCTCAGGTCAAGACCATAAAGTCAAAAGATTTATTAATAAATATACGCTTATATTAAACCCCTTTCAGAGGTCTTAGTACGAGTTTCTTTTACGTTGAAAGTAATCGAAACGAGTACGCGTTCGGCACTGTGATTGGCCGGCTCCAATGAACCAACCAATCAGAGCGCCAGACGCCATCTCGTTACGATTAATTTAAACGTAAAACAAACTCGTACTAATGCCTCTGATGTTTTGTTAGAAATTACGTATAGGAGCGGGTTGGGCGATAATGAAATAAAAAAGAGGTCTGTTGGTTATGTCGTGTAGACATATCACTTTAATAAACTTAATCACAAACATTCCGCGTAGGTTACCTTAATAAAAAACACTATAAAACGTAAATCTTCAACTTAATTTACAAACAGACCTAATTTCAATGAAATTATTTAACAATATTAATCAAGATCTCTTGCATTTGAATGTCTTAGAGTAAAATAAATAAATACAAAACTATTCTAGATTAACTGTAGCTTAACAAATAGGTATAATTAAATCTGCATTGGTGTCTGATAGACACGTGTCTGAATTTTTACTCTAGTTTTGATATCACATAGTACAAAAATACTATACATAAATTGTTATTATTGTCGCAGATAATTTAATATCATGATTCGTCAATGAAAAGATTTATGAACAAAATATTAGCTCACAATGAGCTTCTATAACAGCTTTCATTTGCTTATTAGGTACAATTTTAGGGCGAAGAAATGATGTAACATTTAATTAAAACGAGTTTCATAACTTACTAAATAATTAATTAGTAGCTAATTAGTCACTCTAACTTCAAAAGTATCGCAAACAATCTTCTTTGCTTTCGGTCATTCGTGTGTTGTCATGTAATTCACTCTTGAATTTCAAGAGAGAGAAATCTTCTCATAGATACTCCAGTTTCTGAGACGACGTGTGTCATTGTATTTAACAACTAGCGGCCTGCCCTGGCTTCGCACGGCTGTACTAAATAGACTATATTAATCCATGATCAATAATGTAGCATTCAAATAGGAAAACAATGTTTAAAAACGATCTAGTACTTTTTGAGACAATTCGTTACAAACATACTTACATACAATTTTTTTTGTCTTTATAATGTTAGTATAGAAGTACAGAAGTATAGAAATAGATAAGTCAAATTGAAGAAATTGTATATAGTACAGTGCTTATGTAAGTACAAACAGATTTGATATTGAAAAATAGCCTATATGATGTATGTATAGAGTTTAAATTCCACATATGATACATGTTCAGTTCTTTTGGTTTACTTCTTGGGATCTCTGTAGACGCCCATGAAGAGGATAGAGTTGGTGGGACGTTCGTAGATGAGGTACACGAATGGGAAGTTGGCCACGAACCGAGTCGGCTCCGCAGGCCTGGATGAACGGAAGCCGAAGATTGCTGTTGCTGCAGCTGCTACAGTACCTGTAAAATTACAATTTACTTTAGACTAAGAATGTATATAACAATGCACTGACTGTAATTCATTCAGTAAAAATCTTAAAATGTCACTGTTACCGAATCATTTACTATAAGCTTAATGTGTGCAAGGACAAGTTCAGTATTATAAAATCATAAATAAATATAATGTGCTACCTAGGTACAGGTACCAAGGCACTTTTACTATTGGTTTCTTCCATTGTTATTAAAATATGTCTATGTAACTAATACTTTGAACGCCCAGCTAATAAGTACCGAACATTAAAACACGACAAAACGTGTAGATACATTGTTTTCCTTGTAATCTTCAAATAGTGAAAGTTAAGAGTGATTCAGAAACATGAGAGTGGAATATATAAAGATCATGATGATGAGTTATGAGTTGTAATTTAACAATGACTTGCAGAATAAATCTGTGAGCCTTGAGGACTGATTGATTGGTGGTTTGGTTTCGTACCTTCTTCGTCAGTCTGTATCTTCGCCTTGTGAACGGCATCGTCAAAGAGAATGCCACGCTGTTCCGACAACGTGGTGAAGTCAGCTGTCGCATTGAACAAGTCGCCGACACCTAATTTTTCCAACACCTGAAATAAACATTATATATATAGACAGCTATTTGTTGATGCTGTTATGTAGAATTTACAAAATCAAAAACAACTAAAAAAAGTCAGTTCAAAAGTTCAAGATAGATCAATATTAAAAAAGAGGAAGACTTATCCAGTTTTCTATCTTTATTACCTTCTTTCTGTTTTTACATTTTAGCTTCTTTACTTTCAAACATAGGAAAGACAAATATTTCAATTGTCGTACAAGATATACAGAGTCATGATAAATAAATGTCATACTCACATCTCTTAAAGGCAGGCTCTTCTCGACGGTGAACTTGGGTATTTCAACAATGACCTCACGACCCATGTAACCTTCTTCGACGACAGAGGCCAGGCGCTCCGGGGTCAGGTTCGCGATAATGTTGGTGACACCTACGGACAAAGTTACATTGACCAATAAGTACCTAATAAATAATAATAATCATTATTTGCAAAGTCACTGTGAGACCATTGTAACCTCACAAATAATTGCGAAAGTTTCTGGTATTGTAAGTAGTACCTATAGGTACAGCAGAGATTTCTAAAAAAAATTGGCTCTTACAAAGGCACCATGACCTAAATTAACATATCCATTACATATAGCGAATGCTGAATAAGTATATACTTATATTTACTTAATTCTCTTTAAGACTATGGCTAAGTAACAGCAAATGTCTCGGGAAAAATCTACAAAAATAAATCAATTCTCATACGACGACTAGTCACAGGTCACAATAATAGCCACAGAGCAAATTATGATTGATGGAACTAAAGTACCAACAGGTCAAATAAAGCAAGAAATAATCCATGAGGTTTAAATTGGAATGTACCGTTACCAACCGAGTGAACTAGAAACTACGGTTTACAGTAAGTACCATCATTCGTATCAGATTAAGCACTTAGATCTGTATCCGACGTAAACGAAGTTGTGATAGCATCGAAAGTGTTTGTTACCGACTGCGGTAACAGCTTGCAAAAGAAGAAGAACTCTATTCAACTGCATTTTTTTATAATTATTGTATATCTTTGACTTTAATTAACTTAGCATTAATTAGAAGTCCATTATTAGAAATATGATCGTGGTATTGTTAAAAAATGGAAATCATAATAAGCATTGTATGTTAAACGCTGAGACATATTATCTAAAGACAGATCTTCCCAAAGTAAAAAAACTTATAAACAAGCTTATAAACAACTTTATACTTTACGAAAAAACCAAATAACGAAGTATCCATTGATAAATTTAGTATGTAATGGACAGTTAATAACATCTTTTATTTATTTCTGTACTAAAATTTCTGGACTATAGTTGAAATATTCATTCCCGTGGAGTTCTACAAAGTAAGAAGGATTTTAAACTCAATCGTAACTAATTCGATTTATCGGTTTTGTCATTTTTACATCCTTACATTTTAACCTCGCAAAACAGCATAAATAAAGGATGATTTAAAGTTGTAAATTATGCTCGTAGTTCCTTCCTAAGCCACATCGTGGAAGATTTTAGAACTAATAGATATTAACGGTTAATTCGAATCACAGCTAAAATTGTCGCCGCATATTCACGCGGCTGTATGGTATAATCTATTTTATATAAAAATGTGAATACAAACCTTCCTTCATAGAGTAAGGGGGCAGTAAGATGTACATGCTGATATCGTTGCCCTTGTAAGGCAGTTCCAAGATCTGGGCACCGAGCTCGTCGCTTACCACTGCAAATATAAATATGTATACATTTATTAGTCAAGGTTAGGTTCCACTTGAGGTTTATTTACTTGTTGTTTGAAGGTATGACCAACGGGTAAGTTATTGTCATGCATGCCTAGCTGTGCTACCGACTTGGACTCAACTTTTTCGCATAATGAACATTATGTACGACAATGGTAGGTTTTACATTTATTTTGTTTAATGACTCTATCCTTGTATTACGACCAAAAGGCAGATTATAGCCAAAAAGAACTTACTGTAATGGAACGTTCCCTTCTGCTTCATGAACGGTACGAGTGTCTGACGTGTCTCCGAAACAAAGAAGGCCTCCTTCTTTGTCCTCTCTTTGGGGAACTTGGAAGCCCACACTCCTTTGAAGTAGGCAGCATTAGCGAGCACCAACTTTGTAGCCTGCGTGATACCGTCCTCGGGTATCAAGTCCTTGATGTTGTTCTTGGTAATCCGACTAACCCAGTCGTTAATGTACGTGCGAGCTGCACTAGGATCCTCACGGAAGTTCTGCAAGCAATAATTTTATGCATTCAGTGATATTAATGATGTGTAATTGATTATAAAGTGTTCATTTTTATCGCAATTTATGGTAATTTCTGTTTGTATTTTAATCTTACCGAAAATATCGGCCAAGTCTACTTTTGAATGCTTAATGTTAGTCCTAAATACAGGTACTGCAGATAAACAGATAGTTACCAGTGTCTCCAGTTCCTCTCCGAACAGGTCCAGCATGCACTGGCGCACTTCCAGGCTGACGTCTGTGAACAGTTTGTTGGCGCTCGTGAACTCGTAGCTGTCGCTGTTGTTGTTGGCAGCGCGCGACCGCTTGTCAACCTTGTATGCCGTCATCAGGTTGATCTTGTCCTAGAATCGATACACACGTATATTTATTAGTGATATGACAGACTTAAACTCGTAGTAGTAATTCTTATTACTACTAGTCTGTAAGATAATTTGAGGATGTGTAAATATCCTCACCAAAATATAATTTTCCTGCTTCAAATCAACCGGTAATAAGCAGGTGGGTATCTGTTTTTTCCAATCGTGACGTGTATTTTCCTTAAACACTTATTTTTAGAATTATGTATGTATCAGGCAGAACCTACCATACTTTCAGCGATCCGCAGAGATTCCTTCAAGGAGTGTTCAGTTTGTCCACCAGCGGAGAAGTAGGCGAGCATGAGCGTGTGGTAAACAGAGAAGGGTGAGAAGAAGATGTTGTCGTCGGGAACAGCTTTGTTAATGGCGTTGAACAAGTTCAGAGTGAATGCCAGCTGCCCTCGGTATAACGATACGCGAGCTTCAGGGTCGAGTTTCTTCGAAGAGTCATCTTTGTAGAAACACTGGCTGTTGACGGTCGCTATGACCAGCAGGCCCACTGCCGCTACCTTCAACATGTTGCCTCTGAAACAAGCCACGCCAAAGATGAGAAACATTGTACAGATTATTCAATAGGACAAACAAAAATACCAGCCACATACAAGTTTACTATCCAAACATGTATTGATTACTACGGTCTGTGCACCTACTATTTATACACGTTTCATGTTTAAGTACATGTGTCATTATGTGAATCCACCTATCAGTAATGATTCATGGTTACCTCGACGAGCTTCATTTAAAATTGCAGCCATAATTCTTATCTAGAAAATAAGTATGACATATATGTACAAGAATAAATATCAAAATAATCAGGTCATAATTAAATTTCTTGCGTAAGCATTTCTATTATTTACAACATGTATCGTACGATCCGGTTTAGTCAACAATTTGTTTACTCAGGAAAATAATAATATGCACCTAGGTACGTATAAAACGTAAATATTTACATTTTTAACAGTTCCATTATTTAGAGGAAATGAATTAGTATAATGTAGTTCCCACACGTAACGAAAGCAAATGGCAACTATTCCATAAAATTGAAACCTTTATTTCTATATTCCCCTGTTACAGTGACATCTTATTTAACAAAGTCAATACTAAAATAACAAATTAATTGTTTAGTTAATTGAATAGATATATTAGAGACATGCGATAATGTTAGATATAAGTGTAGAACAACGTTTATTAAGTAAAAAACAAAGAGATTTTTTAAAAACAAAACTAATAAGCGATTTGTTTCTAACTAGTATAATGTGGTTTTGTCTAGGTGCAACTTATATGTACCTATATGTAATATCGAACACAACGTAACAAGTCTATTGTACAACGACTGACAAAAAGTGCAAAGTTATTTCAGACAGAAATTATTTTATCTGTGGTCATTTCACCGCTTTCTCCTCGGGCAAGAGGTGGGGCGGCCCGCGGTCAACCACCCACGATACATACAACTGCGATCATATGATACGACTGTCTTCTCAAACGTTTCTTATAAACATTGAAATTGCTATAATTACAATTTGTTTTAATAGCTACGACAATAAAATGTCTTATTATAATCGTATGCTTAGGACCTACATAAGTTGTAAGTTAATATTTACTTCTCTTCCTACGTCTCTCACTGATCTCTCCTTCAATCATGCTAATTATATTTTAGTCACTCATAATTACATTCTCAACGTAATTTTACAGCTAAATGAAAAAAATGTTAATGGCGGCGTGAGACTGATACATACTCAACATAATTAAATATGACTAGAGAAAGCTAATTAATTATCGTGTGTCAGAAGTCTGTACCTAATTTAATGATCTAGGCGCAAAAATGGGGGTCATATCTGTTAGTAATCATGTCCGGCCATAGCGTGTGATTGATGGATGGCCTCGCATCCACTGCACTCACCCTCATTTTATAAAAGGTTAACTAATTTGATTTGATGTTGTTGCTATCAACAAAATCGATTGATTGAGCAAAAGTCAAACGCCGAACGTGTCAAGTGTTGGTCATGGATTGTAAATTATTTTTGCATCTAAGAAACCGCGTGATATCATCGCATCGTATCGTTAGAAGCAGGTTACATCTGTCCCCGCTCTGTTCCGGAATATGTACCTACCTACCAATTGATTACACGGATGGGAAAACCCCAACCATATTGTACCGCTTGTTAAAGCTTGACCTGATAACCGACACGCAGCTGCATATTACCATCGAGTAAATACATAAGTATATGAGTGTATACTTCTACGTCGTAGTAGGTAGTTCGTGCATCTGTGATATAACGTTCGAACAGTTTACCCGCGTATAAGCGGCCAATGACATAATTTACTTGATGCACTGCTGATATTTAGAAAACCTGTAACAATTAATAATAGTGGATTCAGAAACTCGCTTTTCCACATGCGCGGACATTTACTTAAGAAAACGTTAAGACTTGAGTAACCTCTATTTCTTTAGTGAGTCAAACTCAAGCAAAAGGATGTTTTCGAAAAATAACACCGTCTTATGTAAACGAAAGTGGGACGTTAAGTATATTGCTTCCGAGTACTGATGAGTCAGCAAATAAGAGTTAATTTCAGTTGACCTTACGTTTACGAGACGTACACACTATATGCTTGTATTGCTTGTATGTATTTAGGTTTTACATCCACTTTTCATGCGAATATCATTTACGATCTCACAACAAGGATGTTGACAAGTTTGTTAACATTTATTTCTTGCCAATAACAACTGACAGATTTTACATAATGCCCTCGAATGAAATAAAATATGAGTATTGTAATTTGACAATGTTTTTTATTAGTCGTAAATAATAATACAATTCGTTTCAATAAGATAAAACCGTGACATAAAAAATATTGACGATAATCCAGATTGCGCATATACAATGCAACTGAGAATCAAGGTGTCGACAGCATAATAGGGAATCCCAGCCTCTTTTGTACGTGAGTAGGTCACAATATTCAGATGGCGCCACCTCCGGAGAGTACCGCGCAATGCTTGGATTTCCCTTTGAAATCAATGCAGCAGCGAAAGTCAGGCAACACGTCATCCTCGGCACATTTATTACACAACCGGACAACAAACCGTGTCACTACGGTATTCATATTTTTAAGTTTACCACAAAACCCAGATTGAAATGATGATTGATTGAATACAACAGAATAACTCTAACAAACAATGGAGTTTTAATTTTCAAATGGGTTTTACTATTTTGTTGTTGTGTTTGGGATGCATTTTTTTTATTTTTTAGAACATATCTGTTTAGTTTCAACAATAATTAAGTTACCGTAAATACCTATCTACCGATAGAAATCTGACACTAACTTTTCTGAGAATGTCAAAAATGTTGTGGGGTTCTAATGTACCATTCAACGCATTATATGATGGTACCTAAATAATAACAACCCTTATGAGAAAAATTGAAGCCATATTTATCAAGTAAAATTGCAATCGATAAAGTTTACTAAACCATCTCCAACTGCAACGAGGCTAGCAGTAGTCATGTTATTTTACAGTCCCGTGTAATATTAGTAGACAGACTATTGGTATAAATGATATTTGTGTCATTGTAGTTCAATTTGAAAATACATAGAACGAAGGCGACCAAGGTAACGGTGTGACATGAACACGAGGTAACAGCTGTTAACCGTACGGTAGCAATTTCACATATTTTCATTGTTCCACCGAGAAGGTCTCGGGATTCCCGCAAAATGATATTGTGGTTTCTCCCATAATTCAATAACACAACGACACAGCATCCGTTATTGTCATGAATTTCTGCATTGTAGATATTTATAAACAACTGACCCATGTTCGAAATCAAACATGGGTCAGTTGTCAGTCACTTATAAATATAAGTTACATTAGTCATACACTTTTATTGAAAAAACCCCAGTAAGTAATCAATTTTTGGACGGGTTCAGTTTGTGTTGTATGGTCGTATGGGTTTTATTGTATGCATGTCCTGCCTGCGACTTATGTGCACCGCTTATTTACAGAACTTACTCGCCATAACGGTTTTATTTAACAACGTTGAAGCTCAATCATTTTATAAAAAACAGATGGTAACGTCCAGTTTTCAAGTTTTGCATTAACTGCTGATTGAAGTTATTGTTTCTTTAACAAAATATTTAGTTTCTTTGTAGACAAATATTTTATCAAACGTCGTGTAGTCATGACATTTATTTTGTGGAAAACAACCGTATTTACAACATTCACTTTTTACTCTTGGTTAGTGACTTCCAATAATACATATTCTTATCTATTCTGCCCTTTACAATAACCAGTAAATGTCTGTTCAATTATACAGATAAATAAAATTGGAGTATCTGTTTGTAATATTGAAATAACCGCTTTTTACAACATGTATATGAATATACACACGATACATATACCAAAATAATATTTTCTAAATTTTTGTCTATCTTTCTGTCTATTTGTACTAGCCTATCTCTGAAATGGCTGGACCAATTTGATAGAACTTTTACTGGCAGGTAGCTGAATTACTAAGGAGTCACATAGGCATTTTTTACTATGGAAAACTGAAACAATAAGGAAGTTGTGTCCTCAAACTGATATTCTACTCGGATGAAGTCGCGGGTAACAGCTAGTAATAAATAAACGACAAATAAGAGTTAAACCTGGGTTGGGTTGTCGATAAAAAATGTAGATATTCTCAGAGGTTAGACACAAAGAATTTGTTTATGACCTACACATACCTACTATGCATATTTTGACCTATTGTTTTTTTTTGTTATTTAAATGTGTGAACCGATGTTTGAAGTGTTTGAGAAGGACGCACTTTGAAGGATTTCCCTCACCTACCTACATGATAACTATGACGTACAGTTGTGACAAGAGATAAGATTATTTATTTTCAGTGAAGTCGAAAAGCAAGAAGTTTTGTGTTCACACAATAACAAGGTGATATTATAACCTACTAGCTGTCACGGCACACTTCGTACCGCGTAAAACTTTTTCTCATGTTTTAAACCTTCCCTGGACTTCCATGAACATTTCAAGCCAAATCGGTTCAGCCATTCTAGACCTTTACCTAGACTAACTGAACGGAAATTCATTTTTATTTATATAGATTACAGAAACTTTGTAAGAAAGACATACAAAGGATTGTCTTCCAATAATATTTGCCTGTTTTTTTTTTGTCAAACAATATCGTAAGTGTTTTCGGTGACCTCGGTTTGCTTGGTCCATTTTTCGGAAACCTTAAGGCCATACTCCACCGCACACGTAACGTTTGCATAAGATCCTCCAACCGAACCGGCGCAGACGCGTTACCGGAATAATAATGAACTATCGATTATATTAAAACTGTCTATAGCTGTTCTTTTTTGATTCACTAACAGTTGAAGAAATGCAGTAGGATTTTATTTTCAGGGAGCAACGTTTTAAGCACAACATTCTCTAAACGTGACCATCTTTCAATAGTTTAACATTCATTCAAAAATTGATAGTAATGAAATGAAATCTTTTAAAGAAATAGCAAGTTTCCATATTAGCTGTTGTTTGGTGATGATCATTAGCTGCCTACATTGTGAAGATGCCGCTAACTTTCCAAGTTTCTATTCAGATTCACAGCTCTTTGATGTCACTGTAGACCCATTTCACCTTTTGAACTCATTGTTGCATGCTTTAAATTGTCTTTTTAAGCATTTGTGCCTTTCATTTACCATAAAAGTAAAAGCTAGACTTCTATTGTGTTAAAGAAATTATCTACGTATTACTACAGTTGTCTTCTTTAAAGCATAAGAGGTGTTGCTCATTGCTTACCAATCAGCACATCATTTGTTAGGCAGTAGCATAATAATAATGATATTTCCATGCAGGTTTCAACTATGACGATTAGGCAGTAGCATAAGCTACGGTACAAGTCGTAAAATATGTATCATGAGAAATTAAGTTCTGCTATCACACAGAGATTACCTAAAGAAGTACCGGGTGAAAGCAGAAACTATTTACATATACTGTTCAGGATATCTATATTACCTAAGGACCATATTACCTACTCAATGCATTACTGATTCCTATTACATGTGGGTAATGAGCTCAATGCATAAACAAGTAGAGAGAACAGAAATCCCTGAACATATTGTCACCTTAATCTGTTTTCCGTATTAATTTTGTTCATCTTCAGGCCGTAATCAGGTTGTTTCGTAGTCCTATATAGTATCGCAATTACTGTTTGTTATTTATATGAATATTACAATTATCGACAGATATGTGCATTCATATCATAACAATATAGCAGATTAAAATGCATGAATTACTTAAGTATCTTACTTATTCATGCATTATGATACGTACTTACACGTACTAAGGTAACTAGATACTCGTAAGGTAACTAGGTACCTATCACATTTATCCACATAATTTCATTCAGAAAAAATCTAGTCTCCAAAGTATTTATACACTAAAGAACATTATGAAAATTGTCACAGCTATAATAGACATGATATCTTATACACAAGAAACAAATTAAATTCGTAGTGCAGTTTACTAGTTCACATAGTACCTCTATACGTAGCTCGTAGCGCATAACAGCTCTTTCCCGCTTTGAATTTAGTATGACAGAGGTTTTCAATTCTTTTCATACGACTGAATCGCCAGTTAAACCCACGGTTTACTTATTACGAGATTAATAGCGAGAAAACGCTGCTACACACTTCAAACTACGCGCTACGACTAATGTACTACGAGCGATGAGTAATACACCACGAGCTACATGCTGCGAGCTACGCGCTACGAGCTAATAGCTACAAGCTAATAGCTACGAGCTACGCACTACAAGATACGTTTGTAGTGCTGTTGTTCGCCGTAACTTAAGTGCAAAATTAGGGTTTATAGATTTAGAGCTACGCTTTTAGGGTGCCAAACTTGACTCAACATGAAATCCTATTACTTTTTAATACCATAACTCGCACAGTTATTGTCTCATCTTGGCAACATTTTGCATATTAAGATATTTTAAGAGATGCTAGCTTTTATAACATATGTCGGCTTTGTAAGGCTTCAGGAAATATTTCAAGAATTGTGATAATAATAAGTAATGAAATCTTGTTTGTAAGGTTTTGAAAGGTAAGGTAAGGTAGCCGTCGAAACCACCAATACAACAGCAATCCCAACGGATAGATAAGATAAATGTAAAAATTACATTCTGTTTTACACAATGCTGACATTCGTCCATCACATATATTGCAAATTCTGAAGAATATTATCACCTCATTGTTGGTTTTATGCATGTTTTGTTTTTTCAATATCACAATAACATGCAAAATCAATATCTCCCTGATATAACAGGTAGTTAGGTGCGTACACATTAGTATGTAGGTATTCTTCTTTTGGGTACTCATCGAACTCCATTTCGTGTACTGCTTGGTGGTATCTACATAATTTATTAATCGATATTATTTTCAAAATTCCCAAAGCTTATATATATAAACATAAATAAATTGTGCGATAAATCAAAGCTTAATAAACGTATCTAATTCATTTTTCAAAAGTTGTTCATGAATAAAAAAGTCTGGTTTTTTTACATTCAATAAAAAAATTAATTAAAAAACGAAGGTAGGCTAAAATGTTAAGTAAAAATACTTTAATTAGGCAGTTCTAGTTCTGCTTAGGTTAAGTCCTCAATACGTAATGTTGATTAAACAGCCTTAAACAGGTATATATCCTGTAATGTGCAACGAATTAAAGCGACATGGGTGTTTATGTACGCGTACTGTTGCGAAAATTCGTCATAGTAAATTAGAAAGCGTGCATGATAATCTGGCCAGCGGTGACGGACCAGTGTACTGTATTGATACCAGCAGCGGCACACACTGGCCTGTGAGCACATCACTGTTTCATTACAACACAACAATTAACAAGCACTTCGTATGGGAAAACTATAACTACTTCTATCTACGTACAGATAAGTCTTTAACTATTGTAAAACTAGCATAAATAGTGTAATTATAATTATTTTTTTAACGACTGCCCACTCCAACACCGACCGCAGGTATAATCCAAATGAAACAAAACAAATAACTCACCGTACGGTGTCCTTTACGTGCACGGAGTTTTTACAATTATTTTGAATCGATTTTAATAATTTTTGTTACGAAGACGTCTCACAATAATATAATGGTAAAGTTTTTATTAATATAAGTTTTATGCACGGTACATTGGTATATAAAATACCATGCGGAGCGTAACGTTGCACTGTAGCGAGACTCGGAGACAGACTGAGTGAATGAGGGCCGGTCGCTATCCTCTTTTATGTTAGTATTGTAAACTGGTATGCGTTAGCTCACCAGCCGATGTCAACGAGAGTTAAAATTAAAAGAATACTTTTTAATAAATCGCCCACACAATACACTTCGATCAAAAGTATGCTAAATTAGATAAATGTTTGATGAATTATCGTTGTGCGTTCCCGTTAACTGTATTGGTCAAGTAACTGTAAGATTTAGTGTCCTATACAACAGAGCCGGCTTTAAGGGCAACAGGAATTTTAATCAAATGATGAAAAATGGTTTTAGGAGTTACAAGGAGTCAAGAAAAATAAACTAATAACTGATATAGTACGCAGGTAATAAACAAAGAAAGCAGTAGTTGGAGATAATGTTTTTCTTCAATAAAACTTTAAATTGCCATTGGTAAGTACCTCTATGAACACAAAACAAAAACAAGTACTTACACATTGTACACAATATAAAATACTGTTATAACCCATCAGCGTTCCAATTTAAGCCTGATTAGATTAGATAAAGTGTATTACACTTATTGATATTAGTACCAATTTATTAAAGCGATGGTTGCTGCATATACATGTGAAATTCAAAATTAACTATGCACATCCATAATTACTATTATTAACAAAAGAAGGAGCCTGTAGAAAAGTAGATGTTTTTAAAGACGTTCGAGACAGTCGTGGTCCAAGTCACGGTCAACCTCTTTTTCATACAAATATGTATATCCAATATTATACGTATTAGCTCGAGACTGTGCTATTAACCCAGTCCAGTTTAGTGCGATACCTACTTTTGTATGGTCATCCCCGCCTCCTTGACATGAACCGATCGGACAACAATAGAATCATGAACGAAATATTGAATTGATGGGACTTTCTACTCCGGTACCTATTGCTTTATCTTCAGCACAGAATCTTCGCTCTCCTTTTCGGTTTATTATTGGAGTCTAGGATTTTTTTTTTAATTTAATTGCATTTTTGTAGCAATCTACTTAGTCTGGTTAATACCTACTGTATTTTATTTTTATAGCCTAAGTACCCTCAACCGCCAATGATTAGTCACCACTATGTAGGTAAAGATATTGTTATGCCATACAAAGATACGGGTCACATAATTGAAGAACCATCACGAGTATGGAAACCTGAATATACCTATAGTTAGCTAGTATATGAACTATATGAACTATACTATACCTATAGGAACTTTAAACTCACACGGATTACCGACTTGTCAGTCTAGTGATATGCTAAGAATATGGCATTTGAAATTGCAATAATGGAACTGCAATCCTCCGTTGCTGTAAATATAAATAGATAATACCTAATTATTATAATTATAATTTATAATTTTGGTAATAATTATAGATGTGGTTAATTGTAGTGTGTAAGTAACCTTTTTTACTTTATAAAAATAGATAAGACGTATTGTAATAAAAAAATTGTATGACAAGGGCACGGACCAAGAGTCCGTGGAGAATTAATCTGTAACATTATAAAAAAAAACTGCAATCCTGTTCTTTTGTGGAAATAGCAAGTGATGGTTTTAGCAAACTTATCGTTATTTGTCATGAATCCAATTGGATATACTGTATTGTAGGTCTTACTAGTGGTTGCCAGTGTCGTTCAAAACACACGGCGACCGTCTTAATTTTGATCTACCTACTGGTTCTGGCACTATATCATAAGATAGGTACGTACCTACCTATTTCTGTTTCTGAAACTATTATCAGGTGTCTTCATTACTGAAGATTGCGTTGGCACCACGCGTCCTTTCATCACGATCCTCCACCAAACACGTCTGTCCTTCGCGCTCATTATAACCTGTGGAACTGATAAATCGGTGACATTCTCGACATCATCCAGTTGATGACAATAGGTACGTGAACGATTGCAGTCTTTTGCCGTGAACCTGACCAACATCCACCAGCTTTTCCAGATTGTTGGGGTTTCTGCCCGCAACAGCCAACTTAATAATATAGTGCATGAAATAATGGGCAATCAGGTTTTATCATTTCTACCCTGGTTTTACACCTAAGTAGGTACTTGCCCTAAATTATCATTAGGTGCATACTCAGCTGAGCAAACGTTACGCAAAACTTGTAGTGACAAGTGTCAGTTTCACAAATTAACTAATTAATCATCATAATCAGGTCATTGAAACTACTCAACTTGTTACAGAGGTTTCAATCACGGGATATTTTAACCGACTTCAAAAAAAGAGTGCAGAAAAGTGTTTGTTGCACTTAGGAGGTTTTAGTATGTTAATAAAACGACCTCAAAAAAGAGGGGGTTGAAGTCGATTTTTTTAAACATATTTATTTATTTATAGTAGACAATATTACAAAGGACAACACATTACAAGCATGAGGTACCTACATAGGTACTACATATTCCTTATGGAATTTCTTCCTACAGACCTGCGACTTCTTTTATAAATAAACAATTATTGTGGCACCCTATGTTCACGCAACACCAGTGCATTGTCTGCCGGTTAGTGATTTAAGTATAGGGCATGGGGGTAGAAACATTGAACCTTCGGTAACCTCAGGCACACAGCGAAATACAACGCACGCGTTTTTTCAGGCCGGTTCTTGTGTGGATTTTTTTAAGTGTAATAATTTAATTGTCATAAAACATAGTATGTACATGGAAATATAAGGTATATATATAATCACAGTAGTACATATTTGGTAATTCTACCTATGTATTTGTTTATTGAAATCTAGGAAAATTGTTTGTGAAATCCAAGTGGGTACCTACTACTTACTAACTGTCATCACTTGCGTAATTTTGTTCTAATTTACCTATTTTAAATTACTAGGGAAATTACCGAAACAAAGTAGAGCAGGTATTTCCTAATTGAGCAGGATAACAGAGTACCTACATGTACTTCTGAATTTAGCTATCTATGTATGTACCTACCTACAGTCAACCCTGTTATTTGTTATGCAGGGAAGAAAATAAAGACTTACTCAGTATAGAGATAGTAGCTATTTTTACACTAAATTATGTAGTTTTGCACGAAGCCTCAACCAATGTCTATTGCAATTCTTAAATCAGTAGCCAAGCAATGGTTACTGTCTCTGCATCGAATCTATCTGTATTTTCGTGCCTACATACCAAATAATTAGGCTGATTGTACATGACACCGTCGCGTCGTTAGGAAGCTACCAAGGTATGGTATTAACTGAAATGATGGTGACCTCTAATCATTATGGCGTAGAACCACCCAACAGACTAGACACACGAACTCTACGGTCCTGTAAAATATCCTGTAACAAGGAGCCTATGTAGGTATGTCACTTCCTGTAAAGTAGGTTTTGCAATAGTGAACGTTTCTTTTAGAATAAAGCCTGTAATTTCGAAATCTATTTAAACTGTCAAACACCAAGCGGTCACCGGTGACCGCAACCTATTGTTCTTTAATTGTGTCTATAAATACGGTACTCGACGAGTTAATGCAAACCAACAATCAAATTATATCTCTTTATAAATGTCGCGGAGAACCTAACGGGTAATCGGGGCTCCGGCTCTATGTGCAGGAGAAGGAACGGGGTGGTTTTTAGTCAGTAAGAGTGTGACACTCCCTCCCGCCTCACCCAGGCGGGAGCAGCCATTAGAAGATTTTCTCCCCTTAATGTTATAAGCTGTTCCCCGGGATTTTGTCCGCGTAGATTGTGATTCCTGTTTTATCCCATGAAAGCATTTAATCGGTATAAAAATCCTATCACCTAAGTGAGCCCATATCCTGCCTGTATATCAAATGTCATCAAAATCCGTTCAGTACTTTCAGCGTGATGAACGGACAAACATCCAAACAAAGAAACTTTCACATTTATAATACTAGTGATACTAATTCAGGTAGATAAGTGTGTTCATTGAATTCAGAGTAATGATCGAGTTAAGAATTCCCCCAAGTTCATAACTATCATAGCTGTATTTTTTTCCTTATCAAATACTCGTTTCAATCCTATGTTTGACCTCTTTATCTTTTAAGTGGGTTTTTACAATAGGGTAGATGACAATTTTTTATTTTATTCTGTCTGGTAGTTTATTTTAAAACATTACACACGTATTTTGTCGCAGAGAATCTAACGGGTAACCGGGGTTTCGGCTCGACGTGCAGGAGAAGGAACGGGGTGGTTTTTAGTCAGTAAGAGTCTGACACTCCCTCCCGCCTCACCCAGGCGGGAGCAGACATTCGATGATTTTCCTCCCTTAAAAAAAACACGTATTTTTTATTTTACAGAGACGAATACTTTTAAGGATATATTGATTTGAAATATCGCGTGACGTCACTTCTATGTACATTTAATACGTAGAAATGACGATTTAGCCCCCACTCCTAAACTTTGATTCGTTTTATCTAAGTACCATTTTATTATACGACAAAATAAAAAATACGTGTCTAATATTTTTTCATTACCTAACTGACGGACTAATTAGATCCATTTAATTTTCATGCCCTGTCATCATCCCTATTCATAAACAAGTACCTAGTATTAGTATATAAAAAGAACTTTTGTATATTTATAGTTAGTAGGTACCTCCCTACATATATTTGTAGTAAGTACGTAGTCAGTGTTAGTAAATCATGAATGAATAGGTCTTACGACTTTACACGTAGATGCATTCTGGTATATTTACCTATGCAGGCAAAGATGTTAAAAACTTTTTTTCGATGCCTTACGTTGATAAAGTCGGTTGAAAAAGCGAAAATTGTAACATAAGGATGTTATTTATGTTCTTTTATATGTACCTCCACGTCTGCCTACCCCTTTGAGGATAACTACTGTAAAGTCTGCTTTCTAATGCCTAACACTATTTTAAATCGGTCCCGCAGTTTCATTCAATACTAATACATAAATAAACAACCAATCAATCTTGTTTCATTAAAATAGGTACAAATATAGCAGATAATTAATTATAGTTACAGTCATCCGCCAAATTGTTTTCTTAAGTTCACTGAGGAATTGTTTATTGTTTACTGAGAAAACATCTCTATTCTGAGAAGCATTGTATTACATCATTTCATAATTATGAAGTTTAACATTTGAGTATCCGATCATAATAAGGAAACTGCAAATCCAATACAATTGATAAGAAATACATGTTTTAGACAATATCGATATTGTAGCTACATACTGGTAATTATTGTGCAATAGTTTATGTCAACATAACATATCACCCATTCATTTGGAAGAATAGGGTCTACTAAAGAATACCACTATGTATACTTGCTTTAAAAAGATAGGTGTTAAATAAAACAAAAAAATAAAATAAGAAAAAATAATTATTTATTATGCAAAACAAAATGTAATAAATACATGATATAGAAAGCAAGACAAAATAAAACAATAAAACACGGAACTTCTCATAACCGTTTAAAAAATACATTGTTGCTTATAACAAAAATGCAATAGTCCACCTATATTTTAAATGTAACGCATAAGGCACCGAGAATATTATGCGAGATATACCAAACATTATGTAATAAGCAGTCAATGTGTACTTGTTGAGGAATGTAGACTATCCCTTGACCACGTACTGCTCCACGCTAAAGTATCTTATTACGAGACGGAGTCTACAAATTACTTAGGCAGTTTGCTAACCTCGTGCAAGTAGGCGGCGAACAATTTTATCTGTAACAATACAAAAATAAATTAGAATTTTTCATTTCGAATTATATCGAAGATCTGTTTCTATCGTACAACGACATCAGAAATCAAAGCTATTAAAATAATGAAACTAGGTGTGTGTCAATTAAGAGATAATTATAAAACATCACGCTGCAGTTTCCTCTTAGACATTATATGTCTGTTTTGAGACCCTTTTCTATTTTAATTATTAAATTAATAGCAATTTTATTGCCATATTCTAACCATCTAAGACGGCAGATTGTCGCCGCTGCGCTGTACACTAAAGGGCGGGCTTCATACGACAATGAACGCCTTCCAGCTGATGATAATATTCAGCACAATTTCATATTTAAAGATTAAAGGTTGAGAAATATCAAACCACAAAAGATTAAATCTTGATACCGCTTTTTAACCATTTAATGTTGAATTACTAAAATATGCATCCCTATTCTGTTTCATGTCATTATACAAGAAAGCGTATGCGTGGGTCTTGCACGCAATTTCAGGGTGTACCTTATTACAAAATGTAATTTAACAACGCAGTGCCTATATTAGAGTCCCTTTTCAGAGATGTGTGCGTCAGAACACTTTATATCGGAACTCATGACGTAAAAACTGACCTCTATCGTTACCAAGGCAATGAAAACGAGGTGCAAAATCACTTGAATCACAATACTTGTAAATCGTAAGCGCAGTCATGTTCTCGATAAAGATTAAGGAAACTCAGCAGGAAATTCCTTTTTCTTACACGTATAGTATTTTTTTAGTTCCATTCCAAAAACGTGACGAGTACATTCGGTGATGTGTTACTGAATAAGTAAATGCTATATTCTAAAGATGTAGCTATTTTATTTCCTAGTAGTTTAATACACAAAGCGTACTTCTATGTCTGTAGTAAGCAGAAAATTTAACAAAAAATGTGATGATTTTGTAAAACAGAATGAGTACGTAAGGAAGGATGCATTACTTTTTTTTAACAATATACAATTCCCAAAAGGTTACATAACGCTAGAGGTAACGTGCAATTAGGTATGTAACAAATACTATATTAATATCTAAAACTAACATACAGTCATGAAGCTAGGCTAGTCTACGTTTGGGTATGGAAAAAAATATTTCGTTTAAGTCAGGAACCGTTGAAAGATTTATGTGTACTTTTGGTTAAAATGATTTGACTGGTATTGTGAAGAAATATTTACACGTCTCATGCATTATCTGATGAGTTAATGTTTTTATTTACTGATTTTTTTTGTGTACAGCACATGAGTAATAAGTGCGGTCCAAGTACTCGGCGAAAGAAGGTTTGGGAAAACTCCGATCAAAGTCAAAAAACTTTGTATGGACAAACTTTATGGTTTCTATAGTAAACTTAAATAATGCACAGAGGGCGTTTATTTGCGCATTTAAAAAAAATGTATGATTTTTATCCTATTTTCTGTGCACACATTTGTGCTTTGCGTAACACTTCTTTAAAATGAAAAAATATTCATAATAAACCCAACACATAAATATGTTCAAGTTATAGGTAATCGATGACATAATGTTACGTACATTCTTTATGTTGGTGGCGCCCGAATACAGAAAGGCTACTCAATTTGAAGTTGTATGGCAAATATCGTGCCATCTATGTCATTTTACAATGAATCTGTAGTGACGGAACTATACTTAAGCGCAAGTTAAAATTGAGTGGCGTTTGAGTATTCGGACATAAGTCTTTTATTACTTAACAATTACGTGATGGTGTATGTGTGTACCATCATACACAACAGATACCTACTATTCATAGATTGATTAATATATTTGAGATATTGCTACATTAGTCGTACTCCTACATTTTGATTGTGAGTAAACCTCCTGAGAGCCTGTAAAGATCTGTATAAGTAAATATCATATGCACCTGAATGTGGCAAATAGTTCAAACATATAACGTTCTATTTGGTAGTGGCTATGCATAGAATATGAAACGGACAATAAGCATGGCAATACAAGTCCAATGTAGGCTAGGAGACTACAAGATTTAACACTTATTCAATAAATCAGTTGCAATTTCAAAACAGTTGATATTAGAAGTCAGTACTTATTGTTAAGTTGTCAATCACTGCCTGCCTTAGATGGCTGACCAAACCAAACGAAGCATTTTCAAAGTCACGACGAGTCACTCAAACAAGTTACAAACTTTTAGTTCACGGTGTATTAAAATCATTACGATATTTTCGTTTAGCTGTGCGTCAAGTCCCGTTTGCCATTTATAAGTCTAAAGGTCATCGTTAAGTTATAGAAAACTAGTTAATCCACACTCGTACAAAAATGCAATATATTGCATTGTGTGACAAAAACTTGATATTCGTTTTTGATTTTTTGAATTAAAGGGTATTTTATGCCCTAATAAACTTTTAATTTTGTTCTTTCAAAATAACAATAAGTATGTACTTTTAATTATTCTGTCGGGAAACAATTCTTTACCCGCGACGCTGTCCTATTCTCCCTTAATTTAACCTATGCCCTAACAAGAGCCCACTTATAATATGAGACAACTAGTATCGTTCAATATAATATGGTGTAAGCTAGCGTGTACTCACTCCCTCGATGTAGTTGCGGACATTGATCTTCTCGTTCTGCGAGTGCGCCATGTCGTCGCCGGCGCCCATCGGCAGCAGCAACACGTTGCGGCCGCTGGCCTCCTGCAGCGTGATCGTCACTGGGATGGACCCACCTTCGCGGGACATGTCGGGTTCCGTCTGTAACAAAATTACATAGATATAAGATATAGTGTAGTTTCTAACGAGTGAAATTCAATACATTTGTCCAAATAACAAAAACTTCATTATTTTTAAACGACTTCAAAAAAGGAGGTTTCCGTTTGACCTGTCGTACGTATGATCGCAATCGTCTAAACCATTTGATGGGGTTTTCAGAAGTGTTTGTTCATTAAGTATCATTAATTAACAAAGAAGGTTAAGGACGGTTTTTTAAACGTAGTATATAAAAGAATTAGGTACATATTGAACGAAGTAGTGTATTTGTGATATAACAATTGGCGCCAAATAGCGCACATAATTCATTAAGAAATACTGAATAAATATGAATATTATAACTGTTTAAACTGTCAAACACCAAGCGGTCACCGGTGACCGCAACCTATTGTTCTTTAATTGTGTCTATAAATACGGTACTCGACGAGTTAAAGTAATAACTGAGGAAATTTATAACATAAGTAAAATTTAAGAAGAAAGTGTTACCAGATAAATGAGTCTAGTGGCTCGAGCGGCGGCTTGGTAGTGCGGGTGGTCGGGGTTCTCGGTCCAGGCGCGCCCGCTCTGTGCTGTGATCGTCATCTTGTTGGGGGAGCCGCGCTCTGCCCACTGGAAACCAGTACATACACATTATATTTACATTCTTCATTCGTTTCTTTTTGTATTCGCCTGCTATACAAACAAGACATTGTTAATAATAAGTTATAGGAGATTTTCTCGAATTGTCTCGACTTTAGGAGGAAGAGATCTACCCGTTGACTCGACGATTAAGAGGTATGACTAAAAAGGTATGTGTAATACGTAGCGCTAGTTCCATTGGTACTCATAACATAACTGGCTAAAACATTACAACAACGATATAATGCGTGTATTGTATAATTATTTTATTACATTACATGAACAACAATGTAATTACTTTCACTATCTTTGTGATAACACCGTCTGCTGTAGATACAAATAGCTTACTGCAATTTATTATGATATCAAGTACACGGTGCGTAAGTGACGTTCATACAAATATTAGTCTTATTGCAACGTTATATGGTTGCCTTTACTATAACAAATAATATGTATATCTAATGTTTAACATACCACTGTCTATTTTAATACACTTTCCTTAAGCAATCTCTGAACTAAGTAAACATTACAAATGTAGTTGAGCACAAGTAATTTTAGATTTTTAAATTAATGTTTTGTGAAAAAAATTCGTTTTGAGACTTTTATGACTTTCTCTAGTGATTTCATATTCTATTGAAATCATTGACTAATGATTTCATTATAGCTAATAAAAGTTTACAAAAGCACTACAAAAGGCATTAACTACGCAAACGATTGGAATACGTACTTCACCAATAGAAAGTAAAATAAATAATATGTTTACTAGTTTATAATAGGAATCATATTAATTATTATAATAGGAATTAAGTACAATAAATTTATTTATGTTAACGATAAATTACTAAAAAGATAAGTTTAAATCATGTCTCATTAAATAAATTGATTTACTAATCTACCTACAATGAATTAATATTATAATTTATAGATATTATTTAGTTTAAGTATGGTATTTATAAACAATGTTGTTATAATACGAACCTTCTTGTTGACGTAATCGAAGACCAGCTTCTCAACTTCCTCAGGTTCTTGGTTAGGTACAATTCTTATGGAGAACTTGCCAATGACTTTGCCTGGAATCACTGTTTTTGCTCCAGGTTGGAATGCAGCACCTATGAAATTATTTTAAAATTAAGTATATTGTTTAATGTAGGTATTGTCATAATATTTAGGTATTTATTGTCTTTATTTAACAAACAGATTGTTGATCTAATTCATTCTAATACATATAATCATTACATTCACACATCATTTTACACATAGTTAAATTCAATGCATGATCTTGCACCCGCTGATTACTTTCTCTGCATCACCCAAGGGTCAGACTGGTAGAAAATGACTGCAGCATTAAGTCCACCCATGTGCTTGTTTGTGTGCTTAAAGCTTTTTAAATAAATAAAAAAATATATCATAACTACTAACTTCAGATTGAGTATTAAATATCTAATTTTAATCTCAAGCAGAGTTAGTGTTTTGTTGGGTTATTTAACTCCTAGGTATTAAAGCTTAGAATCGTGCCAATAAATGATAATTTGGTCCTGCCTCTAATTACACTAGACTTGAAAAGATGGAGTAATCGGTATCTATAACAAGGGTTCCTACTGCACGCTCGGAAGATGACAAGTAATACATTACTTGTGTAAAAGTCTGACAAAAAATCTTTACACAAATATGTATATTTGTGTAAAGATTTTTTGAACTTAAGATCTTCAATAATGGACTCATTGATAATTGATTTTTTTGTAAAATTTTATTCTATTTACCTTCAATTCCATGCAGTGACAAGCTTGGGTATCTCCAGCGGTGCATTAGGATTTGTTCCTTGTCGCCATTGTGTGCCAGCTTAGGTGCACCAATGGAGTTCCTTCAAAACAGACGAAAACATTCTAACTAAATACACAATATTTATGTTAGTAGCATAAACCAAAGAAAATAATCATCACGGATGAAAGTTATTGTACGAGAAACTTTTGCCAAACTAAACGATTGCTAAAATAAATAATATTTGTAAATACAAATATTATTTTTAGGCAATGTGGGTATGTTATATTTCAATAGACTATGGGTATCATTATAGTAGTAGTTGGGCACATTGCATCTGTATATAAAATTAATTTATAAAACAAATTTATAAAATTTTATAGTGGGTAGCTCTAGCTACATAATCAATGTGTTATATTGTAATTTAATTTATAGTTTAGTCATGAAGTGTCAATGCATCAGCTTATTTATACATACAATTATTGCATGTACATATATAGGCATGTGCATTTATGTACCAAATACATACATTTATGCATCAGTCACAAGGTTTTCTGGCGACTTGGCGAGATGTATATGTGTTTGCACAAAATATTACATGGCAAACAAGCTATTTATTAGTTATTTTTTAAACAGCATGTAGATATTACGCAGTTCGGTTATATTCTCGCAAATTAAAATAATTCTTTGTGATCAAGAAATTGTAACAATATACGTCATATAGTACAATAACTAATAACTACTAATAATAATATTTATGTAAATCATATGGTATGTGTAATAGAGTGTAGGGATCAAAGACCGATGTATCGCAAACAATGTAATAATAGCATTGCATTGAGTCATTCCACGAACAGCATTCAGATATCAATTTACATGAAAGTGCTAACAAATACGTATTCTGATAATATTAGCAGTACAAATTTATTTGTCTCTTGTTTCATATTGTTTAGGTTTAGGAACATGTAGGTGTTCGTGATAGAACAACGTCGGATTGGGCATTGGAGAGAATATAAAACAACTGTGTCGTGGTGGCCCGGAGGTTTAAGACGCCCACTTCTCATGCATGAGGGTGCGGGTCCGAAACCTACCAACGGCAAGTACCAATGTGACTTTTTCCGAGTTATATGTACTTTCTGAGATATTTAGACACCACTGACAAACGGTGAAGGAAAAACATCGTGAGGAAACCTGGACTTATAATTTCTAATTATAAGTTTGAAATCGCCAACCCGCATTGAGCAAGCGTGGTGATTAATGCTCTAACCTTCTCCGTGTGAGAAGAGGCTTTGCTCAGCAGTGGGCATTTATAGGCTGTTGATGTACTGCTACTCTGTAAGAATGCCAGCCGATCGTAAATAGTAACCGTCCAAAAACGTTTTCTATAAAATTCGAAGAATTCTAAATTATACAGATTAAATTATTGAAAACCCGTTTACACTAGTTTAGTATTTTATATTTTTTTATATCTCCATAAACCGTTAGTTACCACTTATTACGGTCTATGACCTACGTCGCCTTAAATACATAGGACTTATTATCAACATTTTTAGGCACAAAATAAATGATTATAATCATAATCGATTATACATTTATACCGATGATTTATCGATTATACTGTATCGAAAATATTGTAATAAGCGTCAATGATAAAAATATTGTAATGCGGTATTGAAGTACATAGTAAGAATCGTTGCAATTGGCGTTCCATAGTCTCTGCCTACCACCATGGGAGACAGGCGTGAAGTTATGTATGTATGTAAGTATATAATCCAATAAACATTAAAAAATTAATATGGTGAGGAGTCTTGGTTTTTATACTTCTATCATCTGAATTCTCTCTGCATGTTCAACTATAAACTGTATAAACTATAGAAATGAGTCAATGTTTAGTACATAGCATCATAGATACCTGTAGGCTTCGGTATCAAAATCGATAGTGGTGTACAATTTCTTCTCATTCTCAGTCAAAGGCGCCACTGAGTCGTAGATACCGGTGATGTGAATTTTCCCATCCTTGTCCACAAGTTCGTTCATCAAATAAATTAGATCAGTCATAGCTGTAATTTGAACAATCATTCTCAATTGACGCATGGCGTCGGCATAGCTATTTTATGTCAGTACAATATTGTTTGATCATTTTAGCAATTGGTCAAAGAAAACAGTCCCCAAAACCGCTCAATAGAGCGTCTAGTAAAATATTTTGTTTTTTAAAAAAATCTTATCAAATAAATCTGTAACTGTTTCTGTTTAGCATTTTTTTTTTTTTTTTTTTTTAAGGGGTGAAAATCATCGAATGACTGCTCCCGCCTGGGTGAGGCGGAAGGGAGTGTCAGACTCTTACTGACTAAAAACCACCCCGTTCCTTCTCCTGCACGTCGAGCCGGAGCCCCGGTTACCCGTTAGGTTCTCCGCGACTCCGAATCGGCATCGGCCCTATTGGGCCCCATCTGTGGTGGTCTGATGGCTCTTTGAGGCGCGCGCGGAACGCGACGCGCCGTACGCTTCTGTTTAGCATAAAGGCTAACAAAGATAACGCATGTTCCCTAGTAACTAGCTGTCGTAACTATATGACGACACGACAGGTATGCAATTATCAGTATTATTAGATTAACATATTTACCTATTGTGAAACGATAATTATATTTATCGCTGATAATATGTAACAGTATAATGTAGGTAGAAACAATATAGACAAAAGATGAAGCCACTGTCTTATAATAATTATTATTACACAAGGGAATCTGTTATATAAATGATTGTTCTGTCCCTGAACAAATGAAGCATTCACTAGATCATACGTAACATTTAGTCTGATCATAACAGTTACAAGTAGGATCACTATTTTCTATTAAACATTGCATTATCAAACATAATGGGGGCCATTGTTCAGGTACAGCAAGGTGATATACTTTTATAGTTATGGTCCTCTGAAACAATGGAATCCATTTTCCATTTTGTTTTTTTTTTAACTTGATACATACATTAATGTCCTAATCAACTGGTTGAGAGTTTCAGTTTCTATGTCATAAGAATATAGGTAGGATACAAAAGATAAATGTTTCTTAAATCAATAAAATTGATTATGTCATATTCTTACCTTCATGTACAGTACCACCATAGACTCCGCTGTGTAAGTCCATTTTAGCACACTCAATTTCTAGGAAATAGTAACTGACACCGCGTAGACCATATGTGATGCAGGGCTTAGTGGTGCCAAGCCAGTAGTTGTCTGATATGCACACATAGTCTACATCCTTGAAGAAACCCTCTGGTTTTAATTTTTCCATAAGTAGAGCATCAAGGCCCTCTGAACCAGACTCTTCCATGCATTCAAAAACGAACTTCAGATTCACTGGTAGCTGCAAATAATGATGATATTGTTTTATTTTATTATATTACTAGCTGTGCCCGCGACTTCGTCCGGGTGGAGTAGTGATTTATAGCTCGTACCCCAGAAATGATAGCGTGATAATATGTAGCCTATATGTTGCACCAACCTGGTAATATTCATGCAAAATGTGAAGTAAATCCATACAGTACTTTTTGAGTTTAACCCGGAAATACATACAGACAAAATTCTAAAATCCATATTTTTAGCTTTGATATTGATTGTAGATCAAGCATGAAGCATTCTTTAAAAAAATAATTAAATGAACAGTTTTCACTTTCCTAAGATTTTATTATATGTATAGATAAAAACCTTAGCTTTATACAAGGGTTTTTTTCTGTATTGTGAGGAGAATTTTTCCAAACTAGAATCAAAGCAAACCCACAGTAATCAGAATCACACATTAGCAGTTAATACAATACTGTATATGTGTTTTTTTACTTAAATGTTGCACATTCTTTATAACAAGTTACTACAATTAAGTACATATATTATCTATTTTGTCAATGTAGTAGTGGTAGTTATCAATATGCTAGTTAAGTAACAAAAAGTATAATTTTTAGCTTTCATACAAAAATAGATATCTCTGCTAATGTTTTCTTACCTCTTCACCAACACCTTTGTATGCATTGATGGCATGAACCCAACCAAGTACTGGTCCCTTATCATCAGTGGAACCACGTCCAAATAACTTGCCATCTCGCTCCACCAGCTCAAAGGGCTCAGTCTCCCAACCGTCAGATTTCAATGCTGGCTGGACGTCCAAGTGGCCATATATGCAAATTGTATTTTTTTTGGAATCCTAAAATTAAAAATTATATTTAGAAAACTTGTTTCAAAGGACTTATCTATTAGAGGTTAATGAATTATTTATGTTTCTAAAATTTGATTTAAAAAGAATATGAATATCAATAGCTGTAAAAAATATTTTAAAACAGGTTCAATAGCTTGTTGTAAAATTTAGAGTTCAATTAATTTATGATCATGACACAGCATTTCTTTAAAATAAAATTTATCACAAAATCATACATACACTACAGCATTGATTGTATTTAGGCCTAATATTATATTCATTTTGTTAGTCCTTTATAACAGTACTTGAAATAAGTGCTAGAACTTGAAATAAGATAGGTGCTTAATATGCAAAGTTATTAAAACTGTAGTAGAGATCAATGAACTTTATGGTATGTATTGAATAACAGCAGGTAATAAAATTGAATATAACAGAAGATTGTTCTAATTCTAAGTCAATATTTTTTCAGCTTGATGAGCATTCTGATTTAATTTATTAAATGCTGTATAGAATTGGAACATGTCAAAATTGCTTAGATATTTTTTTAATACTAGTTATTTTACATTATGATTGCAACAAAAAAGTATGGCAAATATTTTCTAATGGTATTCACTAAAAATGTAATTAATATTGTAAGAATAATTATGAAAAAGATAGTAAGTTCAGGTCTAAACTAACCTCAAATAGTTACTGATACTACTAGTAAAATATGTTGATGAAGGTAGCATAAAATGGTCATACTAAATGATTAAACGAGTAGGTACTTACATTTCCTAATACGCCTACCAAAACGGGCGGCAGTTTAACTTGTTCCCCAGCAATGGTCTGGTAGCCAACATCTCTAAGCTCAGTGGTGGCGCCAACCTCTTTCAATTTCTCTTGCATCCACTCCACCATACGGACGCAGTCCTTACGGTACTTAACATCAGAAGATACCGATGGAATTGCAACCGCTTCCTTTAAAAGTTGCTTATAAGAATCCGTATTATCATCAACGTACTTAAATATTTGAGGTAATATTCTATCAGCCATCTTTAGGTTTTCCTTGGGTGTAACTGAAGAAATTCGACAAACAGGACGATTAATATAATTCTTTGTGAGACACGACACTCTTGCTGCCGCGAACTTTATATCATTACAAATGCATTTCACCGTTCTAATCAAACACGAAGTCATGGTGGTGTTAGTAAAATGACAGCTGTCACTTTGACGTTATTGACATATTCTATTTGACAAGACAAGATGTAGTGAAACGAAACGTTGAAAGAAAAGTTATGATTTTGATTTAAAAAAAAGGATTTTTTTATTTTACCGTCATCATCACGTCCGCCACAATCTTATCAGGTTCGATTCCCAGGTCGGCAAAGTATTACTGGGTTTTAAATAAAATCTCAGTGGTAGCACGGAGTCTGGAATTGTGCCCGGTATATGGCCATAGGCTCACCTCCTATTACATGGGGCTCATAACATCAATAGTGAAAAGTGGGTGTTACATGGTACAGTGGTATTAAGTGTCGTAATGTGCACCTCTGCCTACCCTCTGGAGGTAAAAGGCGTGATGTTATATTATGTGCAAACGTTTAATAGATCTTACTATTACTAAAAATCAAGAATCTCGTACATAGGTCGAACAGCAGTAAGCGCCAGTGCCGAAACAAAGATTTACGGATCGGGCAAGTTGTCACTGTGTTCAGTGTTGAGTGGTGTTGCTCGACATAGTCGATATTCAGATAAAATTTCATTTTGAACTTGATAAACTTCTACTCGCAGCTATAGCCAAGCAGCCTGTATAAATCCACAAAGGAGTTGAAAGGACGATGTATAATTACATGCTGCGTAGGACGATGATTCAACCAGGACATGGTGATCTAGGTAGGTACCTAAAATCTCCGTCCGCGTTTGGATCTAGACAATGCGGTTTATGTTCATACTGCATTTTGCAAGACGGGCATGTAGACCTATAGGTGAGATACCGAATAACTAAGTGGGTTTCGCACAATGTAATACTTTTAACATGGTTTATGGGTATGATTTCCCCTATACTTACTCTTTGGATATGATGTTTCATTCTAATCAAAAGATTGTCAATTTATCAGTCACTTCGTCAATTAAGTTTACCGAAATGTGACCAACAAAATTATAAACTAATTAGAAGCATGTATATGTTCGTAATCATCTTATGAAGTATAGATATACATATAAATACGATCCATCATAATAATTGTTACAGGTAGGTACCGTATTCCGTTTGTTTTTATCCCGAAATCTTAGAATAGGACTAGAGAGGACATTATGAGAATATTATTATCTACCTACAGATCAAGAGATCTACAGACCTACAGAACTACAGATTCCTTTTTCCAGAATACAGTGACAATACTTACGAACATGTGCTTCAAAAACAAAAATAATAAGACAAGAAAACATGGAATCAAAACAAGATAACGACTACATCACCTGCCCCAAACGAAAAAAGGAAACATTTTCAGATTTAAAAATACATTCAGACAAAGGAGATTATTTTGCCCCTGCAAGTGAAATCTACGGAAAAGTCAGTGAACCAAGACCTATATGTGTTTACAATAAAAGCAACACATTTATTTATGATTTTCATAAAAAGACAAAGACAGAAAAAGTGCCGGAAAACACTAACGCCTACCAAATCCATAACAAAATCTGCCATATACTGCTCAAGCCAATGGATATATACTTTTACGACACCAAAAACAAGTGTTACTATAGCAGCTTTAACCCCATTCTTGCGGGAAATAGCTGCTATACGTATTCTGGTGCGGATGTTAATCGTTTACTGATCTTTATGGAATACACAAATAAAACTATAGAACGCTTATTCAGAGAATTAAATAAAATTCAAAGCACTCCTGATTTAAGTGCAGTTATTTTAGTCATCAATCCTAAAAAAGTCAAAGAACTATTAAAAGTCAACAAAGAAAAGATTAAAATAAATGTTAAAAGTGGTTATTTTAATTACAAGACTAGAGACACGTCCTTATATTTTAGTAATGTGACAAACGATCATTTTGATATTAAAATTAAAAATCATTGCGTTGGATTAAAAATATCAATTCGCAAATATACAGGAACTCTATTGGAAACTCTAACGGCCGTGTGTAACATGGCTCGTTGCTTCTTTCCTACTGTTGAAATAAAAGTACCATCCGTTTTTGGACGCAACTGGTATTTTCGGAATGTCATTCAAGGAATTTTACTGAAAATACTCTTAAAAAATGCTAACGTAAACAATTTAAACATTGCGAGCCAGTTATATTATGTGTTGATCACAGACGCTATCCCATATTTCAGCATAGAAATTAACTTAATATTGAAAAAAGGAGTGTATATAACATGTACAACATACTCTTCAAAACATTTTATATCAAATGTAACAGAATGGAGTTACTTACACAAATATATTTTAAGAAAGTCTAGATCATGCGGCAATTGGCTTATTATCAACAGATTATATGAAACGCCACATAAGTCATTAAAAGCAATAACATATTATACAAAATCTACAGCAAGTAACCAAGCAGATACTTCATTGCATTACCAAGAATCAACTGAAAGTTTTGACAGAAAAACTTACATCAGGTACAGCAATACAGACATAATATTATACAGCCTAAGTCATTCAGATATTGCAGATTTTTTTTCTGTAAATCAAAGTGTTGGAACTTCATTCACTTTTCCTGCAAACGAAATTATATTCAATAAATATCAACCAACCGAAACGAAAAATGCGAGTACAATCTGCGACATTGAAGTAAATATCTCTTTGTTGAGCTGCAGCAAATTGTTTCTGAGAACATTGTTCAACGACTTGAAAATAATGAATTACTGTCTCAATGTGCATAGTCAGCATGACTTCATACATAAAACTTTGTGTGAAGCTGTGCCTGCAGCAACATACACAAAATTTGTTTGTGAATATTGGAAGCAGTTTAAAAATCAAAAACTATATACGAATCTTCTTAAATGTCTTACGCAAAACTTAATATATACGTTTTTAAGTTCTAAAATATAAATAAAAAGATAATGTTTAAAAAACATTTTTATTTTCATTTAGTCATAAAAAGCGTGGATGTCATCAAATAAATATCAAATATAAAACATAATTATATCCTAATAACACTTGGATTCAAGAGTTCAACAGTGAATTCTTTAATACTTAGTGATATTATTAATTAGTTTAATATTTAGTATGTATACGATGTGTGAATTCACATGAGGTACTTATGTAACATTAGAAAACTGTTTATTCGTATTAGCTATAGTTAACACGTACCTATTCTAATATTAAATATTGTAGCGAGGGCATCGACGTTTATCAGTATAATAGTGGTTGTGTTGACTGACACAACGTTGGCGTGGAATGTTTTCTAACGTCTACCTTCAAAGCTCTATTCCTCCTTTACATAATACCCTCATATGGACAGTCTTCTTTCCTAATACTTCTCTGGCTTCCTCTCAACAGTTGACAGTCCTTAGTATGCTGCAAAGAAATTAAATTATATTTTAGTTCAAAAGGTTACAAGTGTAATAACCGAGCACAAAGATCGTAAGTTTGAATGGGATCAAAGTTTCAAAGAGTCAAATTCTGTTCAAATTTTCTTCTCTCTCTAGTTCGTTTTAAGGAATCAAATGTTAGATGAGTGTGGAGTGCAGTATTAAGAGATGTGTTACCCAGAGGCGGCATCATCGTTGACAATGGAGTGCTGGGGTGCGTTGGAGAATATGGTGGCGGCGTGTCGCTGCAGCCAGTAGGTGAGCAGCGCGGCGAGTAGCGTGGCGACGGCGCCGGCCGCCGCCGCCGCGCCCGCGCCCGCGCCGCTCGCGCGCACGAACACGCGCGCCCACATCGCCTGCCACACCGACTCCGTCCACGTCGAGTACACGCCCGACTTCAAGTCGTAATCTGGAAAGTCCCACCACAATACTACTTAAGCTTTCGTTACCATTTTCAGTATGCACTCATTCATTTATGATCCAAACGACACAATAACTACTGCATACTTCAAATCCTCAAAAATTCCTGCTCCTCAACTAACCTTCGATGATGAACGCAGGGCTGATGGCAGCACTGATGTTCATAGTAGTCTGCATACAGACTCCACTATGGTTCCACCCTCTTAGCCAATATTGCGAAAATCCCTGAAATATGTAAAAAGTAACATCGTAAGGATCCTGTTCGTGTATTGATCATCGTTTCATTTATATTATGCTGCATTTCAAATGGAGGTGGAGCGCACTTCAAAATATCCATGAATTTGATTAAGTAAAACGCAGCTGGTGTTGAGCTTACCGGTACGTCGAGTGCATCGCACTGCGTGCGGTTGGCAGACAGCGCGGTGCCGGTGAGCAAGGCCAACAGGTGCGCCGCGAACACGGGCGGCGTGGAGGCCCACGTGGCCACGCCCACGTACAGCGGCGCCGCGCGCTCCGGCGGCTTCTCCTCCGCGCCGCCGCTCGACGCGTAGTCCGCCGCCATTATCAGCCGGCACGCCTGGCTCCGCAGGAAGCAGTACAGTATCTCGTCCACCTACACGTGCAACAATTATCGCTATTATTTGAATGTCAACTCTCCAATTAGGCTGGAATTTCCTCTTAGAAATAACAATCGCAGTTTAAATAGAAATTGTCATACGAACGTAAGTATGTATATGAAGTGATTACACTCTTTATACATTTTACACTTACCAAATGTGCTGAAGCAGTAATGTTACCACTATATGGTTTTCCTGCAACTCTTTGATACATTGTTCGAGCGACGGCTGTTGCTAGCCGCGCGATCTTCACTTGTGTGTCAACCTCTTTCATTGTTCCATTTGCCAGTAGTGCATCGGTGGACAAAACTGAAATATTACATCAGAATTACATGAGCTACCTTACGGAGATTAACCCTTTGAGTACGTAACAATTAATTTTGACTGTAAATTAAAAGATAATGTAATGGAATGACAAGGGCACGGACAAGAGTCCGTGGAGAATAAGAAATGTAATATTTAAAAAAAAAAAAAAAGAACCCTTTGAGTACCGTCATTATAGACACAATTAAAGAACAATAGGTTGCGGTCACCGATGTCCTCGCGGTGTTTGACAGTTTCAAGTTGTAAAAATAAGCATTTTAGTTTGATAAAATAAATAAATTAAGTACATAGTTAGTATAGCGGCTAGGCGAAAACAAGCTACTGCGTAATGTGTCGTTAGTTCGATACCACATACCACACAAAGCAACTATTTGGTCTCACAAATTGTTGTTTCTGGTTGTGTGTTGTATTTGTATATTATGAAAGAATATTTGTACAAATTATACTCACATGTTCCATTTCTGTCAACAGTAATATTACGATACTCAAAATCAATCTTATCAAAACCATCCAGTGCCGAATTGTAAAACAAATTACTGAATTCAGCGTTATGGTCAGTAATCAACACCTCAGGTAAGGCTGCACTCTCTGTTTCATTTTTAAGAATTCTACGGAAGGAATGCAGAGAAGATGGCGGGAAATGTGTCGAGAACTCGGTATTTATTGATATATTGTGTTGAAGGTTGCTCCCCAATGTATTCACAAATTCATTAATCTGCAAATGGAAAATGTTTTTAATCATCGCAACAATTTCGTTAGCAAATACTTAAGTGATACTCAAACTCAATGCACACTTGTTGTTACATACCTCAGGCACAACATTAGTATAAGGTATGAACGCGTACAGAGGCCAGGCAAGCTCAAGTTTAGTCAGAGCACCTCCTATCTGGCCTATCTCTACATGTAAGTTGATATCATCCACTGTAAGAGGAGCTGCGGCTGGCCACGTGCCTTTACTGATATCATACGCCACTCGTTGGGACCCGATATAGTCAAATGCTTCACCATTGAAAAGTGTCCATAAAATATTTTCATCTGAAATTAATAGATATTTGTTTAATTTTATTAAAATCCTGCCTAATTCTACAAAAGCAGATAGTACAGAGGCCTTAGTACGAGTTTTAAACGAGTAAGCGTTTGCGCCCTGATTGAACGGCTCCAATGAATCAACGAATCAGAGCGCCGAATGCAGTCTCGTTCCGATTACTTTTAACGTAAAACAAACTGGTACTAAGGCCTCAGATCACGACTGTCACGATTGATAATTTGGTGAGATTTTTCCGACATAAATGTCATAAGAAGAAGGGAACTTGCGGAAATTCAATAACTTTGTAAGATGCGAACGATTTTAAACTCCGTAAACTTATTGAATTTTTTTGTGGAAACAAGAACATAAATCCATTCTTACCATATAAGTTTGCATCCTGAATAGGTATCATTTGAGAAAGCGTTGTGGCTGCTGTCAGTAAGGTCACCATACCAACGACGGAACTAGCTGCACCAGGAGACACGCCTGATAAAAATTATAACTACATTTAAGACCCCATTTTCTATTTTATTGAAAGCAGTAAATAAATTTTAAGCACTGGCAAATTATACTATATAATATACATTTAACTGATATACATAGATAAATCAACGTACATATTAATATTAATTATTATACATACCATCAAATAGGGAGGCTGTGTCAATCCTTGCAGTCACTAAAGTAACTTTTTTATTCTTTATGTCCTAAAATAACAATAACAACCATAATGAGTAATAATATAACAGACATGATTAAAATGTAGGCATTTATGATGCATGGTTCAGAGGTAAGCAGATTTTGATTTGTTGAAGAAAATGACAGACTTTTAGAGAGATTATTATTCTTTATCCAAAAAAATTATAAGTCTGTAATAGGTAGCAATTTGCAATTACCAATAAATGAATAACCATATCTAATCACACTCATAGAATACTTTGAAAAATATTATGAACACATATAATTACAAAATGGCACTTACTTTTGTCCTAGGAAAGAGAGAATAATAGACATTGTAATCACCCAAGGGATCACACACCTTCGTAGGTGTTAACAAAGCGGAAGATGCTGATCTATTAATAAAATAATAGTAAAATATTAGTTTCAGGCCTCTTTATACAAACAGATGATTGATTAGTAATCTAATAAAAAAATTAAATAAACAAAAATTGTGTTAAAGAATACTAACCTTCTCAAGCATACTTCAGTGTTCACCGCTGCAAACATAAATGAATGTAACTGTACTGAACACAGTGGCCTGCCTTTCTGATTGTTCTTGTCGGTATTATACCTGAAAACATCAAAGTAATTGTGTTAATTCTTAGTCTACCAGAATGTAACAAGAAACTTCTTTGTCTTCGTAAAGTTGTTCTGTAAAGCTGGTACATAATTATTTATTTATTTATTCATATTGCACAATGTACATATAATAAGAGGTATTACATACAACTAATTCAGTACAGTATTCAGTATTCAGTAAATAAATAAATAAATAAAATTATACCAATATATAATCAAATGGTTTCTGTGCACCTACCTTTGATAGCATTCATCTATTTTATCTATCTCCTGTGATCTAGACTCAGGCAAGTAAAATATGGGAAATGGTATGTCTCTTCGTAAAAGTCCTGTGCCTTTGGGGTTCCATACAACTTCACCAGCTGAACAGGAACTTCCTTCAGCTGCTGAATAGTCATTAGGACAACTCATATCCTGACTAAATTGGGGAGCACTGTAAATATAAAAATAATCATTTATTAAAAAAATATAACATGTCTATACTGAATACTTTTCGTACAAATAAGGATAAGTTATCCTACAAAAAAAATGAAATATTTAATAAATTCAAAATTTTGTCACAAATGATACTATTCTTACCTTTTCGTAGCATTGTCATATAATAGAATACCAGCAATTAAATCTGGCTGTTTGAAGAGTAGGTCAAAAACATCATAAAACAGACCAGTGCTCACAACAGCCATGTAGGGACCAGCAGTGGCATTTTCCATCAACCAATGGGCATCAGTAACATCTTTTATCATATGTACAACACCAACAGCACCATTGTCAGCCGCTAAAAGTTAAAGATGAACATGTTCTCTATGTGCACCTGGGACTATCTAGGGTCAGCCCCAGTCATTAAAAACAAGTTTAATGTAAAATTAGCCACAAACACCCTGGCCTCTCAAATGTCAAGTTAATAAGGCATACAAACCAGACATTTTAGGTTCAAATGGGTATGGGATTTACTTCTGAGAATGTATAAAATGTAAATAGTTAAGTACATACATGAACACCCTGTTTGATGTGTTCCATTTAATCGTCTGAAACATGCTGCTCCTCCCTCAATTGACGAGTATATTTTCTCATGTAGCCTTTGCAAGTTTCCAACTGAAATATTACTAAATTATGTAGAACATTTGAGGACCGAACATTGGATACAGGAAGGTAATTTTACAAAATAATGACGACATGACGAGTCGCGGCAACGATTGTCGAAGTTCTAACTTTTACCATTTCCCAGAAATCGGTTATTATTATCATAACTTTAAAGTGGAAACCTCTATAATGCGGGTTATTATTTAATATGTAGTAGATTATTGCATATACGCACAAAAATACATTTAAAGATACTTACATCTACAAAAACTAAAAATCAATAACAAAACGAGAAAGTTAAACGATGCCATAGTTATTTCATTACTGCAATTAGATGGTAATTTATTCAATAATCACGTCTTTTATGGTCTTGCATTTACTTTTCTATATCTACAAGTTAATATTAAAAGATTTATCCAAATTACAAACAGAGGAAGAAGAAATAAGAATGACAAACACTTCACTTAAAAAATGAAAACATGACACACCAATGACGGTATTGTATTGACATTGACAGAATCCAATGTGATATCCGAAACACTCATATTATACCCCTACCCTACCTAGGTACGTAGAGCTGACGCTGTGACACTGATATAGACCCTGTCTTTTTTTATACTTTATAGGACGACGTTTGACCACCATCTCGCCTGATGGTAAGCGATGATGTGGCCGACGATGGAGCACGCCTACCTATGCACAACCTGTTCACTCGGGACTTGAAGGTCTGAGGTTGGGGATAAGGTCTCCTGCAAAGAGTGTAATAAGTATAGGAAGCCTCCCGTTTATAGGGCTATAAAAGTATCATCACGTTATCTTCCTTAGACCTAATGGTTTATCAGACGGTCATTTTTGTCTTTAATTAGTCATTTTTCACTCAAAGTGATACTAGAACTCAGAACGAAACAAGAGTGCGGAATAAATTCATTAGTAAACCGATCCAACGATGTTGGATTTTCGCCACCGGAAGATTTTAATATTGCTTACAAAAACTGGACATACAAAAACTTCACCATTTTCCATTTTCGCCATTGTTTGCCTTTTAAGGTATAGGAGTAGGTAGTAAGTGTAGGCAGAGGTGCCCACGCCACAAATTAAAAAGTAGTATAATTTTTATATTTATATATATTTAACAAGAAAACGTTGGAAACGTTGGATGGTGAATAGGAAGGACAAGATAATACGGTAAGACACACAATAGAAATATAATGTTGCTATATCAACAAACTAGAGTTTACTTAGCTGTGGATTTTTGTAGTGACAACATTTCATTATTTTATTTTATTGGATGGACGCCATTTCTGAAACGACAGCTGTGTTTGCGGGACTAAAATAGTTCCTTATTTTCACTGTTCATTTGGATAGTTTTTGTTTTAACGTAGCATTTATTTTCTCCCTAGTTGAGAAAATATTTTGGCTATGTCGGAGCAGGTGGAAATTAAGGTACGTATTCTTTAATTTAGATGACTGAACCGAACATAAGCTTCCATTGTTCAACCTTGTCCGTTGGTCGATATTTTTTTACAAAACATTTCATTTTATTCTTTATTAATTAGTAAATTTATTAAAATACTCTTTTGTTGTACGAAAATATTTTGATAAATTTATATTATTTCTATGCATTTCTTGATTAATTATTACACACTTCACGGTTGTTATATTGAAAAATGTTCCACCATTTTAGGTTTCGCAATTTACGTGAGATTTATTTTTTATTTGTGTAACGTATACTAAGAATGTAGTTTAAATACCTACCCTAAGTTGGCATTTATTTGTATTTAGTTATCATTTTAGAGACGACATTTACACGTATGAATTTACGTACTTACGTACGAACTTTTCAAAAGTATCATCAGACAGGTGTTACGCGAGAAATAGTTTTTAAAGCCACGATAGTTGAGGACTACAAAGTAACTATTTACTTATGTAACTAACAATTGCAAAACTTTTATAAATATTTCGAACTTACACAAGGTTAGAAATGGATCAGAAAATGTTGTTTTGTATTTATTTACTAATTTACAAATACCCAATTGATCTTTTAGAAACTCTTCAATTCTACTCTCATTTAAGTTAAGCAATTACCTCTACGACTTTAACATTTCCCGTTGACTACTTTGTGAACTATTGAACTGATGATCTTAAATTTTATTAGGTACCTATAAGGAAAGATAAAATAAAACAGTTTTTTCGACATTTTATTGCTTCTTTTATTGCTTGCGATACTAATTAATTATACCTACTTAAAAGTATTCATGTATCTACCCTACTTGCCCCTATTATACATATGAAACTTTCTTCTCTCGATTTTCCTAACTATGCACTTAATTTAATTGAAGTACCTATTTCAATTAAAGTAGGTAGTTAAGTAATTTTTGTACCAATAGTGATAAAAAGTTAAAATAAATGACCTTGCACTGTTCTCGAGTACGTATGAAGGTTTTGCTCCCATGATAGGCACGGTAATATTATCGTGTGATAGGTTGTCGCTCGCTTTTGCGTAAAATTAACTATTGCCTAACGTATGGGTGCAACGAATGGCACATTTTTCTAAGGGTCATCTCCACGCTACACGGCGCTTAAACCAAGGAGCTCCCAGCATGTTAAGCACGTGGCGAACGTAAACACGGTCCCGCTCGATGCGTCACGCGTCGTGTTGCTAACGATTTTAAGATGCACCTCGCGACGTTGCGATACGTCTCATAGGCGGCTGCCGCATGCGGCAGCGCGATATCACAGGCTTCTTCCTGTATCGTCTCGTCTCGATGTGAACTGACCCTAAGAAACAAATGCCATTAATTGCCATTTATGCCATGCCATTCAATATTTATTATTATAAAATGTTACTTCCTAAAGAGATTATTTCTTGCATTATGGGCGCGTACACAAACATATACATTCACACACAAAATTTAAAATTAATTTATGAATCCCAATCACACAGATAATTGTTCCGTGCGGTAATTGCACCCGTGCGTGAATGGTAGGTACGATGCACATTAGTGTAGTCAAATTGATTTCATGTATTATTTTATCTTCTTTATTTCAGCCTGATGCTTTGCCAGATTTAGATGATTTATTGCAATGTCCCGTGTGTTATGAGATCCCGTCGGGACAAATTTTCCAATGTAATGAAGGACACCATGTATGTGGACGTTGCAAAATGCGCCTGGATGTGTGCCCAGTATGCAGGGCCTTGTTTTTTGGTACACGTAATTATGCTATGGAAGAATTGATTGCCAATGTTAGAAAACTGAGGGCATTTGTAAGTATTACCAAAATACATTTATGCACATAATTTATTAAATGCATCTCTAAGACTAGAGGTGTCCAAACACGACAAACAAGGTTCGCGGCTAAGCTACGCGCGGCATTCACAGGACACAAATTTGCTGCGCGACTTTGTATCGGTATTGTTATTGTCTCGGACATGCAGCGAAGGTCGCAGCATGTCCGAGATACCCGACAAAACAGACTAATATTTGCGCGGTACAATCCAGCAGGAACCCTTAGATGAAATGACAATGCCAGATCCTGACCCAGTCATACCATCATTTACAAAAAAAGTAAATTGATGAAAATAATTTTGACGGATAAGGAACCTTTTCACCATAAATCTTTTTATTTTTAAACTTGCGGTTTACAATTTAATAAAAAAATAAGTTCAATCCCGGAAATACTTTTTTTGCAATGCATATTCCATATTGTCTAATGACTATTTGCGTTACATCATACGCATCGCTTGTACGAAACTTCTGTAAAAAAAATGTCATTATATATAAAATATTATAGTTTTGTGGTCTATACAAAAACCGCAAGTTTTACAGGTTTCAGGACAAATGTTTAGGTATCGGTAATTAATACACTACACGATGCTGAATACTGCATACTTGTACATGACTTCTAATATAGTGGGTCAAAGATGTACTGAGCACCTGGCATTGTCCTTTAATTAATAGAGGATGAAAATACCGCAACAAATACTTTCTTAATAAATAAATGATAATATAAATATTTGACGTTGCGTCTTGACTGAACTCTAAAAGGTCTATCCCAAATGCACACACACAACACAATGACGCTCCACCAAAAACCGACACGAACTGGTTCGCCGCGCGGAACGTTCGAGCTGCCACGCGCGGCGGAGCCGTCCCCGCCAATGTTCGATATATTTTGTCGCGCGCAGTCGATACGCGGCTTTACAGTACTATAACGTGGTTTGCACGTCACGTCAACGTAATGTGGCACGCTATCGCACCGTCTCAAGTTGACGACTTGCCATGACGAGGAGATGTGGACAGGCTGATACGGCTGGCACTACAGTTGGCATCAGAATTAAAGCGATGGTGTGTGTCATAGTTTGATAGTTTTGCTAAAAAAGAGCACCTATGACTCTTTAAAAAGGAATAGATGTTTAGCTGTCTATGTCTCTACTCAGAAATAGGTCCAAACACAAATGCGTTCACGCGTGGCAATCGTCTTATTACAGTGCGGCGAGCCGTGCTCTCGATTGCCGCTTGATGTGTGGACACACCCTTAAGGTCATATTACACTTAACGGCCACCGCTCCAACCCAACTACGACCTAGCAATTAACTTTTCATTTAAATTTGAACATTAAATCTTATACCATATGACATATTTCATAACGTCAATACATAAAAGCTGTAAGCACGCTGCCCACGCGTTGACAGTGCGCTTACAGCCTTTTGGTATTGTTTCCGAAGCAAAAAACGTCATGCCGGTGCCCTGCCGTGTTCGTGCCGTTATTGTGTGCGATGTCCCTTATAGTTCTGCTTATTTATCACTTGATAATATACAGCAATCTACATAACTACTAGCTAACCAACACTAACAGGACTAAAATCTGCGGCTCGCGGCTTTCAACCAATCATAGCGCTCCTAGAATACCACGCTCGAAAGCCGTGTTTTATGTGGACACACCTTAAAGTGGAAGACGATAACGGTCATTCCACATTTAAAAAGCACCGCGACCGCGCTCTTCCGTCTAGCGTGCGGTGCGGCACGTAGCCGGCGCGGCGACCACGCGCTTCCAAACCGCGGTAGGCGCGCCGACCGCGAGGTGAAATCTTTTAACAATACCTACCTAGATGCGACGTTGTTTCGCTGGCGCCTGGTGGGCGGCTTGCCGTGAGCCGTCAACTCGCCGACGCCGACGCCGCGCTGTCGGCGCGCGGGCGGCGTGCCGTTAGCACGCGGGCGCCTCGACTACACCTCGAGTGGACCGCGCGCTGACCACCCGCAGTCGGCTTTTTCTATTGATGTTACGAAATGTATCATATGACATACGATTTTAAGTTCATATTTAAATGACAACATAGGTTGGATTGGAGCCGTGCTTTATGTGGGTTGACCTAATAGAACAAAACATTTGTTTGACTATTTCTTAATATTATTTAATTTAATTTTAGAAACTTGGTGGTAAAGTCACTACAGATACTGGCTCTGGAAATAAAGCATCTAAAATAAACGCAAATGAAGTACCTGAAACTGAAAGCGTAGTTGATGATGCAAGCGAGCCGTCTAGTGTAAGTGAATATCTTTTTTTTGCTAATAGATTTTATACTTTACTAGGTACTCCCGCGCGGTTGCACCCGCTCTGCTTGGCTCCTATTGATTGTAACATGATGTTTTATAGCCTATAGCCTTTCTCGATGAATGGACTATCCAACACAAAAATAATTATTCAAATCAAACTAGTAGTGCCAGAGCGTGTTCAAACAAACAAACTCTTGAATTGTTGAAAGCATGGAGAGTAACTTAGAGAGTAATTGATCTCTTTTTAATTCCCCTGTAATAGTACAGGAGTATAAGATAATGATTTAAGGTTTCTTAATTGTAGCATTCTACGTTGAGACCACCACAAGCTTGTAAAGGTCTTTTCCGTTGTCTCTCATGCAAGAGTTCAAAAGGAATAAGATTCCCTGCAGCTCGTTTGCTCAATCATCTGCGTTATTACCACTCTCCTGAACTTATTGAGGTAAGTGTAACCAGTTCGTGCACTCCATGAAAATTTTGAATAATAATAATCTTACCATTACCATTTATTAATTTTTAGGGCAAATCTGAAAATGGTGAATACGTGCAAGCCTGGCAATTTTCTACAGTCCCTGGAAGAATTGTTACTGCAGTTCGAGTAGCAGACATGGGAATCTTCTTTTTGATAATTGATATTGGCAGTAAGCTACAATTTGATCATTAATTTGTATCAAATAATAGTACTTTAATTAATTGCTGGAATTTGCTATTGAATAATAACACTAGATAAGCATATTATATATAATGTGCACATTATAATCCTAATAACTGTACTTGAGTGCAATCATTTGGCCAACATTTACAATGTAATAATAGAATAAGTGTTTCATCACATCATCAACAGCCTATAAATGCCCACTGCTGAGCAAAGCCTCTTCTCACACGGAGAAGGTTTGAGCATTAATCACCACGCTTGCTCAATGCGAGTCGAGAGTTTCATCACATCCCACAATATTAATTTACACAAGCAATAATTTAATGAAATTAATGGTGATTAATAATAATTATTGTTTCAGCTGATACTTTTAGTGCGTGGCTGTCCATGGCTGCATCTCCTTGGGTAGCCCATGAATTTTCCTATACTATAACTATTTCTGGAAATGACAGAGAGGCAATTTTCTCTGATTGTGTAAGTAAAAAAATAACTAAACTTTTTATTCAATTTTTAGGACAATTTTCAGTTTATCATAACAAGTATATCTGATTGCACGGTTCGAGCGGTGGCTGGACAACCGGCTGCCACGCAACATGTTGCGGTTTCGATCCCCGCACGCAGCAACTCTTTGTAATCCAAAAACTGTTGTTTCGGGTCTATACTTTTATTGTGGGTACTTGCATGTTTGTAAACGCACCCACGCCAGGAGAAAATCCTAAAGTGGGGCAACATTTTTAAAACAAAAAATATGCGTCAGTACTAGCTCTTAATAGCAGTTATTATTTTTAGGTATGGTCAGTCAGATCGTGTGAAGGCTCTCTGAAGAAACGTGGACATTGCCTCACAGTAAATGGGCTCGACGCTAGAGCATTGGTAGCACCTCCTTCAATTTGTGGTAAACTGTCTGTGCGTCGTACGCCACCTGACCAACTAACGACCCAAACTCAACCACGCGCTGTTCTGCGAGTAGCCAACAGAGTAAACAATCGTGAAAATACACACACACATGCTCATGATCTGGAGCCTTTCTTACAAGACTTACAAAATGACGTAGCTAGGCTCTCCCGAGCATTTGCAACGCTCGGACGTGAAGCTAACGCTCTGGTACGTTCTGAAGCAGAAATGCGAGCTAGAATCGAAAATAGACACTCTGGTACAAACGAACGCGCTAGCTCATCTGAGAGGGAAAATCCTGTAGAAAATAATCAGGCTGACAACAGTACCGAACGTGCTCCGCTCTCACGTAACGCGCGTAGGCGTATGCGGCAGCGATTGAGAGCCGCTCTAAACGCCCCGCAGCCTCCGGTGCCCGCACCTCGAGCTGTCAATGGTAGCCTATCGCCAGCCGACTGGCAAAATGGTCCTACCCATAATGCTAACGTGCAACGTCACGTTGTGCCCGGTTTGGGTGCTATGCAACAGCCACCAGTGCCGCCACCAGCAGCACCGACCACCGGGGCGCTGCCTCCACCTGTAGCCCCGCAGTCGTCTAGTGGAACACCCACTCAATCTCAAAACGGAAACGTGCGCGCCAACAAAAAAAAACGACGTCATCGTAGATAAATTAACTTTACATTTATTTAGTTAGGTGTCTATTAATGAAATTGTAAACACAATAAGTTTACTGTATTAATGGTGTATTTTTATCAATTTGACTGCTCTTTGAGTCTCATAACTTAGCTCTGGGGGCTACATACATTGTAGTATATGACTTCATGTAGATATTTCGTCTTTTGACAATTGCAATTTTTGCGAGTGCTGTGATAGTATATTGCAAGTCCATGCAATATAAATGGTTAAACTACCTACTTACTTAATATTTTCATTGGTATCCCCAGAGTGTTTTGTGATTTATAGATACCCATTAGGATAAATTGTTTTTAAGTTAATTTCTGTTACGAAATGCATTTTGTGAATTATTTGACCATGATATTTTAGGAATATCAATTTGAAGTGTTTTAATAATAATAATTGACCATGTGCTTGTTTTAATCCTGTATGTAATCATGAACTTATTGTAGGACTATTATAACTATTTAATTAATTACGATAACTATTAATCATTTAGACAAAATAGTTATAATTATAATACATAAAAACTTACTTGTTTTTTTGTTCGTTTGAGGATAACCACATCCATACTTTACACAGAAATAACTGTGGATCACTTGAAACGATAATGGGTACTCGACAATAAAGCACGTTATTATTCATTGTTTTCAATATGTTTCATAAACACAAAAGTCCATCTATACTCATCTCGCGGATTTTTATGCCTTTCTATAATTTTGTACTACTGATTACGTAAAACCACCTAGACTACTGTAAGTACCAAAAAGTAGGCTCTCATAGTACCAATAGTGGTAGCTAAAGTAGGTAGGTATTCCTTAATTTATTTCCGCGTTACAGGACGCGCTCTGCTATGCTGTATATATTACAATAAAATTGTCATTTTATGATATCTGCGTTACACTCTGTGCTCTTTCATTTACAGGCTTCTACTTAATTACTTTCTTTTTGATAAACTGTAAGAAGTTACAATTTCGTAACGTGATATTTCCAGGTGATAAATTTTACACTGTATATGTCAGGGAATACAAAAACAGAAGTTATAACTGCATAAAAATTTGTTATGGATTACAACAATAACTACATTTCTGATCTAATAGCAACATCATTTTTAGATTGTCTTACCTATCTACCTATATTATTTTATGAATAATTAAATATAATTTCTTGATGAATTTTAAAGTGTTTTTTTCTTGAGTAAATTATAGGTATTATAGTACTTATAATAATTATTATGTATTAATATCGTGGTTAATAAAATAGTCTTCAATACAATAAAAATTGAAGGTCAATCGTGTTTGTTTAATTACCTATATACAACAAAACCTTTACAATAAATTTCGATGAACGTAAAATATTCTTGTCTTCTTGAATAATTAACTACACAAGTATTGCCTACTGTATCCCTGTCCGATACATACTGTATCCCTGTCCGATACATACTGTATCCCTGTCCGATACATACTGTATCCCTGTCCGATACATACTGTAAGTATCCCTGTCCGATACATACTGTATCCCTGTCCGATACATACTGTATCCCTGTCCGATACATACTGTATCCCTGTCCGATACATACTGTATCCCTGTCCGATACATACTGTATCCCTGTCCGATACATACTGTATCCCTGTCCGATACATACTGTATCCCTGTCCTCCGATACATACTGTATCCCTGTCCGATACATACTGTATCCCTGTCCGATACATACTGTATCCCTGTCCGATACATACTGTATCCCTGTCCGATACATACTGTATCACTACGATCAATTGGAGGCGAGCAGAGCGGGTGAAATCGCGTAGCAGCTAATAATAAATTTATCTAAATAAATAAAAATAATTTCCGTTCGTTAGTCTCGCTAAAACTCGAGAACAAAGGAAAGGATTTGGTTAACAATGGTCGTTAAATGTTTGTGGAAGTTATAAAATGTCAGAAATTTTTTTTTATGCGGTATGATGTTTCCCCTGTAAGCTAGTTCTATATATATTTAAATAACTCGAGAACGTACTGAACCAATTTGGCTGAAAATTGCTGGGAAGGTTGCTTAAAATCAGGAGAAAGATGGACGATTTTTTATTCAAAATTTTCCCAGGAAATCCAACGGGAATGGAATTGCGTGTACGAAGTCGCGGATAGAAGTTAGTAGATATCTATTATTTATTTATTTTATATATAAAATAAATAAAATTGGATTGTCTGTTTGTAATATTAAAATAACAGCTTTTTACTACATGCCTATGAATATATATACGATACACATGCCAAAATAACATTTTTTACAAGATTTGTCTATCTATGTGTTTGCACTGGCTAATCTTTGGAATAATTGGACTGATTTTGCAAGACCTATTGACAGGTAGTAACATAGGCTACATTTATTTTGAAAAATTGAAACAAAAAAGGTTTATATAAAAAAATTGTATTCTACGCGGACGAAGTTGCGGGCAACAACTAGTAGTTACATAAAGTCGCGGAGAACCTAACGGGTAACCGGAGCTCCGGCTCGACGTGCAGGAGAAGGAACGGGGTGGTTTTTAGTCAGTAAGAGTCTGACACTCCCTCCCGCCTCACCCAGGCGGGAGAAGTCATTCGATGATTTTCCCCCCAAAAAAAAGTAGTTACATAAAAATCAATAGACCGGAAACTACTAGCGCCAAATGACTGAAGATGAAACGAAATGTTCTGGAACATTCTGATAGTTATTGATGTTGGCGCCATCTAGCGGAAAGTAGCTGTAATTAAATTAGAAGATTATACTTAGTAATATAAGTAGTATTTAATAGATGGCGTTAAAACAAATTTCCTGCACCTTGCGATTGAACGATTTATAATCAGAAAATTAAGAAAGGCGGTACGTAGAGTAATACAACCGTTATACTCATGGCATTTATTTTTATAAACTTATGTTTAGCTGATGTCCTTGGTATAGTAGGATCGCCTACCACAAGCATTTTCTTGCTTAACAGGTTTTTTCCTAATATTTTGTTGGTATGTACATAATAGTTGATGAAATAAATTATTTTTATTTTATTTTATTTTTTATGGCGACAAAAACTAACATTGTTATTAACAGTTATTTTGTTCTGAACTGTATAATATTGACAGAAATAGTCTATGCTAATTTTATTGATACCCGAGCGTCACTAGTTGAAAACCACACCCCAATTTTCCGAGTCGTAAATCCGGTAACTCTTTAGGTTGACCGTTGCTCCAGATCGCATATCAGCCTTACTAGCCCTATCTCTGATGGTCTAATGGCTCTTTGAAGCGCGCGTGCACGTGACGCGTCGTACGCACAGACCCTGGTCCTAGTCAGGCGGCGAGCTACCCTTGCTCGCTATCCACAGACATGCCCTTACGATGACTATACTATATGACGATACGCTCTAGCATCGGGGTAGAAACACCAAACTTATACATGAAATACGCTAACAAACTTAATTGTGCGGCTCAATCCCTAGGCACATCAAACGCTAATATAAGTTTGTCAAACGTTAGGTTGCCCGCAGTGGACTTTGTGGCCCGATATTACAATTGTGAATATATGTGTTTGTGTGTTACTCAGTCATATTAAAACAACTGAAGGGACCCAAATGAAATTCGGAATAGAAGTAGATTATGGTCTGAAATATTACATAGGCATTTTACACCTGGGATCGTGGGTGAAGCCGCTGGTGGAAGCTAGTAAATAAATATCGTCAAAACAACAACATTTTATTCATAAGGTTTTTTTAATTTTTTTTATACCACAACGGTGGCAAAAAAGCACACGGCCCACCTGATGGTAAGCGGTTACCGTGTCCTATGTGCGCCTGCAAAACTTGGGGCATTACATGCGTCTTGCCTACCCTTAAGAAACCTATTCACTGCCCTCTTGAAGAACCTCATGTTGTAGCCCACTGGGAAAACCACGGCAGGGAGTTCATACCACAATCGGAGGGTCCGTTCAATCCGAAAAAAATCCGAAAATTCCTCTGAAACCGAACTGTACGGGACCATTTTGGCTCCAATGAGTGAGCGTGAACCTCCTCTCGATGGCGAGCGGTGCGATGATAAAAAGTGGCCGTGGGCATCATATCAAATAATTCCGCAGAACATAACCTATTATACAAGCGGTAGAACACGCACAAGGAGGCAAAATCTCTCCTTAGACTGAAGTGCTCGATACCGCTGCTCGTAAGTATAGGATCGTCAACAAGTCTTACAGCTCTCCTTTGGACCGCGTCAAAAGGTCCAAGCTGGTATGCTGGCGCTCCTGCCCAGAGATGAGAGCAGTACTCCATATGGGGGCGAACTTGCGATTTATATAAAAGTAGCCTTTGTCCCGGCGTGAAGTACCGCTTCGCTCTGTTTAGCACACCGAGTTTTTTAGATGCCAGCTTGGCCTAGTCTTCTAAGTGACTACGGAACTGGACGTCACTAGATATGTCGACCAAGGACACCTATACTTTTGGAGATGTTAAGGGTAGTGTCTTGGAATTTATTGGCCACAACGAATGGAGTTTTTTTAGCGGTAAACGCACAAACTTGTGTCTTTGAGGGGTTAAACCGGACCATATGGTCCCGACCCCAATCGGAGACTCGGCATAAGGTACTCTCGATTTGAGACACAAGTTTTACGCGGCTTTCTTCCAAAACGGAACGAAGGATGTTTGCACGGCCCGTGTAAGATGCGTCCCCGGTGCTATCATCAGCATAGCAATGTATACCCTCAACTCAACAGACAGCAAATCATTGATATGCAGAAGAAACAGCGTCGGAGAAAGTACGGAGCCTTGCGGGACGCCAACGTTTATGTCCATGCTTTCAGAGCACCTATCGTCTACGACGGCTCTTATGCGTCGGCCAGACAAAAAGCTAGCAACCCATTCGCACACTCCCTCGGGCAGTCCGTATGATGGCAACTTCGTCAGAAGACTCCGGTGCCAGACCCTATCGAACGCCTTTGCTATATCTAGGTTAACTGCCAATGCCTCTCCTTGACTTTCAATGGCCGAGGCCCAACGATGTGTGAGATACACTAGAAGATTACCAGTCGAGCGACCGTGGCGAAAACCGTATTGACGGTCGCTGATCAGGTCGTGCTCCTCTAGGTATCGAAGGAGCTTGGTATAATGTCTGTCGTATTGTAACACAAATAATAATGGTTTTATAATGTACGTTTACCGACAGAGGGCGTGATGGGTACCCAAACTCGAGTTTCCAGTTTGTTGCGTGTCGCCACGCCACTCACGCGAATCATCAATGAGAGTCCCATTGTGCCTTAAAACTATTACGAGTTTCAAAAAAAGCTCTACAGCATTTTCCAAATATTTCACGTGAGTAACCTGTTATTTTTAATTAACGTTTAACGACATTCTCCACACATAATATGGGTATGTTTGTTCGTTTGTATGTTAATAATTTACGTCAAAATACCAGTAAGGGTCAGGATGAAACTTGGAACAGGGGTAGGGGTCTAAAATAACAATTGAGAAACAAAACACTATTCTGAGATGTATTCTGAAATAAAGTGACCTGAAAGGATATCCTTGCTGTCTTTAGGTCGCCGCCTCAGCCTCTTATAAAGTTTGCTAACTACGGTGTTCGTACGGGGGTCATCTCTGTGGTACCCTATTTTGCTGCCATACTCTCAGAAACCTTCCCCCACTGATCAGTAAATAAGAGAACTAAAGGACTCTTAAACGAGCAGCACTATCTCTCTAAATGTGAACTTCTGAAATATCTAAGTTATACACTCAAGTGAAAACCCTTCACTGCTGTTTCTCTTGGTAATCCCGATCTCGAATATGTCGGACGTAACTTACCTGATGTTGTCTTTTTTTGAAAATGGAAGATCTACAAATACTCATCTCGGCCACGGTCTCAGACACTTGTTGTCTAAAAACCACCCTGTTCCTTTCTTGCCTTTTACCTGGGCCATCGTATATGGCTGGCCTCACCTACAACATCAGAAGGTATACTGATCTGATGGCTTTTTAAAGCTCATGCGGAATCGGACGCGTCGTGTACTCGGATCTATTTCTGGGTGAGCAATAAGCTACCCTGGCATGCGAGCTATAGAACCGTGCTTACGGTGGCCGGAGATCATTGAGGGAACCCTGACGCCCATGCATAGCGTGGCTAGGGCGTGAAGAGGCACGTTATTTTTATACTTAGCTCCCTTTTTAGCTAGTATAACTGCTCCGCAGCAGGAACAGATAGCTTCGAAGTCTTCCTCACCCCGTATCATGAACAGAGTAACCAAGTGCCGGGTGCGAGAGTTCACCACTACCAATCACGGTACCTGGAAACCTGGGCACACGGTGGTGCTCAACCGTGGTGGGGCTTTCCTACTTGCACCATAAACTTTAACGTATCGTCCAGCTGACCCTCGCAATGTCGCTGCAAAGGTGCTTTCCAAAACAACAGTGAGTGTTCAGAAAGCACCTGAGTTACGTGGAAGGTGAAAACGCCATCACATTTCTCTAGACATTCCTAAAAAACGTGCCGTCTTACCTGATGTTTGATGTAGCCAGGAACATTCGCTTCATGTGCCTGCTGTATGCCTACATATTCGTGACGACATTTGTTATCTGTGTTTCAGAACCTTTAAACTGTCAAACACCAAGCGGTCACCGGTGACCGCGACCTATTGTTCTTTAATTGTGTCTATAAAACCGGTACTCGACGAGTTAAGATACCCCGGTTTTTCTATTATGTGTAATGCTAACTATCTGTTCGTCTCGCTGTTACTTAACCTCATACCTAGACAAATAAGTACTGCTCCAGTTGAGCAAATATCTATTACACTCAGTTAACCACTCATTTATACAATAGAGAAATAATGGTGCACCTCTTGTTAAAATGGGAATTATTCGCCGATGAGTTGGTTCATCGTGTCTGAAACTTATGAGATATAAGTTTTTTTTAGCGCCACCTTTTGACAAATATGTCAATTCATATTGTGTCATGTGTGTGTCGAACGTTCGTCGTCGAACGTTACCTACAGACAAATGTTTGACTTGTATTGAAGACTTCGACTTCAGAAATCTGATTAAATTGTTTATCATATCATAAATTACTTTATTCAGTTAACAAAGATAACTAAATATTAGAAATAAGAGAAAATCCAAAAATCAATCATGACGTAAATTATCGTCACTGCCATCTATTGTTACATCCAGGAACTAATTGCTAATTCAACATTTTTCGATAAGTGTAGAGCTAGTTTTGCTATATATCTCTAGATGGCGGAATTCAAAAGTTCAAGTAAGTTTAGCTACCAGACAATAGATAGCGCCTGTTCTCTACACTGTATCCTGTTTCTGTTTTATACTAATTTACCGACTCTCAGTCTCAATGGTTGTCTTGTCATGTCATAGAAGTTGAGATCTTTCGTGATTTTTGGTAATTTGGTGTGTGTTTGTTTAGAAGGTGCTTGTTTTTGTTTGTTGTATGTTTATTTGATAAATACCTACTTTCTTTTTGCTTTACTGACTTGGGGAAAGTTAGGTACCTAGGTATTGACACTTTGACAGTTAAGTTCCTAGATATTAGATAGATATGCAGAGAAGAGAAAGCATTGAGTTATTGAACGATGTTTTATTTAATGTTCTAACATGTGGGATAAATAGAGATTGTGAGAACTGTTGACAATTCTTTATCCATATGGGAATTTTATGGTAAGTTTTCTATGATATTAATGTTAATACTGATGTACACACATCAGTACCTATGCACTAACTTCGGTTCAGATTAATCATTTCGGCGGGAACTTTAATTTATACTTCTGTAGATACATTTCTGTAGCATGTATTTGAAGTACCTAAGTACTAAAATTAAAGTTTACCGTCGCACATATAATATTCTGTAAGTAAATAAAAATTTGGTAGCTATTTTGAAGTATTTTGTGAAATCAAATTCTTTATTACCTACCATTATTTATATTTATTTGTACGATTTACATTCTGTCATTTAATTAAACTTTCCTTATACTTTTTAAATGCCTATGGTGGTATGATACTCCTAATTGTAGATCTTTAGTAACTACTTACCTACAGAGTGAAAAATTTGATGTTAATATACAGATTTTGTTGAAACTGCAGTGTAACTGGTTGTTTGGTCAGCATATTTTAAATAACTATGTGTATGTGCTCACTTAACATGTTATAATTTTTTAGATGGCTGGCATAATGGATGATAAAGTTGATCCAAAGCTCTTTGTCACTTGTCGTCTCTGTCTTCAAGATTTAGGACAGTATCAGATAGTACCCAAAGTCCAGCAACAAATTAAATACTGCTTCAATATAGATGTGAGTACTGTCATTAACTATAATATATTGTTTTAAACACCAATATATTATATTTTATTACATGACTACCTATTTCCACACCGTTTCACCCACTCTGCTCGGCTCCTTTTCACAAATGGCCTATCTAACACAAAATTATATTTTCAAAATCAGATCAGTAGTTCCTGAGATTATTTAAAAAAAAACAAACAAACACTTCAACTTTATATAATAGTATGAAATATAAGATAAGATTGAGATTTAGGACATTTTGTTTCAAATCAAATCAAATCAAATCAAATCAATTTATTTGTGAACACAGGTTATACAGAAGGTGTTTAACATACATTAATAGAATCTCTATGTTCTACCAATAAAATTGGTGTACAAATAGTTATGAAGTCAGGCAGGTACCAAGCATTATTAATATATTTAAATTAAACAAGTATAAAAGAATCATAATGGTATGTCAAAATTTATCATTTAGAAATAAGTCAATAGAATAATATGTCTTGTCAATTAAAAATAATGTCAGTTTTCGTTTAAAAAGTCTAATATTATTTTCGTTTCTTATATATTTAGGTAGTTTATTATAAATTTTTGGAGCCATTGCAAAGATACTGTTCCTGTATAGTGCAGTTCTAGATTTCAATAAGTGTAACTGGTCACAACGACGTTGACTGGTTACTCGGTCAAAATTATTAAAATTGTTTTTAACGAACATACCAGTCTCATAGATGTATAATGAGGGGACCGTCAAAATTTTGAGGTCTTTAAAGAAAGTGTAGCAGCTGTCGGTAGACTGCAGATTACAAATAGCCCTAATGCATCTTTTTTGACACTTGAAGACCATTTCTTTACCGGTTGCATTCCCCCAGAAAATTATTCCATATCTTAATGTTGATGCTACTAGACCATGGTATGCTGTCAACACTGTTTTTCGGTTTGCAGTTTTATTTAACATGTGTAGAGCATAGGAATATTGATTTAACTTATTACACACCTTATCTATATGAACATTCCATTTCAATGTTTTCTGTATACTTAGTCCTAGAAATTTTGTTACATTTGTTTCATTAATACTTTTTCCGTGATATTCTACAATTAAATTTTTGTATTGATCCATTCGCTGTTCAAATTTCATTATTGCCGTCTTTTCTAGGTTTATGATCAAATTATTATGTTTTAACCAATTTACAACAGATTCAATGTTAGCATTTATATCTGCTTCTAATGTTTCTAAGTCATTACCATCAAATAGTAAGGTACTGTCGTCTGCAAACATGGTCATTGGATATGTTGATGATGTTGGAAAGTCATTTATGTAAATAATAAACAGAGTCGGGCCAAGGACACTACCTTGTGGTACGCCGTAAGTAACAGTTCTCTGACCAGACCTATAAGTTACCTCGCTATCTTTAGTGATTCTACTGATAACTGTCATTTGCCGTCTGTTATGTAGGTAGGATTCAATTAGACTCAATACGTTTCCTCTAATTCCATATGCATTTAGTTTACTTAGGAGTATTTTATGATCAACGCGATCGAAAGCCTTTGTCATGTCCATGTAAAGTGCTACAGCTGGTAATTTCTTATCTACTTGACTGCTAACTTTATCTAGAAAGTCGTATATGGCCATATCAATGGACTTGTTCTTCCTGAAGCCTTTTTGATTGTCAACTAGTAAATTATTTTTTTCAAAATATGAAGTAATTTGATTATTAATTACTTTTTCGTAAATCTTAGAAAATATTGGTACCAGAGCAATAGGTCTGTAACAGGACATATTTTCTCTGTTGTCTTTCTTAAAAAGCGGTTTTATTATAGTAATTTTTAATTCACTGGGAAAAGTCCCACACTCTATGCTCAAATTAATAAGATAACTCAATATTGGTGCAATAATGATGGATACGTGTTTTATAATTTTAGTAGATATATCATCGTACCCAGTGCTAGCTGTGTTTTTGAGCGACATTACAATACGATGGATGTCAACTGGTGAAGTAGGGGACATGAACATCGAAGTATTTTTATTATTATTAATCGTCATTTTATAAGTGTCAATATTGATATGGTCAGTTAATTTTACTTGATCTACAAAGAAGTCATTAAAAGCTTGTGCTATTGCGTCAGGATTAGTTAATAGTTTTTGATTACAGTCAATTTTCATGATATATTCATTTGGTATAGTGGTTTTGTTCCTACTGATGACTTTCCATGTGGCTTTCCCTAGATTCTGAGCTGTGCTGATAAATTTATTATTGTGTGCCCTCTGCGTAAGATTTATTACTTTTTTAAAACGGTTTCCTACACTTTAGATGGAAAGGAAGTATTATTTTCTTTAATTTATTTCATAACATGTTTTGTTCATAACTTTCATTTCAGGTAGACCCGTTTGATGGACTTCCACAACTTATATGTGTGAAATGTAAAGGCATCCTAAACAACTTCTATGAAATAAAGACGTTGTTCAGTGAAAAGCAAGCAGACTTGAGAAATAGGGTGACAAGAAAAGAATTAAGTTCGGTGAGTACTTATCTGGTCATTTATGTTGGGTATCTACCTATAGTCTGTCGTACATTTGGGGCACTGCTTTCAACATCACCTCTTGGCAGTGGCCTGAGCTCAGGCTTACAATGGTGTAATTATATGTAGTAACTCATAAGGTACTCTTATTTTTTCTAGTAACTCATTGAGTTGCACATAATAATTGGGCAAACCTATTGCTTTAAACCAAGTACTATTCCAAATAAATCTAATATGAAGTATGCAAAAAACTGAAAAATCTCATCATACTCAATTTGGGTAGATACCCAAATTGAGTATTTGAAGATAAGTATCTAAGCAAAGGTGCTTAGCCATACTAGTTGCTATAATGAATCATGCTAACAAGGAGATATTTGTTTTAATGAAAGTATCTCATTTATTCCTTATGAATTATTCTTTCCTTCTAGCTCTCTTGAGTTCGGGTCCCTAAAACTGTGATCTGGTTCTGCATCTATAACCATAACTTAAATTTACAAGATTAATAAGTTATTTGGTTAAAGGTTTATTTTTCATGTTTCAGGAAACATATCTTCAACACCAACAAGACACTGTCAGTTCTAGCCAACAAGCTTCTGATGACACAGATACACTAAAAAAGAAACACTCTAAGAAAAGAGTGCTGAATTCATCTTCATCTGATGATAGTGAGTTAGAATCATCATACACTGCATTGACAAGGATAAAAAGAAAATCCTCAAAGTCAGTTCCTAGAAGTGTAGCACCATGGGAGTTACCTTACAAGAAATCTATGTCATGTCATTTGTGTACTTCTGTGTGGCTTAATAAAAACTCATATACCAATCATATGCGATCGCACAGTCACCTGGTGAAAAAGTATAAAAATATACTGAAAAGACAATGTAAAATAAATTTGGTCAAAATTGATGGCAAACCCAATTTAACTGGTTTAGCAGATATGGTGGTACACAATGAAAGTAAAATAGTTGCTCCTGGGAACTCATACTTTTGTACCATTTATTCAAAAGAAAATCCTAGCTGCTCCTCTGGTGAACACATTGTCCAACAAAAATATGAAGATGGGGGTTCATGTTCAGATGATGAAGACATTGTATGCAAACCAACCAAAAGAAAAAAGAGGTTTATATCTAGAAGTTCCAATGAAACTGTTGTAATAGCAAGCAATAGTAATAAGATTTTATCAGATTTAGAAGAAGACTCTAGTACTCAATTTAATAATCATGATACACCCCTAATACATAACAGTCAATGCATAAACATTGATGATTCATCCGACAGTGAATTGCCCAATGAAGAAAATACACAAAAAGTTAAACAACCAATAGTAGCTCGGGAAAGTGATTTTCAAACAATTCAAGATATGATATCAGCATGTGTTAGTTCCTATACTAGCAAGAAAAACGAATCATCTGAGATAGATTCTAAAATAAATAAGAAAAAAGGGAAAAAGAAAGATGGTGCATGTCATATTGCTCTACTCAACCATAAAGTTTTAAGCATTGGAAGGAAAATTGTTTCTAAACAAGGTATCAATTGTATTAGAATATTAAGATACTTAGAGTATAAGGATCTTGACATAGTTTGGTTACCCAACAATGCAAGTACACACTACATTCATATTTCAATGACAAAATCAGATGCACTTGCAAATGATAAAGAAAGTATGTGGAAAAGTATACCTGAGACAGTAATGTTACCTGAATCACTTCCTGCTAAAGTCCCTATTGCATCCTTGCCAGCCACACTATACCTCGATAATAAATCGAGTAATTTAGATTCAAAGAAAATTTTAAATGCCCATCCTGTTGCAAACCCTAAACAATTGCCAAGGAAATTGGGACCAGCTTCTGAATCTAGAGCACAGCTTTCTAGAACGTTTGAAGAACCAGCATTCTGCATGCCTATCATTGCATCGACAACTTCATTAGCAGAAGTATCTACTGATCAACAGAACCAGGAAGCTAATGGAAAAACTAGCGCTACATCTGGAGTCTCTGTAGAGATGACCACGTTGGCTCCAAGAATTAAAGTAAAGCCAGTATCTGAACTAATGTCACAAGAAACTTTGGACAGTCTTAAGCAAAAACAAAATATGCCTGCTACTAATAGTATCATGTTGACAAACCAGATTGATAATGTTTGGGTGCAAAACAAGCCAGCCAATGTGTTTCTTCCAAATGTGTTGGTACAGCCGCAAGTAGACAGCCCGAACATGCAAGTAATCCAAATGCCGATCCTAACTTTAGATTCTACAAATTCAGTAACTGTCAGTGAAGATGATAGCCTAGATTATGTAATACTGGACACGGCTGATCTTCCAAATACAAAAACAAAATCGCCAATGTCATATCTGAAAAGTCTCTTGCAAATTCACAATATAGTATTATTAAATACAGAAGAAGCAATAACAAAAGATTTTATTACGCTCATTAAATTTAAAGCATTATTCAAGCAAAATAAGACTACACCTATATTGCTTTGCCTATCTTTATACTGTTGTAAGAATACCTTTTCTATACAGGTTAGAGATAGATATCAACTAGCTATTGACATGTTTCAAATGTCTGCTAACTGGCAATGGGAAATCCTTCAAGTGTATTGTGGTGAAGTTACTGTGAAAGCATTAGAGAGTGCTCGAAAACATGGCCAAGAAGTGTATGACTATACAAATCATTTTTATTGCTTACTCAAATCCATCAATTATCGCAAAGCTTGAATGTAATAACTAAATTTATTATGCGGTTTGTCGGGAGGTAGATCTAACTGAGATGCAATGTAGTTTGTAGTTTCTATTGATTCCAGAAGTGAAAGGATTAGTTTCACCCCTCTTTCAGGATCAATTTCACTGGTCGATATTATTTAAAATAGTTGATGGAACAATTTTGTAGTATACCATGATGTGATAATTAACCCGTCGAGCGTCCGCGTTCCTTATGCAAGAAAATGCATTTATTTGGCCATTGGCACACGAAAACAAGGACATTCATTACAATAGAAATAAAACAAATACAGTCAAAATAAAAACAAAACATTAATAATAGATTTTATAAAAGAGAAAGCAGCATGGAGCATTTTTTCTTATGATCCACCGGGTGCTCATAAGGACGCTCGAGGGGTTAATATGTTTATGCTTTATCTATTTTATTAGTTAGGAACCTTTCTAATAATGATAATACTTTTTGTTCATGTAGGTATTTTTTTTTAATAATCCGATAAACGAGGAGATAGATCATCTGATGGTAAGCAATCTGCGCCGCCAATGGACACCCGATACACCAGAGGTGTTACAAGTGCGTTACCAGCTCAGTTCCATATACTTGTGAAATGACCTGTTTTATCAAATCACGCCTTTTATTCCCGAAGGAGTGGGCAGAGGTGCACCTTACGGCACTTAATGACACTGTACAATGTAACACCCACTTTTCACTATTTATGTTACGAGTTCCATGTAATAGGGGGTGAGCCTATTGCCATATACCGGGCACAATTCCAAAGTCCGTGCCTGACAGACATTTTTTTTAAACCCCAGTAGTACTTTGCCCAACTCGGGAATCGAAACCGAGACCCCTTGCCCGGCAGTCGCACTTGCGACCACTCGGCCAACGAGGCAGTCTTTTCTTTCACTTTTTATTTTACAGCTGTTATTGAGAAGAATCTTGTTTATATTGTATTCTTTGTTCCAATTGAAATAACCTGTGTCGAACATTATGATTATTGTACCCACACACAGGAAATTGTATAATATTGCATGACTGTACAGTTATAGTTAGATCGATATAGTAGATCCTGTCTGAATATCGGCGTGAGTTCTAGTTGTATACTTATATATAAGGTTACACCTTTGTTGATAATATAGTTTATGTATTCTTCAATGAAGAATCGTGATTAGGTATTTGTATAATATTATTAACAATAAAAACTTTAACAACATGTATTTTAGATTTTCTTCTAAGTATAAAATTACAACAAAATTACTTCATCAAAGTTTCCATATGGATTCAACATCTAACAAAACTTCTTTTGGGTCTGAATGTTTGTGGAACATAAAATATCCTTGAATTTGTGCTGGACTGACCACCTTGTTCTGGTCCAAAACCCTAAAAGCAAAATATACTTTTACAGATCAAGGGTCCACATGCATCATTACATACCACCTAGTACATGTGAATAAGTTAACATACCTTTTTGCAAATGTTTTGGCATGATCCGGCGCTTTATCTCCCTTATAAAATCTCAAAAACATTAGCTCTATTTGATCTTGATCACAGTGTCCCACATACTCTTTCATGTCCACTCTGCCTGGTCGTATCAAAGCAGGATCTAATCTGAAAAAGTAAAGTGAATAGATATTATAGGTACTGATTCCTATTACTATTGTCTATTGATGGGGCTGAACAGTTCACAGAAGTCCTTCATCTTAATCGTTCTTGAGCCGCCTGTTTCATCTTGCTCCATATCAATCCGATGCTCGCCAATGCATCGAGATAGTTCCAAAAACCACGAATTTATGTTAACCTCTAAAGTCAGTCAGTTTACACCGAGATGTTGCCCGCACATTTTCAAAGAACAACTCGAAAAACAACTTTATTTTCTACACAAAAAGATACACATTGACCCGCGCGGTATCGAGAGACGTAGCAGTGAATTTTGGGTACGTTACGTCGCGAAAAACATGGTATCTTTTAAGTTTATGAAATAAATGAAAATATTGGAGACTGATTTACCTTTCCAAATAATTTGTTGTCATAAAAACTATTCTGGCTTCAGTAGACGCAACACCGTCGAGACAATTAAGAAGTCCACTGAAAGTTACGCGATTTAAACCTTCATATGCAGACTTCTGTGCAGGTGTATCTTCTCGAGAAACAAAGGCAGCATCCACATCTTCCAACAATATAATTGATTGCTGTGGTGCAACACTGAATAAAAATTAACATAATATAACAAAAAAGCCATGACATTACACAGATTTTTGCACCTGACCTTGGTGCAAAAACGGTTTAGGTAGCATTGCCATTTGGTAAAGCTCAAGAATTCAGCAGTTTCTACCTTCCTCTACCTTAAGGAGGAGAAAATCTGTACAATTGGTAAAGATGAGAATTATACCTATTGTATTATGTTGTGCTCATGCTACAGTATTTTAATATCCATAAATGTCCGGTCCAGTTTAAAACATTGCATGATGTTATTTGTTTTCTCTAGGCTAGGTTTTGTTTTAGATACCACTAGATGACCCAGTAAACTTCATATCGTCTAAAATTTTTATTTATATGTATAAATTAAATTATTATTGGGTAGTTTATTTAGGTAAACTATAAACTTACCTAAGTAGGTGATTAAGTCTATCATCAGTTAGTCCTCGTTCAGATAGATTTAATACACAAATGTTGTACTCCAATTCACCTGCTAGTGCCATGATATATGAAGACTTTCCACATCCAGGTGGCCCATACAGCAAGTAACCTGAAATATAAAAAAAATGTCAAATTAAATATTTTATTATTTTTTTCACAATTATTATTTAAATATCTTTGCATAACATTACACCTAACCGCCTAATTCAGAAAAGGGTGGAGTAACATAACACTCACTTGGCATGACCTATGTTATGAGCCCTATCTCCTCATTACTCATCTAAGTAATAGTTCATATTCCTTTTATTAGTAATAATTGTTTGCATACAAAAATTACCTCTTCTATAAGGAATTCCTCTTTCAGTATACCAGTTGGGATTATTGATGAAATCCCAACAATCAGACAAGATTTTGTCTGATAAACCAGCACGGAGCACTACACTGTGCAGAGGTCGCCGTCTTCTAGGATGTCCAAATGGTCGCCATTCAGATCCCATAGCTGTGTACATTATTGTCATACCTTCATGTTGTTTCAGGGCCATTGTCCTTGCTGCAATGACATAATTAGTTTAGCAATATATACAGAACGTAACAATACATGATCATAAATAAAAAAATAAATATTATGTAATTAACTTAGATCATTACACAATACTAGGTACTTAGCAATTTTACCTTCTTCTAAAATATTATAATATAACTCTTTATTTCTTCCAAATGCTGTTAGTGTCACAGTTTCCCAAGGTACGCCCATATGAAGGTCTAATGTATGTTGTTCTCTTGTACGGTCCACTTTTATCCATGTGCCACCATATCTGAAATAATAAATAAATCAGTTTCATAAAGTCTCATAATCTTTGTGCGTAATTTTATAAACTTACCTGAAAAAATGTTGACCAACACTAGGAATAAAATCATATTTAGTTTTTATTTGGCCAGTGTCCTTTTGTAGGAATGATGTTTCTACACTTAAGTGCTGAGTTTGTCTAGCACCTTTATGTGTTATCCATTGTAATAACCACTGGTAGGACTTATCTCTGCACGGAACTTCAAGCGTGATCATGCAATGTCTCCGAAATAGTATCATAGACGTCTGTACTCCTCGTCGTAATATTGCTGCACCGGCACCGATCCCAAATAATCCAAAACCTGCTCCGAAATACGGGTTTTGTGAAAGAGATGCTATATACTCTGCGATAGCCATGATTATTATGGGTCAATTATGTCATTAATACAAAGAAACTACTTTTGTTAAAACACTAAATAAACCTTTCTGGGGATTTTTTCCTATTTGACATTAGCAATTTATTCATTGATTGGATCTTGACAATCAGCTGTTTTTAGATATTTAGAGCTTCGTTTATAAACTGCTCGACGGCTAAAACTGGACTGAAATAATGTGGGTCTTGTCTTGTAAAATCTTATTTATATTTTGACGAAATGTGCGAAATGATAAACTGCGAATTACACTGGATATGATCAAGTGATAAACCAAGATTTTCCGTAGTATAGTAGTAGTCCGTATTTGTACATCAACACTAGATGGCGACAGTTTTCAGAAGTGTAAAATTTCTTTTAGTAAGAAAAGAATCACTTCTTTGCAGTTGTTAACTTACCTTATAATAATAATAACGTCAAAATGCAAACTATTATATCTTTGTTTAATGTGAGTGTAAAGTATTCAGCTAAGGCGCGTATTCTTTGCAGTTTTTTTACATCTCTGTAGATTTTTTTTAAGGAGGGTAAATCATCGAATGACTGCTCCTACCTGGGTGAGGCGTTAAAAACCACCCCGTTCCTTCTCCTGCATTTCGAACCGGAGCCCCGGTAACCCGTTAGGTTCTCCACGACAGCTCTATGAAGATTAAAATGATGCTAAAGCATAATAGTTGCGACAATGACATTTATAATTTATTTATTTACAACAAAATAGGTACTTGCTAAAAATTATCAACAACGTCTCCGCAATAGAGTAGTCTACAGTACACTATAAACTACAATGTATACTGTAGAGTGTACATTGTACACTACAATTTTAGAAAAAAATAGATGTTCTAGCCCTTAGTTATTTAGTTACACAATATTTTAATAAAATAGGGTACTACATATTTCTAAAGAAACTTCTTGTAGACCTTTGACTGGTAAAGCAATAACATTATACAAGTTAAGTACCGAGTTATGGTTTCAACAAGTATGATCGTATAAACATCATGAGTTATTCTTACTATTATAATATTATAAATCGGAAAGTGAGTTTGTTTGTTTGTTTGTTCCGCTTTCACGACGTAACTACTAAACCCATTGCTTTGGAATTTTGCAAACGTAAAGTCAAAAGTCCGGATTAAATAATAGGGTACTTTTTATCCCGGAAAAATATGATATTCCCGAGGGAAAGCAAAAATATTGGTATAGATGGCGCTGTGTGTACTAGTATTGATGGCGCTGTATGTCATTTAAAATAAGTCAACGAATTACCACCGAATGGGAAATGTCACGCTTTAATCTATAGCGCTACAATTACACTTATTCGGTGCTCTTTTCGACTCATTTATTTGCTGTTTTATAAGTCAACGAATTACTAATTGGTATCTACATAGTAGTTACGCTACTTAGCGATAGATGGCTCTGGGTGTTTATAAACCTGGGTGTTTATAAAATAGGTATATTATATTATATGTACCTACCTATTGTGATAAGTGAGAAGGCAACTTCCATGCACAGAAAATCTCGAAAGAGATTATGTTGCATTGTACATAAAAACAACGTTTGTTATTAAATGAGTATTATGTATTAAAAAAAAATAACGTGTTAACATTTGCTTACATGGTTGCTACCATTTTACATTAAATTGTGTAGGTATTTTATAGATTTTAGGTTAATAAAGCTACACGAAATCTTTCAATTTCAATTTGTTTGTTTGCCTGTCTTAAAACGGCAAAACGGTAAAGTGATTTTTTTGTCACATATGCTATTTTTTATCCTTTTGTGACGCGAGTGAAGCCGCTGGTAAAAGCTAGTACCACCTAAATCACTTATTCATACAATTAACTAGGCATATAGGTAGGTAGATAATATTGCATTATGTTATATTTTCCAATGTTCACTAATAATATACTTATAAAAAATGAAGTAGCGTGACGCCGCTGCGCGTCTGCTGGGACAATGATAGGGGTCGCGTGACCCGCACCGCATCACATCAAAGCATTTTAGAAGCACAAGGGAGACGATATACAGTCGTATATCGTACCTACATTTTATGTACTCGTACTAATTACTTATTCAACAAATTGCTATATCTTCACCAGTTTTGTAAACGAAGGAGTGAATAGGTACACCTAGTTTCATATTTACCTATGTGTAGACGCTATGAGTGAAAAATTCAATTCAATTGCCTACTGTAATTTATTACTTACTAAGATTAGCGACACAATGAACAGGATAACATAAGTTCTGTAGTTGACTGACCTGTAACAATCACATTAAAAAAAATCAAAGTCATCAAGTTAAGACATTTTTTTCGAAAAAGGTACTCGTATCTTTTGTATCTACAGGGCTATGTATGAACACGTTATGGTTAATATTGAAGAAGTGCTAAACAAGTATCAAAATGTCGTATTTTTGGAAAGTTCTATTAATTATAATTGTGTTTATAAAGCAAGAAGCTGATTTAGCTTTAACTCTCCGAAAGTTTGTTCATCAGAAGGATATGTCGGAACACTGTCGGAGGCGCGTGGTGCCCTCAGTATTTCTTGGCAAACAAGTGGTGGACGCGTATTCACAAATTTTGCAATTCTCACAACTGGAACTACCCTACAGTTGCTTTATTGGTGTTAGGTTTGTATAAATTAAAACATGTAATTTTGTAAATTTGCACCACCTACCCACATATTTTTGTAGAGACCTATAATAGAAAAGATTTTATTTTACTTTAACAGAACGGAGTCTGGTAGTAATATAATACTGGTAATCCAGCTGGTCTCCAACAAAACCCTGATAGATTCATGCCGTGTAAACAAAAATCAGCTTTTAGTTTATGAATTAGGGGAGACGTTCGGTGGTTACTGGGGCGCCTTGCCCCATGGTGTTATGGACGCGAAGCCTAAAGAAGACGAACAACAGTATGCAATAAAAACTACGCAACCTACGACTACCACGGAAAAGAAGACAACGTAAGTAACTTTAAATCTGGTATACCTTAGTTACTAATTCCTCGATGTTACCCACCTTTACTCCTAAATCGCAATCAATTTCAATTTTATTATTAGAACTAGCTTCTGCCAGCGGCTTCGCCCGCGATCCCAGGGGTAAAATGCCATGTATCACTTCAGACCATAATCTACCTTTGTTCCGAATTTCATTCCGGTCCCTTCATTCGTTTTAATATGACTGAGTAACAAACATACACATAAACTCGCATATTTTCATTTATAATATCGAGTCAAGCTAATTTCAACCATTGGCCTTTCAGTTACAGCGTAAAGTCTATGAATGAGTATTGTGAACATTAGAGTAGACAAATACAATCAGAAATCACCGAATTGCTCAGCTATCAGGAGTTTCACGTGTTATTGTGAGTCAACCATAAAAGATAGACATATGCTGTCGAGGAATATTTTTTATATAATTTTAAGGAGAATATTTCCGTCATACATGATTTCTATGTAGCTTTAACCTATAAGCCTGCACACGTGACGGAAGCTTAAAAAATGGAGTAACTTCTCCCGTTTTTCCAATATTTCCCTTTACTGCTCTGCTCCTATTGATCGTAACGCAATGAAAAGTATACTATAACCTGCCCAGGAGTATGAAGAATAATTGTGCCAAATTTCGTTAAAATCCGTCGAGTAGTTTTTGTTTCCATAACGAACATACAGACAGACAGACAGACAGACAAAAATTTTACTGATTGCATTTTTGGCATCAGTAGCGATCTCTAACCACCCCTTGATAGTTATTTTTTAAATATATTTTATGTACAGAATTGGCCTCTCTACAGATTTATTATAAGTATATAGATGAGTTATTTTCCCGTCTCCTACAGAAAGTAATTTTGAAGGGAAAGTTATACTACCTCCCCCCAAATTGAGTTAATCTTAAAAGATAGACACATACTGTCGCGGACTTTTTTTAGATCATTAAAAGAGCTATTATTCTTTAATACATATTTTTTGTGGATCTTGAACCGTTTTCACAGCGCACGCAACGGAAGGCTTCAAAGATGAAATAATTTCCCCCGTTTTTTACACATTTACCATTATATCTTTGCTCCTATTGGTCCTAGCGTGATGTTATATAGCCTATACGTATACTATAGGAAGGCTATACCTTCCTCGATAACTGGACTATTCAACCGATAAAGAATTATTCAATTCGAACCAGTAGTTTCGGAGATTAGCGCGTTCAAACAAGCAAACAAACACTCTTCAGCTTTATAATATTAGTATATATTATGTAGGTAAACGAAACAATATACCGCACTGTGCTAAGCCTAGAAGGACTATTCCAATGTAGCATTGGCTTAGCCGTACCTAGGTAGTAGGAACGGAACTATTACCCACGTAATAACATAACTGATGTGTGTACAATACCTAATTACCGTGGAAGTGATATAAATAAATACATACTTAAACACTTAAAAGTAAAAATGGCATAGTAGTGTTGTGTCTCTATATATCTGAAAAATGTAGGCATGTTATGACTATGTATGATATGTAAACATATAACAACTATTTCTTTTTAAAGCACACATACACCACCTCCTACAATGTCGACTACAGAGGAAGTTAAACCTGTGAAGCCACCAAAGGATTACATTGTGGAGATACCCATTGTCAACGTGTCTTTTCAATTGGTGCCCGGACGACTGCCACCCAAAGCCATCTTCGACACTGAGGACAGTTTTGATAAAATTTTTGATGTTAAGCCATGGTAATATGAACAGTCCACCAAGTTATGTATTTAGTATTTAGGTAAAAAAATAACGATTGATTCTCTATTGTTATACTAAATTGTATGCTTTGTAACGAAGCCATTGGTCGGCTCAGTAGCCAACAAAGGTTACTGTTTCTGTACGGAAACAATCTCATTTTCTTACCTGTAATTTGAATTATTGTACATTTTGATCTTACAATAAAGTATTGAGAACGGTAGGAAAAGCAAGTTACCCTCGCTATTGTCATTGTAGCTATATTTTGCAATAAAATTGAAGACAGTATGGCGCTGCTGAATTACTGAATTGATGCGTAGATAGCTTCAATCAATAATCAAAGGCTGACGAATAGAAAATAATATTGATGTTTATTTAGGCCTAATATGACTTATAAGTCGACGGTGCTGCCTCTGCTGCAATTCTCGTTAGAAGACGAAGACGTAGGGGGTGCGTTGCGCACTCCCGTCGCTGTTGAACCTGAGCTTCCGGAGTTCCAAGTGGACTTCAATTCCGATATATTCACACCAGACTACAGGTAGTAAATAAGCTGTACGGTGCCTTAGTTAGGTTAGCACAGAAAAATACAAATTTAAACTGATATCATCACCTGTGGTTACACAATGAGTTCCTACATAAATAATTATGAAGTCACATGTACACAAATACCTATTATAGAAAGAAACAAACAAGAAAGAAGTGATGCTTTATTTCTAGATCCACTTACAATTAAAAAGTTTAAAATATTTAATACTGCTGTTACAGATTGCCTTACCCGGTATTTAATTTGCCGACTAAACGTCCACAACATAAGTATAACGTTAATCATAGACTTAACTTTAAAAAAAATAAAATGTTGCTGGCTGAAAAACAATCTTTATTCTTGAAGACGTAAGGATTGCATTTGAAAACTTTGTTTTAACTATATAACTAGTTATTATAGTTCTTGGTCGTACATTTTTCTGTATTTTTCAGATCTTTACCTATGTTTCCATATCATACTTTCGTGTCACGGCCTCACGACGTATTCACTAGCCATTATCGTACTTCACAATCTCCGTTAAATAAGGAACATTCTGAATCCTGGGATGCAGTTAACGCAATTTTGAAAAACCTGAATAGATCTGGACATGTTGATGGTAAAACGAAAGTTGATGATAACGTGGAAAAACTTTTACAAGGACTTGCGAAAATTGGACCCAATGAAACTGGTTAGTTCCGAGATGAAGTAGAGGCTTTAAAAATATAACTTAAAATGTTCGCACCGGTCGGTATTAGTTGGTTTAGGAATCGCTAACTATTAGAATAGACTAGAACAGGGAAGGCGAACCTTTACACATTAGCGTGCCAATTACTTTGAAGAAAAGTATTTTACGGTTTTATGTGTGCCATCGACTGATATTTACAGTCTATCTCTAGCAATAATGTATACAGTTGACCTGGTAAGCTGTCACCGCAGTCTGAGTACACCTGCAATATTCGAGATACCACAAATGCGTTGTAGGTTTCTGATCATTCATCAGTTTTGTAGTCACTGTCGTGCCCAAAATGTTGTGTTCCGTGCCATCAACGGCACGCGTGCCAATGGTTCGCCATCCCTGGACTAGAATATAATAGAATAGAATGAAGAATAGAATAAAACAGAACAGAACAGACCAGAACAGACCAGATCAGACCAGAACAGAATAGAATGGAATAAAATAGAATATAATAAAAAGTAACTTCTTGGCCTACATACATATTTTAAAGTCCAACAAATGCATCATTGAGTAAATAGAGTTACTGTAAAATGAACAGAAACTTATAAATTCATTATTTTGTCATATGGTTCAGATATTTAACACCCAAAGAACCTGTCTCATTCATAAGATGTTCAATATGTTCATCCATATATCTAGTACTTTAAAGGTACGTTAGCAGATTCATTCATTACGAATGAATGACTTTTTAATTGGAGCAGTCATTCTTGTAAGTGCACTACTTACTGGCATCAGCTTGCGCTTACTCATTTGATAGTAACTCTTAGGTAGGTAGGTACCAACTTACTTATTTTGTGTATATATGGCTAATACCTATGGTACATACGGTATACCGTATAAAGTATTGGCCTTATAAAAATACTTTTTAAAGATAAAATACTTGTCTAGGAAAAGACCCGAATGAATTAAAATTTCCTTATTTTAAAGGACAATGCTCACGAAGTATGAAAAAAAACTAAGTATTGGCGCAAATGAAACTTATCTCAAATTTGTGTGATCCTAATAAATGCTACATCAGGAGCATCATCGAAATCGATGCCTAAATGCAAGAAATTGCTATGTCATTGGCTCATTTCATTTCGTTTGCGCCAATGTTGTGTTTTGTAGAGCATTGTCCTTTATAAATGTGAGCTTAGAATCTGATCACATTTCATTTTTATTGATGAAAAGCATTCTAAAATTCTAGCAATAGACAAGTAAGTAAAACTGTTTCGTACATGTACGATTTCAGGCTTAGCACTAAACGCGTCGAGTGACTCGAGTGTTGAACCATCAGTGACGGCGTCATGGCATAGCACGACGGAGTACAAAACCGACTCCATCACATGGAGACAACCATCGGCCACATATCGGTAACATTACCTTGTATTTATTAACTCCATATAATATTTGATTATTACCTACGTTATTTTCTGACGAGTAAAACTTTTTCTATTATGGGAATGAAGAAAAGTTCCATATCCATATTAAATTGAACTATTCATACGTACGTTACGTATGAATAGTTCTGATTTAAAAAAAATATATAGAATCATTTACTCATACTTATAAAGGCAGTACGTATCGCACCTTCGCTAAGACAATTGGGATTAAAAGGCAAACATTCAGGAATAATTAAATTAAGTATAAGTAGCATACTTAACTTATTTTTAAATACATCCCACATGTCATCAGATTGGCATACCTATTTCATTCACTTTATGAGTTTTAAAACGCATTTATCTCGACCATCGACTAATAATAATGATTATATCACAAATATCAAATGAATGTAGGAAGGGTAAAAAAACAACATTTCAAATAGCAATCTATTTATTTATTTTTGCAACATAATTCCAGGACAAATTACTTAGATGATGAAATAGAGGAACCAGTGACACAAGTTTCCAGTAGTACGGCAAGTAACATAGTTGACAGCATTGGGATTCTGCTGCCAGTTTTAGGCATTGACACAGTTATATTAAACAGTACGTACCATATCATACATTGACCTATACATAATTGTAAATTATCTGCATATTTGTTGAGGTATCCCTACTACAATAAAAAATACTTAATGCTGGTTGTCGTGACATAATTATAAGTCTGGTGCCCATAACAAGGTGGTAAATACGTAAATCCTTAACAATGGCCTATCACAAACTGTTAATACTTAAGTTACAAACTCTGTAAAAATAATTATTTACAAAAAAAAAACTAAAAATAAAATTGTATGCAAGTACATTCAGAAATCTATTTAAGTAACTATATGTGTATAGGTAGCTGTAGAAGGTACACGGGAGGTTAAATTCTAATAAAATGTTTCATAGTATAAAGATTTTCTAATATTTCAGTAACACAACCGGAGAAAAATGAGTCATCAACTTTGAATGAGTCTGAATCCACCACTTTAGCCACAACCTCAATGTATGTATCTTTTATCTAATAAGTCTTCCAATTCAAATATTGTTTTAATACATTTTTGTGACGCGGTAATGTATAAATGACATATTAACTAGTAATAACAACACAAAGGTCCACTAAAATGGTAAATTCGTTAATTGAAACAATAATCTTAACAGTTACGCTATGTGTGTACATAAGTATGTATCACAGGTATATTACCTACAATTTACAACATAATTCATTTCACAACAACTTTTTCAAAAAAAGTATACATTATAAGAAACATAGACGTACTATAAACATAGACTACGTATGTATATTATGTTTAAAAAAATACACAAATACTAATAATTATTGTTTGTTATATCCTCTTATAATTTAAGCTGAATGTACACCTGTAACACGCAAAGAGTTGACGATGTAAACAGTAAAATAATTCTATATTACTTAGCGACCGCCTACTAGTATAACAATGATCCATTTCCGTTAGTCGATGCTTTGTATACTCTGTTATTTCTATAGTTATATTATTAGATAGTTTGACTCTTCATCCTATTCTGTCCAGCTATCAAATATGAAATATGTATACTTATACATATTTTAAAAGGATGATCAGTTCCATGTAGGGAAAAAGGTTATAGAAAATACTTCATAGCCTGGATTTATTTTTTATCGACAGAAGGAATTCAAGGTATGACATTTTTATTAAAATAATTATATATATATACTGATTTGTTAGTAAAATTGTAGATGTCGATAACTTGAGTTCGTTCACCCAATAATCTAAAACTTACGCTACGAGCACGTCTTGCTACGAGCGCGTCGTAATCGTAGCAAATTAAAATTTAGCTAAATATTTAATTGAATGTTATTATGGACTTGTAGAACCGAAGACAGCTTTCTTTATTTGTTACTCTTTCTAATTACCTTCCGTAACTCGTATTTATTTATATTAATAAAACTTCTTTCTTTATATTTCGTCTAGATTTATACGGGGACGTCTTTGCTTTTTCGATGTGGCGGTCAAAAGAGTAAGTAGGAGTATTGTGATGGAAACTTCGTAATGAATATTGTGTTTTTTAGAGAAAAGCCTTTGACTCTACTAGACCACGAGTCGTGGGAGAACATGGTACACGCGGCGTCTCTAATGGCTGTCGCGCTGAACCAATCCGTCACGGCCCGCGAGGACGTTGACACGCAGGGAGACAACGTCACCATATCGACACTAAGGCAAGTACTCTCGACAACTAACTGAAATATATCCTAGTATCTTTGTATAATAACTATCGCGAGCCAAACTAAATTCAATGAAAATAATGGTTGACATATAGTTATTATGTAAAATGAAATGAAATGAACGAATGAGAAAACTCAGTAATTTTACGTAGTTCTATTACTAGTTCAGTTTTTATTACTACTAATAAAGCTCTCCTACTGGTTTCAAATCACAACGAAAATTGGTAGACATTTCCTCCGCCATTTTACATGATTAAACCGTTATTTTTAAAACCTTGTACCTAGTTTGAACCCGGTAAAATAAAATATGAGATAACCGTTTGAATACAGGTTGGTAACTATACCTACTTAAGTGGGTTACAATTCAAAATAATTAAATATGCGTGTCTTACACACGCATATTTAATTATTCTAATACATTCTAAATAGATTTGATAGTTGAATTACGCCTTCATACTGATGAAAAAGAATAAATTGATAGGATTGTTATGATAATAAGTACCTACGTGGAGGTTAGGGATGGTCAGATCAAATATATAAAAAAAATGACTACAAATTAATTCTTAAAATAAAAAAAGGTCCCAGAAGCTAGAAAATAAGTAAGTTCATAGAACTTAAAATGTTTAATTGAACAGTGTGTTTATTACTGAGTTGCAGTAGTACTAAAATGCGGCACCAGCGTAAGAAACGGTACATTCACGCGATTCCCATCGAACACGTGAAGCCTCATCACCTGCCAGTCATGCAGGAGATCCCTACTTCGACCCCATACAGCGACAGAATATTCAATGCACAGGAGTTTCAGCGACGTATAGAATTGCAAGATGACGAGGTTTGTTACGAATCAACAAAGTAGCTTCAGTCGTTTTAATATGACTGAGTAACAAACATACACACATCGTTGCACAAAAATAATTATTATAGCATGATTCAGTATTCACGCGCGACGGGCGCGATGGCTTATTAGCGTATTTCATGTATTTCTATACCGATTTCTATGATTCTTATTTTTTTAATTAAATAGGTAATAATGTTAACTTTTTAATAATGAATGAGTATTATAAACGTAAGAGTAAACAAATATAAGCAGAAAGCTTGTACGCGTGTACAGTCTTAAGGCTGTAAATGCGATGGAAGCTTAAAATTGGAGTCACTTCCCCTATATTCCAACATTTCCCTATACTGATCTGCTCTTATTGATTGTTGCGTGATGGAAAGTACATTAGTAAACTATAACCTCACCAGGAGTGTAAAGAATAATTCTAACAAGTTTCGTTAAAATCCGTCTAGTAGTTTTTATTTCTATAAGGAACATACAGACAGACAGACAGACAAAAATTTAACTGATTGCATTTTTGACATTAGTATCGATCACTAATCAACCCCTGATAGTTATTTTGGAAATATATTTCAGGTACAGAATGGACCTTATAGATAAATTTTATTGTACCACATAAAGTCTTTGTTTATGAGGGCGGGAAATCATCCAGTGATTCTTCCCACCTTGAGTAAGGCGAGACTGCGAGAGTGCCCGACTCTTAATGACTAAAAACACCCCGTTCCTACTTCTATTTCGAGCCGGAGCCCAGGTAACCTGTTAAGTCGACCGGAATCTGTCTTCATTGTCTTCAGATCCACGACCGTGTGGCGTTACGCTATCTGAGTCAGTATGTTGGACCAGTACTGTTCAACATCTGCGACTTTGATGAAGCAGCTGCAAGACATGTCTACCTGTTCAACTCATCCAGACTTGTGCTCGCTATTTCCAATTTTACTGTGAGTTCGTCGTACTACTATACTTGTTCATGCTTATTCATTTGTACATTTTATTGTGGTTAGATGTAGGTTTGAATTAAACCGTGATTGTTTACAAAAGTTACGTGGCAAGTCATAAGTGAAGATGTAATGTACTTCTTCTAATATTTTTATCTATCAACCAACATCCGAGTCTTCTAAAATAGCGATTATTCTGAGTGCAGTTGGAACGTATGACGGTGGTGGTAACTCCTGCGCGCACTCTGCTTTCCAGCGACGCGCAGTGTCCGTCAGCGAACCTCGAGTGCCAGGTGTCCGGCGCACGTGTCTGTATCGACTCACTCAGCGCTTGCGACGGCGTACCCAACTGTGGTTCATACGGTAACTCGTCAGACTTTGTTGCACTCTTCTACAACCACTGACAGCTAGTACATCAAAACATCATTGATAAAATATAACGTAGTAAAACAAATCACTGAAATCCATACCATATTCAGGAAATCCTTGCATGTTGTTTTAGGTTCATCATATTGATTGACAATAAAATGAGCCCTAGAATTTAGGGAAATTATTCCAATTTCTCGTTTCGTACCTATCAGTGTTAGGACGGAGTTACAACAAATTCGTTAATGTTTCTCATTCCTAGACTTATGAAGGACTAGCTGTTACCCGCGACTTCGTCCGCGTGAAATAGCGACTTCTGTATAAATTGGGTTCTTAAATTAGTCTTTGTCAAGGTTTCTACGGCTGTACAACTGGAACAAATATCATCACGATCGATTCAGTACCTAAGTAGGTTATATTTATTGAGAAATGAATTTATTTTCGTGATTTCTAAAATGCCCGTCTCGTGCGTACAGTGCCCGTCTCGTGAGGTTTCAGTGATCAAAACTATTCTATGTTTGCAAATCAATGTTGTATCGCATTTCAATCAAATAGATATAGTGATTTTAACGCACAGTTCCCGGTTTCGTGGGTTTTTCGGGTTGAAAACTTTTAGATGTCCTTTCCCGGGTTTCAAACTATCGCTGTACCGAATTTCACCAAATAGGTTCAATGATTTAAAAGGTAAGAGCCTCTCTTTATTTCAACGTCCTTGATCCTGGTATTTTAACGCATAGTTTCCGTTCTTTTGGGATTTCCTCTCTCTAATAATGTGATCTGATATATATCAGTGCGACGTTACTATTGCAAATTTTTAAATAAAAAAATAGGTATTCTGGTATTACGTTATTTACGTAATTACGATACATGGACTTTAATGTACTGTATAAGATATTAACATTACCTAAAGGAGATTTGTTTTTCAAGTCGGAAAATGATCCAATCTTCATTTATGTCTGTTGATGCCAAAATTTATTATGGAAATAGGACGCCATAACAATTACAAATCATCAGGTTGGTTACCATAGTAATGTTACCTGTCAGTTATCCGTTTTCAGATAAATCGTAATTAATATTCTTAAAAATCGGCATAGTGACTTCCACGTAAATGGCAGAAATATGCCGTCGCGGACTTTTATTTAGAACTAATCGAGGCAAACAATCTTACAGTACATTATCTTAGTGTAACTTCTATGGTTTAGGCAGCGTTCGCCGATTTAGGTCTCAGAGACCCGATTTGGCGTACATTTTGTGTTATATTACGCCCAAAATAACATAAAGTCATTACAAATTGTAGCCTGTATGTTATTCTGATGTATGACCTACATTACTGTGAAGTTTCATCTAAATCCGATCAGCAGTTTTTGTGTGATGCAGTAACAAACACATCCACACACATACACACACACATACATCCTCACAAACTTTCGCATTTATAATATTAGTAGGACTCTTGAAATCTTCTTTATTTCAGATATATATGATGAGGATCGTCTGACGTGTGGAAGATCAGCAGGAGTTCAGCATAATGTGTGCCTTGCCGCCATAACTTTCTTAGCAGTTTTACTTACTCTACTATATATCGTGCACTATTGGCTTAAACGATGCGTGCCCAGAGTCTCTGATGCCTTTTTCATATACACTGATGCTGCTGAAAATGTGTAGGTTTATTTTAATGTGTAAATCATAAATAAGAGAGAATCAAACAAGTTTCAAAACATGTACGAGTATGTGTAGGTTGCTTCCATAATGTGATGAATGTTTTTGGTTTCAGTTTATACTTGGACCCTATTATGAGGTCTCCATATGATACCGAAGATCCAAAGGTGTTCTATCGAACCGGTGTTATCCCTGATGATATGGAATGTACCGACATGAAAATAAAAAGCAAGTCAGTTAGTCCTTATATTAGGCGATTTCTCAGCTTATTTCGATGGAGATGTAACTCAAATCGTAATGCGGCACCCGTTACGAAAGAACAAGAAATTGACATAGACTTTGACCGCCATAGAATGTATTCGTATGGTGAAGTAGAGCTCACTAAATTGGGAGGTTCTGCGTTGACAGATATGGCAGTGCAAACCGGATCAAGTTTATTAGGAATTCCCACATTGGGTTCAGTTGTTGTTAACGTGTCAGATCACGGCAGATCTTCGGTGGTTGATTCTGAGATGGAAGACATAGTAACTTATTACGAAGGAAAGCGAAGATCAAAGGAAAGCAATATTATTGACTTAGACGATCGTGAGTCTACGGAACGCGTATTTAAAGAGTTGAGTATTTTGGAGTTCTTTAAACGGGCAAGATCTGTTTCTGTGGACATGCCTCCGTATCAAGAAGAAAGAAGTTCAGAATATTTGACGCAACTTTCACCCCAAAGAGAAGAAGAGGAAATACAAAGCCTTAACTATGAACCAAGCTTCCAAGTGCCAGCAAGCGTTACTTCAATGAATATGGAAATAAGTGGGAAAAAAATTGAACACGCAAATGTCCAAAAGAAATTAAGATTTGAAGATATTAAGGCGGAGTCACCTAGTGAGAATGTAAATGTAGAGGGGGTAATGCCTGAACGTGGTCGACGGAGCGTGGTGTATGGGGCCGGGAAGAATATGCCTATAGAGCAGTCGGACTCCGGCGGTCAAATCGATGAGCCGAGTACCAGTACCAATAGAAAAACATATTTTTGGGGCAGCAGTAAAAACAAACCTAAAAAGCCAACTAAGAAAAAGACTCAATTATTCTCGTCTCGATGAAGTTTTAAAGCTTCTGCATAAGCAGAACGAGATGACTCTTTTTAGATTTAATGAATTAGTTCATTGTAGTTACTGACTTTAATGTTTACTTTGGTTTATAAGAAGGGGAAACGATATATGTATGTTATAATAAAATTAAATATAGCTAATTAATTTGAAATCCAAAATAATTATTTATTACGGACACTGTAACGTTACGTGTCGGTAAAAGATGGTCGGCAAAGCGGCGTCTGCGCCCGCGCCGCTATTTCCTAATTAAGACCAATTGTGCACCGGATAGAACACGTGCCAAAATGTGTGATGTCTTTTTAATGTCATTCCGTCATTGTGTATCTCTGTCATTATTTTAAAATTTAAATAAGCGTTTTATTTAGTAGAACACGTCACACTAATTGGTGAGCAAAGAGACTATCAACCAGTACCTAATATATTGTGCATGGCTGTCGACGTACCGTGGATTAAACATTAAATTAACTTAACTTTACATCAAATCTTTATCTGTACCTGATTATGATGATCTGAGCTAATAAAAAATTAAAGTAGGTACTAATAGTTTTTATGTAATTTTTTGTCAGCTATACATATATCACGCGTTTTACTCCCTGATAGGTTGTGCATAACATATGCAGTGGCATATACTAAATATAACAGTCATTTTCTTTATTTATAAAATGTCATGCAATAAGAGCTTGCTGTCACATGAGGTATAGATTTACATTATTTTACAGATTACAGGGTTACCGTGGCTCCGTCTCGGGGCTTGAATGAGTAGGAACGGGGTGGTTTTTAGTCAGTAAGAGTCTGACACTCCCTCACCCAGGCCGGGAGGAGTTCTAATGAATTTCCTTTCTCAAAATCTGACTGCATTACAAAATGAGAATTTCTGAAAACCGAACATCTGACTCCGCCAGTCGCACTTGGAACGACTCGAGCTACGTGGCAGTCACAAGTATTTATTTAGTCTAGGTTTTTACATCAATAAAAATGTCAGTTGAAATATAAAATGATATTTAATGACATTCGTTAGTGAAGTACAAATACACAAAACATTTATTGTAGAGGATATTGCTGTGACAAACGATTGTCTCGTTTCATTGGGGGCAATGAAATTTATCTTAGAGCTTTTATGTCAGTTCCAAAAAAGATAGATGTAAAAGTGTCAGACTAGAAGCGGGAGCCGAGAGCCGGTGCGCGAGGTCATTTCAATTGAAATCAATTAAAGCAATTGAGTCCAATTGAGCGGGCGGCAGATTCTGCGTCGCGCTCCGTCGCCAGAGAGATTTTATGTGAAGCGCCTACGCGTCGACCGTCACATGACTCACTTGTACATCATCCTGGCCTTTTCCTAGCATGCTCCAATTTATCACGAATATTTACATAGTCATTGACTACATACACTGTGTATACACGAATTTACATGAGGGATCTGTGGGTTACGTACCTAACTGGGCACTTTGAAGACCGTTGCTATGGCAAAGGTTTTAAACTACTGTATCACTTGTAAGGTAGACGAGGCGAGGGCTTTGAATTTCTCGATATGAATTTTTTCTTTAACCTTTTTCGAGTGTCTTTACTTTTTCCGTCTTTTGCCGGAATCTAGATTACCTAAGGCAATATACAACATAATTATTTTCTTCTGTCTCCTAAAGCTGTAGTCAATAGGATGTAGTATTGCAAAATAAAATATTAAATGTTTTGATTATTAGGGTATGTAAAAACTAGTAGATTTTTACTGTGGCGCTTGTACCTTTGTATAGGTACATGTATGTTTGTTTGTACGTATCCAACAAAAAATAACGAGACTTTAAATTCTTCTTCAATTTAGATTCCGGGCTACTGTTGACACTATTTTATCGATTTAAAAAGGGTAAAAATTGTCATAATAATAATATGTGCACCTGTATTTACCACTTCCAAAAATAAAAGGTATGATGTTTTGTTATACCAGCATGGTTCTCGAAGCTAATATCAGATACCCATCGAGACTTTTATGAAGTCCTGGTCTGAAGAGAAAAACAAAATATAAATTATAAATAGTATGAAGATTTATTTAACGGTGCTTGCGACTTTATTTGCTTTTTTTGAGCGAAATTGCCATTCTGGGAAAACATAGGATAGGCTTAACATTCATTCTGCGACAAATAAATAAGAACGGAGCGTTATACGGGTAAATGATATAACTTTCATTTTTCTTTGCATAATAAGGAATATTTAATTTTGTTACGTTTTTTTTTTACAACAGATCGTAACCTACTACAATATGTAATTTTTTGTCACGATACAGAAGAAATCTTATAGCATAGGGTCAAGTGTAGTCCGGATGGCGAGAGTCATGAACGCATACCCGAAATTAGAAAACAACGAGGATCACTGAATAAAATACAGATAGACTAGGCTGCGTGAAGAAGTAAGCGATTTTCTAACTACTGCGGTTGTAGAAATTGTAGGATTTCTTAAAAAGTAAATTTAAGTACTACTAGCTTCTGCCAGCGGCTTCGCCCGCGATCCCAGGGGTAAAATGCCTATATATGACTTCAGACCATAATCTACCTCTGTTCCGAATTTCATTCCGGTCCCTTCAGTCGTTTTAATATGACTGAGTAACAAACATACACATAAACTCACATATTTACATTTATAATATCGAGTCAAGCTAATTTTAACTATTGGCCTTTCAGTTACAGCGTAAAGTCTATGAATGAGTATTGTGAACGTTAGAGTAGACAAATACAATCAGAAATCACCGAATTGCTCAGCTATCTGGAGTTTCACCTGATATTGTGAGTCAACCATAAAAGATAGACATATGCTGTCGAGGAATATTTTTTATATAATTTTAAGGAGAATATTTCCGTCATACATGATTTCTATGCAGCTTTAACCTATAAGCCTGCACACGCGACGGAAGTTTAAAAAATGGAGTAACTTCTCCCATTTTCCCAATATTTTCCTTCACTGCTCTGCTCCTATTGATCGTAGCGTAATGAAAAGTATAGTATAACCTGCCCAAGAGTATGAAGAATAATTGTGCCAAATTTCGTTAAAATCCATTGAGTAGTTTTTGTTTCCATAACGAACATACAGACAGACAGACAGACAGACAAAAATTTTACTGATTGCATTTTTGGCATCAGTAGCGATCCCTAACCACCCCTTGATAGTTATTTTTTAAATATATTTTATGTACAGAATTTACCTCTCTACAGATTTATTATAAGTATAGATAGATAACGACCACAGAAATATTAAAAAAGTATTATATCTGTGATAACGACGGACGCTTAGAAAGTGTAATATTTTACAAGACGAACAAGTGTCATTAGTTAGTAATTCGTCAATTAAATGAGTCAATTTTTTGTAAAGCTAGTCTTGACTTGTAACATTTTACGTTTTAGCTTTCACGAGAGATCACTTTCTATACGTGTAAATACATTACACATTAAGTATAAAAAAATAATTTACGCAATGCTTTTTGTTTGTCAAGGAAAAGAAGTCCCACAAGTGTGGAAATGTATCGATAATGTAAAATTCTTATTATTGTACACGGATTAAGGTCGGATTTTGCACGATTCGAGTACTATATTAATATAATGCAGGTATGTATTTTAAGTATGGGGCAAAATTTAGCAAAAAGACAATGCCCAAAAACGTGTTATTTTTTTCATGGAATAGGAGGCAAACGAGCGGACGGAGCAAAAACCCACAGTCGATTAAAATAATTTATATGTGGTAAGGTAGAGTATACTTAGTATATATATAATTAGTATACTTAGTATATGTATAATTTTTATTATAATCCAATCCTACTGATATTGTAAATGCGAAAGTTTGTGAGGAAAAATGAACGTATGTTACTCTTTCACGCATAAAATAATGGACAGATTTGGATGAACTTGGGTACAGCGATAGATTATAATCTGGAATAACATATGGGCTACTTTTTATCCCGAGAACGCGGGCAATGCTAGATTTATATATAGGTACTAAGGCATTACTATTGTGCAATATTCTGTTACATAGCATTCAGTAAGTTATTTAGTAAGACGAAATATATAAATAATATTAGGTATGTACATATAGTGCAGAGAACAATATTAGATATCCTTAAACCACATTTACACAATATTTGTAAACTTGTACAGTATCACGTTTTGTCTATCTTGGTACCAAAGTTTTTGATAAACTCTACAGGACAGTAGGCTCAAATATTGTAATATAACTGATTGGTTGGCTCAAGTATTCTTTCACTGGTAGGTTGCTTTTATTTCATTTGAAAAACTCTTCTACAAAAATCCTATTATAGGGTTTTTAAGAAAATAATTTAATATTATATTTTGGTTTAATAAATGAATGTATAAGATGACATTGAAATCTAGTTGAGAGTGTCGAAATGTTATAAAACTTTATTTGATTTTCCAAATTCTGGTGCTTAGGATATCTAAAGGATAAAAATAGTATTAAAAAATATAACATTTTCTTGATTTTATGGAAGATTTCAGAAAGTAAGAGACACGTAATCACGCATTTAATTTTTTACTCTCAAAATAGGTAAAATATTTATGAATGTTGAATATATCAACTGTAACTTAAGTTTCTATTGTAGGTACCTACTTACATAGCAAAACTTTTTACGGAAACTATTTGTACCTACGTCAGAAGCTAGCGCTTAATTTTACTTGGCACGACATGTTCCGATGTAGTACTCACTGGCGCCGTGAACAGATCACGCGACTGATACGTTGTAGCACTTCCCACTTTGAATTGGTTTCCACACTTCACAATCACCACCATACTTTGGCACAAAACACTATCCGATTTATATTATTTTATTAGACATATGATTAGAACACAATCACATCGACGCACGTGAGTTTAAGGAGAATGTGTAAGATCATGACCCACTTGTTCCAAACCACGCAAAACTGCAAATGCGACGAGAAGTGCATCAACGAGTGCAATTCGTGTTGTCTGAAAGTCACCAATAAGCCCAATGAAGCAGAGATCCCGCTGGCGAGCGCCAGCACCAACCTAAATAGACTCTGATCATCTAAATTGACTTCAATTAAATAACAACCGAAATTGTTGAAATGCGCCATTACTCCCTCGGCGCTAATCTAAGTGCCAATAGTCAGGGCGAATGTTTTATTAATAATAGCCTGCAGTTACTGTTAATTAATAATTAAGCGATGGTGTCGTCAATCGGCATCATTGCGCGTACGCCGCTGTCTCGACGCAGCGCGCATCCATATCAGCTGCATCCCGTGCGAGCTCGTTCTGTCACTCACAGGTATCGGGACGTGTGCGTCCTATTCGTATTTTATTCGATTTGAGATTTATTTTAATTAAAGTGGGATAGTGAACGTAAAGATTAATTCATTGTGAGGCTATTTATGGCTTCTCTATGGATATTTTAATGAACGTCGTCTAGAGGTAAGTACATTAATAGTTTCACAAGAATTGGAAACGTCCTTGGTGATTAGAGTGCATTGAAAAAAATTTGCAATAGATGTTTGGTTTTTCCCACGGCTATAAATCATGGAAGAGACATATGAGTGGTGTTGATACGGATTTACAATAAAGGACTATGGACTTTCAAAATAATGATGTGGGCGTTCGTGCCCTACAATAGCATCGAAACAAACAAATATTGGGAGAGTTTGTGGGAATCCCGCATGTTGCGCCGACGACGGCAGTGCGGAGCCGCGCGGCCCGCAGCACCCGGCGCGAGGGGAGCCGGAGCGCCGCGCCGGGGGGAGTGGCTGCACTTTGCCGCGATTGGTTTCCCGGCGCACTCGTGCCACTGCCATAAGCGCCCGCTTCATGTACTCGAATCTGCTCTCTCTATCGTCACACTACGACTGAGAATAGCATTCGCACACGCGCTCTCGACACTCTCGGACGCACTACTCATTGGTTCAAAACCTACGTCGAGCGACGTATTATGGTAATATAAATTGACCAACCGTAGACCAAATTCGGTTAGTTCGTTAAAGTTGATTAAAGCCATTTAACCGGGACGGACACGAGGATACGAACGGCGCGAGCGTTCGTCGATCCCGGGGGTTTGGTTAAATGAAGTCAAATTGTTTAATATCGGAGTAGATAAATCTGAGTGTCGGGTCGAGTTCGGTGGAGCGAGCTGTGCACGGCAGGCAGCGAGGCCGCCGCGACGGAGCCGAGCGAGGTGCGCGCCGAGGTAGCGGGCCCGCTGCCGCCCGCCGCCGACGGCTACATGTACGTGTGCGAGGGCGCCGGCGCCGGCTCGCGCTACGAGTGCGCCTTCGAGCCAGGCCACCACATGGAGCAGCCACCCTTCGACGACCACATGTTCGGCGAGTTCGGCAAGGAGCACCACGTGCAGGTGGTGGTGGGCGAGATCAGCGAGCTGTACCGGGACGAGCGGCCGGTCGCATTCGCACCCGCCAGTGACCAGAAGCGTAAGGAGGAACCTTTGCTACTGCAAGCAGTGGACTCCAGCCCGGCTACACATCCACCGCCGCCGCCACCACCGCCCTCTACTAAGAAGAGCGATAAAAAGAAAAGCGACAACAACGGAATCAAGAAGAAGAAAACTAGGTAAGTGTCGAACCATAAAACTTCATCTTTAACTTTACTAAGTTGATAATGCATAAAAATTAACAATACGGTACTTGACAGGTAGTCAAATTCAATACTTTTATTGAAATGTCAAAAACGATACTTTTCTATAAATTTTGTATTGGATTTATGACTACTTATAACGTCATCATATTTCTGCGTCAAACAGCAACTTATTTCCATATAATTAGCGAGTCAAAGCGAGACAAATCCCAAAGTAGGTAAATTGTCAAATCAATGGATTTGGAGTATGAAAACTTGAAACAATTAATTTTAAACCTAGGAAACTAGCCAATTAAAATAGATCTACATGGACTTTCATTCGCTTAACTCGTCGAGTACCGGTTTTATAGACACAATTAAAGAACAATGGGTCGCGGTCACCGGTGACCGCTTGGTGTTTGACAGTTTAAACTTACTAATTTCAAAATATCTCTACGCCCGCTACGCGCTACGCGACTTCGTAGCAAAGAGCTACGAAGAAGCCTACGAAGACTGCGTTAACATTTTGGGAACGTAGCAAACTCGTAGCTTTCTACTACGAAATTGGTAAAAATTTCGTAGCATAATACAAGCGGTAGAATTTTAGCACTTTTCTCCTTTTTTTAACCATGGTCCAATGTAACAACAAATTAATAATTTCTGGTGAGGACTAAACTTTAGCAGAAACCACTTTTTAACTGATATTTTTCATTTCATTATTAATTACCTATTGTGAATTATATCAATTACAATTTTGAATAATAGGAATAATATAGGTAAGTATCGAATTTTATTATCGATCAATATTGGATTGGTATTTCATCTTTATGTTAATTTATTAAGAGTTCAAAACCTAATGAACGAGATAAATTGAGAACATATAGATGGAAATTTTATTTATAAGTAATTATAATACATTATAAATCATATCCTCAAATTGCCATATTCTTGGAAATACCTATTACTGGTAAATAAAACAAAATAAAAAGTGTAACTATAAGTTGTGATCCATTTTGTTTTGAAGTGGAATAAACGAGTAGTGGGTCCACGTGTGTGGGCACGCGCCGCTGTCACAGGTGACCGGCGCAGGCGCACCCTCCCTACTTTATTGTACCTTTTGTATTGTATCATCCGCCAAAGCACCCCAGTTTATTATTTGCATAACTAATACGATGATTTTTTAAATGTGATAAAACCATATGGTCCGGTAATGTTTTATTGAATGTTTACCTTTTTATAAATTATTGTTCAATATCAGTTGTTTTTTTAAATAGTAGTAAAAAATCTGACTAATGATGATATTTTAAAGAAAGACGCAGATCACCAGGAAGAGAGCTAATTTAAATTCTAAATAAGTCATTTTGTAAGATGAGAGATAACTGCTTTGAGATTTTGGGTTAAAATACGCTTAGATGTGTTATTTCTATTCCGATAGAAGGAATGACTTTGAATATCGGTTTGTTTAGTATACCATCACTGCACTTGTATGTAGGTAATTTTTACTTCAAAACCGTAGGTGTTTTTAAACTCGACATTAACACCGCTAGCTAGTTGGTAAGCTTACCGAATACCGCGCATTAGCGAATTTTAACCATCTAGATTTTAAAAGTTCCTTAAGTTATGGATAACGGTTAAAAAAAACGAACATACCGTTAGATTTAGAGATTATTTTTAGTTAACGTATGTACGTAATTTATCAGATTGTAAATACACGGGTCGGGTAATAATTCATAACGGCTCGACACCCTTATGATCTAGACAAAGCTCCAAGCGGCACCCAATTCTAAGTAACTAGTTAAATTTCAAACAAGCATCTTGCAATAACTGCTGTAAAGCTACAAAGGCGACATGTTCCGTTCAGATTAATTACCCGTATGACCGCGGGGAGTCAATTGCCTTATCTCACCATCTCTTGAATGGAGGGACCCTTAATGAATGTAGTTGCAACACCATCTCACGATGATCGCTTTGTAGATTATGTTCGGTACAATTATGTAGTTCATCTCCAACGATGTTCATAAAGTGCTTCATAGTGCAGCTAAGGCTTACAGACTTCAATGCATTTTAAAGGTGTCTATTATTACTGATAAGGCATAAGATGCGGATCAATAGCAGATACCTATATCGGTTACGGGAGGGACGTCAGTTAGGACTTTAGGATAGTTATAATAACTTGTTTATAAGATAGTTTTTTAGATAGAGGACCGACCAACAATCAGACCTTGAAATAAATTTGAATTTCACTTTACTAATTTCATATTCACACATTGTTCTTTGCAACCACAAAATGAAAATTAAAATGATGTGTTGTTAAATATATGGTGTTACAATTAATAACATGATGCCACTATAAGTCAATTGGCAGGCAATTAGAGGTGCTCGCGCGCAACGGGGGTGAATTTAGTTTCACGCTCAATCAATTTCTGCGCGTGCGCCACCCGCAGCCATATTGCACGCGTCAGATGGTAGATGTATTCGTGAATGATAAGAATAAATTTATTTGTGAATGCATAATTGAGATTATTGTTTCTAAGTGGGGCCATTTATTATAAACTCCACTAGTATGCTCCATGTTTGCGATGGGAACTAAGCTTCTTTAGAGTTTAAAGAAACTTAAATTCTTAGAGAAACTTCTTTGTCTGTCATAGGTTTTAGTTTAGTTTATCATAGGTATAAACAAATTAAGCAAGATTTTAATCGTCATATTTTCTCTTACAGAACTACTTTTACGGCGTATCAACTAGAGGAATTAGAACGAGCGTTTGAGCGCGCACCATACCCTGATGTGTTCGCAAGAGAAGAACTGGCTCTTAAACTTAACTTGTCTGAATCACGAGTGCAGGTTGGTGGCACATTCGTTGATATAACATAAGAATATGAAATGCACAGTTATGAACAAATCTTTTAATTTATTTTTATTTCGACAGGTCTGGTTCCAAAATCGAAGAGCGAAATGGCGTAAGCGAGAGCCTCCGCGCAAAACAGGATATATCGGGTCCAGTTCTCCGAGCTCACGACTTTAGGAGGCAGTTTCTCTGGCATCGGTGGCAACTTACCAGCGTTCCCTCAGAATGGCCTCCCTGCTCCATCTGACTCCTGGTCGTACCAGCACCCCTATGAAATATCCTCGCACCATCTTCTGTCATCAAGCAGTGCTGGATATCCAAGTTTCAACACACAGCCGGCAGCGTATTCTTACACGACCGTCCTCAATGGTCACGACGGACAAATGTTCGCTCCGAGGCACTCCTACGAATACGGAGAAGGTAGTCCGCCTCCGTTGGGAGTCCGCGATTACCCGATGATGGCAGCTCATTCGCCACAGATGGAGGCACATTCACATGACGAAAAGCTCGAGTATCGTTCGCACGAGCACGAGGACAAGTACCCGGCGTGTGCGCTGCAGGAGGAGCCGCCGCGGTACGCTGCGCCTGGGGAGGAGTACGACAAGTGCGCACTGGTCGCACACGATAAGCATTACGAAATGGAGCGCCACTCTGACCTCACGCAGCCTGTCGTCGTCAAGATGGAGCCCAGCAGCGGCCAGGCTTACACCACGCTGCCCCCTTTTTTGAACTGAAATACTCCTTTTCGAAATTATCCTAGCGTTAGTGTACGAAGCCAGAGTAATTTCGAAAGGGAGTATTAGCAAGTAATGTCGCAGACGATGATGCAGACTATCTTCTGTGTCCTTGTTTTGTTCTCAAGTCCTGCCTACATTTTGTATGAATTAATTCATGCTGATTATTACATCGTTTCAGAAATGAGTTCATATAAAGTGTAGGTACCTTCTTTCGATTTTAAAATAATAAATTCTATTATTACTATTCGACTAGGTATTGAATTAGTTAGGTAAAATTTTATATTTTTATAGTTATAAATTATGCTTTGTTTTAAAGTTTTTGCAATAAATGTAAATACTACCTAATTATTTAAATATAATAATTATGTAGATTTAAAAACGCGTGCCTCTATAAATAATGATTAAATTGTTTGTAAGTTTTACATAATTTATGATTGTAGTAATTTTGAATTTAGGTCCTTCTTTCCATTAGAACGCTAGTGATACAGACATGTATAAACAAAATTTTAAAAATACCAGATGTTATCAATAAAGTCTATTTCGCTAGCATTTCAATGGGTAGTAAGTAGACAGTATTAAAAAGAGTGAAAATACTCGTGGACTTCGCTTCTCGTGCATTCCTTGTGCCTTATATTGACATTAGTGCCTGTTATTAATTGTTATACCAGTTTATCCATTTTGTATTGTATAAGTAGATAGACGTAGACGTATTGTATACTAAAGTACTTTTTCTCAATGAATTAAGGGTTAAGTAGGTGATAGTATTTTGTAAATATGTTTTTGAAAACGTGAAACAGTTTGTGCCAAAAATTAATTAATAAGTCGCCCAAACTTGGGGCAGCATCCAATAGGTGCTTAGAGATCTAGCAAGTATTTTAGATTAGATTTTTTAAGGTCAATTTTTTATTATTTTGTGTTCCCAAAATTAAGATTTTCTTTATTACATAACCATTCATTTTGATACATAATTATAATTACCTACGATTATTTCATAGGCTCACGGCCCATTTTTAAATCATCAGTTAATTCTTAACTGCAGAATAAAATTGACATTTGACAGTTTTTAACATGGAAGAACTGCCAAATATTTAAAGTTATTCTTCAGTTACAAATTATCTGGTGTTGGAAAAATCGGCTCTTACTTATGTAAATATGCTGTTGAAAAACAAAAAGTATATCAAACAAAATAGCCAATTTAAATTGAGAAATTATTAGTTAGTCAAGTCCTAAATTGTTTATTTTCTAACGGCCACAAATTCTATTATTTTATTAAAGTTAACTTTATAACTGGTATGCTACGATCGCACAAGTGCAACGCCCATTTACATAGCCAGGACACAGTCTAAGACGTGCCATTGTAAATTGATACTTATCTAGAGGAAATAACAAATAAATTGCCACTCATCGCATTGAATCCAGATTTATACCTAGGAGATAAGTGTTTCTGCCTTGCAGTGGGCGACGGACTTGACTGAGGCCAGGGGAGCAATGACCTCTCGAGAGCCATTCTTGCACTTAGGATCACTCTTAGTTATGTTACGGAACGGCCGATCTGCTTTTAGTACCTATGTACTGCAATTCAGTAGCTTCACTTGCCAAACAATAATCACCCTTTCACTATGAAGTTAAAGTACTGTGTATAATGAAGAATAATAGATACGATAATTCTTTTGTTATGGTGATTGCTTTTATTTATACTGGAATTCCTTATGCAGGAATATTTTACGCAGTTAGCCTTTTTAATTAGTATGTACCTAATACCTATACCATAAATTGATTTTGTTCACAAATAAAAGAAATTGTTTTTATGTCTTGTAATAGAAAAGAAAATTAGATTTAACGATATATCTACTTATGTAACTAAAACTTAAAAGATAGTGTTGTTTCGTTGAAACTTTGTTTGTATGGTTTATTTTCTCTCTTTTACTTACTTAAGGTAAGGGTAGCTAGCATTGTCTTATAATCGTTTGGTTGGTTCACGGTAGAATTAGTGCGGATTGAACATTATATTTAAATAATAGGTTTCTAGAACATAATTCGTTTTAAGTAGGTGATAATTTTTTTATATGCAGCTAGTTATAAAATCATTTAGCCAGATAAAACATCGAATCTTTTGATTGCCTTAGAACGATAATGTTGCCTAGTATAAAATATTATTTCTTTTTATTTTTAAGTCACAAAATCATATTTATTTATAAAGAAAAGGGACCAAAGTGTTTAACAAAAGTAAACCTCTTTTACATTTTAGATATTGCGATAATTATACAGCAGGGTGTGTAATACTTGAATAATGAATATTAAATATCCTCTGCCTGTATAATTTGTTTAGTAGAGCATTTAATTCTTTATAGTTACATTTAAGTTAAGAGAGCAATAAGCTGGATATTTTGTAATAATTAATTATAAGGGAGATGAGAAATTATAATACGAATGTGCTTAAACTGAGTTTTTTTACTATCCTTACATTTTTTATATACACTTCAATACTCTATAATTAAGTATATACAATAATGTACATAACATTATAATGTACAATTCACATTTTAAAAATAAGTATTTTTTTATTTATCAGTCTAGGTGACGAACTTTCCAGTAGTTTAGAATACCTATTTATCTGACCTGGAAGACAATATTTGGGAAACACAATTAATAAAACATCTGATTAGGTACAACCTGAAAAAAAATTCCCGAGCTAACGTAGGTGAGTACAGCAAAGCTATTATATTGCAATAATTATTTGGAACAACCGGCTAATTTAGAGATTCACTGATGCCAAAGAGTTAAAGTAGCTATTTAAGTACCTACTGCCGATTTATATTTAAATTATTCCTTAGTAACGATTTTGTTCCGCCAACTATTGCTAAGGACTGGGTTAAATTTTTATTAAATGACTGAGTACGGCGGTTAAAAAAGTTGAACTTTATCAAACTTGAAGTGGGAAAACATTGTAACATCACTTCCATCACTTTTTATGTCTAATCATCATATTTTTTTTATGAAATACCGGGTTTAAGGTTCTGTTCACAAAGTATTGGACTATACCTTCGTTCGATACCACCGTCAGTTTTTCTGAGTTTCAACTTTTAAACCGTCCTGTCGACACCAAATACCGTCACCGCTGAAATAGTATTTCTTCTCAATGGTGTACAACACTAAACTAAGGATTTGTGCGTCTGTCAGGCAGTCGTAACGAACATTACTATAGCTCAGCTCGTCATTTTGTGCACTAGTCACTTTTTGGCCACTGCGCATACTTAGCAACGTCTCTATGTAGTATTTCACTTCGGAACTGCAAACAAAATAAAACTGCTATAAATAATAATAGAGTAAGCAATGAAATGTTCATCAGTAAGCAGGATAATACTTAATAGGTTGGAATATGCAAAATGTTACTTTACTATTAGTTACGGTTACTTAAATGTTATTTATATTAAGCTGGAATCGATCCTAATATACAGGTTGTAAACGAAACAAAAAACTTTTTGTCTGTGTGTCACCACATCATTTTCAGCCAATAAGTTAAAGCTTTGCTTAAAGGGATCATAACATAATAAAGGTACCTAATTCCCAAACTAAAAAAAAAAAAAAACTATACTTACACAGGATACAGAAGGATCAAACAGTTATTAATAATGATTTGATGATCGAACTTATTTCTGAGGAACTGTATGTTCTCATCGATAACGCTCATGGCGACGTGTAGCCAGTACTTGTGTCGCCTCAATTGGTTCAGTACAGCGCTGACGCGCGCTGCCTGCCCTCTCCCATTTTGAGATGACAATTTGAGAGACGAAGAAATCAGTATCGCTATGTCTCTACCGCACACTTTGTCGCCAAAACCGCTGATATAGCTGTGGATTAATAGATAATAAATATATTATTTATTTATTTATTTATTTATTTACACTTTAATGCACACAAAATAAGGTACATAAGGCGGACTTAATGCCATATGGCATTTTCTCCCAGTCAACCTTTGGGTTAAAAGTAAGCTCAGCGAATATGGGCTTGTGTAATAATTATGCAAAAGAAACAAAATAAATAACTAATAGCAATAATAAATACTGTATAACATAATGTATAAAAATATATAATAAACACAAAATATGTACATAAATAACTTCATATATAATTATAATATAATATAAATTGACGAAGACACGAACTCAGCGTTGTAGCACCTTTAAATAGACCTCACGAACACTACGTTTAAAAGCCATTTTGTTTGGAGCCATTTTTATACTATGGGGTAGTGCATTCCATAATTTAATTACACTAACTCTGAAGGAGTTAGAAACGAAAGAAGTGTGGTGAGACGGGATCTCTAGAAGCAAACTTTCAGCTGAACGGAGATTTCGGCTGTGAGAGCTGCCCAAAATCTGAAAGCCAGACTTTAGGTATTCGGGAGCACAAGGATCATTTAGAATAGAGAAGAGCATGCAGAGGGATCTAAGGGATCGCCTCTCACGGATAGGAAGCCATTTAAGCTGAGCGCGAAAGGAAGAGACATGGTCGTATTTACGAAGTCCGAAGATAAAATTATGATCATCATTTAAAAGTTACAATTGTTAGAAGACAAGACTGATGAAAAAGAAATAAATAATATACTTAATGTCGGTGCTGAAACTTTTTCAAGGAATGTTTTCAAAACATTCAATATTATTCTTTGATTCAAATTAACAAATAGGTACATATTACTTACTTGTTAAACACTTTCGATGAAGATACTAAGTGATTCAAGCTGAAACATTGCTTTTTTGCAGATTCTATTTTGGTTAGGCGATTTAGCATTTTATTTTTATGTATTACGAGTAGAAGCATCTGGAAATTAACATTATACATTAACAACTGCAATTTATGAGAAAGCTTCATCCATCTGAAAAAATATTAAGAACAATATACCTAAAATGACTGCCTCGTTGGCTGAGTGGTCGCAAGTGCGACTGCCGCCGGGCAAGAGGTTTTGGGTTTGATTCCCGGGTCAAGCGAAGTATTACTGATTTTTTAAAATTCTCAGTAGTAGCACGGAGTCTTGAATTGTGCCCGAAATACGGCAATAGGCTCAACCCCTATTACGCGGGACTCATAACATAAATAGTGAAAAGTGGGTGTTACATTTTACAGTGCTATTAAGTGCCTTAATGTGCACCTCTACCTACCCCTTCGGGGATGTGATGGAAAGTGTGATGTTATGTATACCTAAAATACTTTATAATTATGATTGTCTCAAAAATCGTGTGTAGATTTGCTAACCGAATTTTCGTAATTCCAAATTTTAGCCTCGAATTTCATTGTGGCGTACCTATTAATGGAATAGGCTCACTTTTATTTTCGGTGAAGAAACCTTAACGCAATAGATAGAAGACATAATTTTAATTGCAAGTACTTTATTGGAAAATTAAGTGATCATAAATATCTTACTCTAGGGTTTGTAGATAAGACTTTGTACTCTTTCAAACTTCTGAGCTCATCCAGACGCTCACGCACAGTTTCTGGTCGCATGCAGTATACCTTCAAACATTTCCTTTGGGCCTCATCAGATATTCTGTACTCCTGAAATAAATGTTATTTGTTATAGGAAGAAGCATTTAAATATCACATACAATTACACATTTTAATCTTATTTAAATACTCTCAGAAAACCAAAATATTGTTGTAACTTGTAATTAATCTGTCAAACACCAAGCGTTCACCGGTGACCGCGACCTATTGTTCTTTAATTGTGTCTATAAAACCGGTACTCGACGAGTTAATTGTAACAAAAGGACACAAGGCTTACATATGTTAAAATTGTTGCAATTATATTTGTATCAAACTTATGAATTTTGTTAACATTACCTCCAAAATATTCCGAACTTGGATAATAGAATTGTAATTATTCTTCAATATGGCTGGTTCTATTTTCAAAACATCTCTAATATCCATGCCGGCTAATGTGCCAACATTTTCTAAAATGAGTTTTGTATGTAAAGGATCAGCGGAAATAACAAAGCCATTTCTTCTGATTCCTGCTTTGTCGAACTTTATGTCATTCTCTGCTATTCTGATTGCTTCTTGGATGTCTGACATTGGCTTGTGTTGGAGGGGTAGGTAGTTTCTACAGTACTTTTGAAACTCTTCTGAAGACACTGCTAACTTCCAGTTGAGATATCTTTCTAAGATACTCATTCGAATTGTTACTGTAACATATTAATAAAACTTCTAACAATCATCTATGGAACTAAACTCTTTTAAAAATATTATGTTACTCACACACTGATGTCTTAGTATCACAGAATTTTTGTAAAGTTTTACTATTCTCTGGCCATTCCTGGAACTTGTCAAATATTATTTGTTCTAATTGTATGTCTTCTGAGAGTAATCCTTCCTTTTTCAGCCAAGCTATAGTTCGCTTTCTAATAAATGTGTGGTATCTGAAAAAAATGATTACCTAAAGTATGTACTCCTTTAAAAAAAAAAGTTTTTAAAAACCTTTTTTCTATAAATCTTTGAAAACTGAAACATTCCATTATTAGTCTAGGAAACAGTATAATTTATTTTGACTTACTTTATGATATGTTTGGCTGAAATAGTTACAAATTGACATTCCCTGAGTATATCACCATAATTCTCCATGGTGATGGGGTTCATACTGAATACATGGAGGTTGCAACATGCTTCCTCAGGCGTGATGCCAAACTTTTGTAGTATCTGTAGTGTGCACTGCAAGCTGTCATGTGTTACTTCCATTATGTGCGGGTGCTTCTTTTGGAGGACTGTTAGGTGGTCCTCAGATATAGTTGTACCTGCATTAAATTGTGGTAAAAGTACCAGTTAGTTCAAAGGGACATTCAGAAAGATATTCATTATAATATTTATTCTATCATTATTATATTAAACCAATATCTGTCTAGAGTCCAACTAGTAAAAAAATAAAGTATTGTTATCTTACTAAAGATTTTACTAATAAACAACAGGTTATCTTCTAAAACTCTTTTATAAACTCTAAAAAAAATAAGTTTAGTTAACACTGTACCTGTAGTTTTCTTGTAAAAATCCAGAAAAGGTATGCCATGAGAGTACTGTCTACATTTAACTTGAGAAATGTTTGAAAAATGTATTCCTCCTCCACTTAGATATCTCAAATTTTTAATGCACAGCCTCATTTTTAAAATGTTTTAATTACTTCTCTTATTACCTATACGAGTAGTATACGTCATTTAATGGTATACAATCTACCTCATAGAATATTACACACTAGTTTTAGTGAGAAATTCTAAAATGTAAATAATAACAAACAGAACACACCATTATTATTGTTTGACAGTGACGTTTAAGAATCACATGTAAATGACATTAATAAACTCTTTACACGTATCGTGAAAGTATTATTATATTTTGTGAAGAATTAATCTGTCATAATTTAATATGTTTTAGCTTTAGGTAAAAGTTGATATAACGAATCTGAAAAATGGGGTATTTCATGTTAGAAGCAATACACTTCGCCACAGTTGTTTTATAAAACACCTATAACTGTGGGTAAAACGTAAAACGGAATGTTTATGTCAGTTACCTGTCAAAGTCAATCAAAGTGTCACCTTTTGGCCAACTGACTGATGAACTGTCAACCAAGTCAATTCAATAGGGCCGGGCAGAATACTGTAGTAATTTTTATAAAAATTACGAAATTTTATAAATTAAAAGGTATATCATAGTGCTAGTGAACGATAAATATTAAATAAGATGAATAGCTAGTTTAACTAATTGCCACATTGATTGAGTGACGCGCAGAGAGTTACAAAAACAAATGTGATCGTTGTCGTAGTAAATAATAATTTTGCTATAATTCCTTAAATAAACTCTTACAGATGGATTGGCAAGCAGCAAGAAGTCATTTTAAACAAACTTGGCTGACTACGCTGCTTAGTTTAATTTTATTTGCTGGGGTTACGTACTTTCTGTTGTGGACAGAGGTAAATTCCTTTGTTTGTTTGTTTTTCTTTTTATAAAAAATAACTCATCATAATTTTTTATTGCTTACAGTGTCAAACAATCCAGATTAACTTGATGCTTGAGGAACTGGTGTCAGCAGCTGAGACTATTGATGTTCATACCGGCGACGAAGCAGCGCGCTATGAAGGAAAGGTCGTGCATATAGTGGGACCTTTGAGAATACTCGAACCTATATCAGAACCCGACTATAACATACAAGTACAAGCTGTTAAACTACGGAAACGGGTGCAGATGTATCAATGGATTGAAGAATCTACGTAAGATTATAATAAATTAAACATTTTGAACCTGAATATATACCAATGCTTATTATCAAAGTTATATATACAGTATTTATATTTCTTATAGGAATCCTAAAACTTACTTGAGTATTATCTAGCTGGATGAAATAAGTAACTGGAAATCTTTTACCTTAAATGATAAAACAATTTATAAATTCATAGCCATGTATCAAAATTTAGTTTGTTGCATTGGCTTTCATAGATTGAAATATCATTTTGACTTATGTTCCAGTCTTTTAATATTCAATCTAAAATAAACCTTAATCCCCATATTTTAGGGATCAAGATAATTTTATTAGTGAACCTGCTGATGAGTCACGTAAAACGTACTGGTACCACAAAGACTGGCGAGACTATGTGGTGGATTCCTCACTGTTCTACATCAGACCGGGACATATAAATCCTGCCATTATGCCCATGAGCAGTGAAACACATATTGCTGATAATGTTAAAATTGGATGGGCGTATTTAGGTAATTATGATTAAATATTAAGTACATTTTAAGATTCATCATGGTACCATTATAATTAGTAATTCTTTTAATTAATCAGTAATAAGTACTTAGCATGATTCTCCTCAGAATTAATCATTTCAATCATGGATTCTAATAGCAACTTTTGATTGTTCTCATTTATTATTTTAATGTTCTTTGTATACAACTACCATAAGCCACAGTGTACTATAACTTAATTTTTATTTGTCACCTTCCAGGTATTGATATCAAACGGAAAGTCACAGATTATTACGAGATTTGGTCAGACTCTAGACCTGAGCGCAGTGATATCAAGCTTCACTCTGGTTTCTATTACCATGGAGAAAGTGCTTTGGAACACCAGATTGGAGATCTCCGTATTCACTTCTCTTATGCTGGCAGGGAGGATGATATTGTAAGTATTAACATAGTAAAAAATTTTGTTTGAGTGGAAATTAGATAATATAATTATTCTGGGACTGCCAGGCAAGTGGTGTGGACTTCCTTTTACCTGTGACTCGTTGCATAACTAGTTCAAACTGGTCTTTATATTATAATTCATAATTTTACTCAAATTCGAATTAATATCTATGCAACCAGTTAGTTTATTATTGCTACTAAACTAACTAAATAACTTATCTTTTCAGTACACAGCAGTGGGTCAAGTTGAAGGTGGTACTGTACAGGCTTACAGTCCAACAAGGTTTCCTACAGCGGACCCAATTTGTCTGCTCCGCAAAGGTTCTTACACTTTGAACCACCTCTTTGAACTAGAGAAGAGAGATGCAAATATACACACCTGGCAATACAGACTGTTTGGATTTGTTCAAGTCTTGGCTTCAGCAATGACATTACATCCTGATTGGGTGACAATATGTAAGTTAAATAAAGTAATTAAAGTCATAATTATTCGCCGCGTCTAGGCCAACGTAGTGTAGGGCGCCCTCCAGCTAGGTGGAGTGACGATATCCAAGGTGGTTGGTAGTGGTTGTATGCCATTGTTACCCTTGGATAGGCCTATGTCCAGCAGTGGACGAGAAAAGGCTGTTGCTGATTGTTGATGAATGTAATAATTCTGATCATATATAAGCTAAAACTAGAGAATTTAATGAGAACTATGTATGTAAAAATAAATGACGAATATGTATTTAATTACTATTTCAATGCAAAGTATCCTTCCCTTTACTATTTTAGTCACTGTGTCTTGTTTTCCATAAGGGTATTTGTTACATAACAAATATACAACATACATATGTATGTTGTATATGTTCATTAAGTTAAGCATTGTATTTCTTTTTCCAGTCTTACAAAGTACATGGGTATCAAGTAACTTTAGGAGGTGCTCAAGATTTTGGATAAATTTCGTACTCTCGTGCTCCTATACTTTATTCATCATTGCTTTGCCATGGTAAGTATTTAAACTGGTTAAGTAATATACAGTATTAAGTAATAGTAGTAGTCTTATGTGTGGGAGAGCCAAGCTTCAGAACGAATGGGCCGTCTCGACCGGAGTGATAGCACGGCCTTACAGAAGACCGACGTGAAACAACGCTTGCGTTGTGTTTCGTCATGTGAGTGAGGTTACCAGGGGCCCAATTGTCCCTCCCCCCCTTTCCCAATCCCTGAATCCCCAACAATCCTCTTTCTAATTTCGAAAGGGTGCCACACTTGAGCGTTGCAAGTGCGTGTTCTGGTGTTCCAGGTGTCCATGAGCGACGCCGATTGCTTACTGTGATCCGCCCACTCGTTTACCGGTTTATCCCATATAAAAGATAATAATGGCTTAGATGTCACATTTTAGTTTCAGAAGCTATCATTAACATTTTCTTTTCCATGCACTAAATATTTGATGAAAAGGAATGTTATTAGTTCTTATACCCTAGAAATTAAAACAAAATTAAGTGTAAAGTAGTAAAAAAAATGGTGGTTTAAACTTAATGTTGACTCTTGTTGCAGGTTGATCCACAAGCCGGCATTCGGAGCTATAGTGCTAGGATGTTCGATGTTGCCACTGCTGCACTACTCGACACTGATGACGCGACGCGACGCCACCCAGGACGCCGCGCAGTACACCAGGTGGATCAACACCGCTAACTGAAAGACCAATTGCCATGAACATGGAATTTACAAAGTGAGAGAGTATACCTAACTCAGTTCGTTGACCCGATAGTCACACGGCTCAATATTTATATTTTTATAAGTAGCGTTAAGTCCTAAATGAAATGTGTCCCGGCCCGCTTTTCTAGCTTAATACACTTTAAGAGAGATCCTGAAATCGTATAATTAACGTCAATAAGTGCAGTGGTCATAGTGGGGTGTAATTTTCCCGTCGTTTAGTCGGCAACTAAACGCGTATAATATGCGTTTCAGGTACCTTGCGTATAGGTACCTAAGTCCAAGTGGAAGATAGCTTCCACATGGACTATGAAAAGTTTCAAGTAAAATGTTTTTAGTAGAATATTAAATTAGTGCCAAATTGTGAATGGCGGATATTACTTTTATTTTGCCGATGACTAAAATGCTGTTTAGAGGAAAGAAAGAAATAAATTAACAACCAAATTACTTAGTGATATGAAAAAATATTGGCTGATTAAAAAAAATAAGATGATTTTTAAAAAAGGTTTTACAAAATAGTACAAATATGATGAGCTGCTTGTTTATTCTGCCAGAAAAATATCTTTTATAACATAACTATGGAGGTGATGTTAAAGTATAATTTTTAGTCACACTGAGGGTTCATATCTCGCATTGTCTAGTCTGAATAATAAATATAACCTATCATTAATTAGTTGTAGGTAGACTGACTGTACTTAAATTATATTGTAATTGTAACAAACAAAATGGAGACATTTCTTTAATGTTATATTAATTAATTTTATTATTATTATAAAATTCTACACTCTTCCGACTAATATACGCCTTCATAATGCGATATTGCTCCTTTAGCGAACACCACGAATGCGTACTCTGTGAATAAAAATCTCTAAAATATTTCGTGCAAATGTAAATTAAAAATGTCAAAAATATAGAATCTTTAAGCAATCCTTGAAATGTTGACGAATTAATTAATTGAAAATCGCAAATACTAAACTACTTACAATAAATACTTTTAGCTTTATCAATTTTTCACAAATTATTCATAATGTAATACTAATACTTTTTATGTTATAGGTGTAGGGAACCCATTAAAAATGTCACCAGCCAGAAAAAGTTACCTGTCGGTAAATACCTTTTTGTATCACTTTTATATATTTATTTCAAATGTTTTTTTAGTACAAATTAAATTATGTATGTTTTTATTTTTTTACACAGTAATTTGAAATAAAACTATCGTTATTGTTTACAACACTCTATATTTATTTTATCATTAAATGGTGTCTATTTAAAAATTATTAAGGTTTATTTATTCGAACTGTGATTTTTTACATTAATCTTTAGCACAAATTAGACGGTTACATTTCGTATTGGGTAAAATAAACTATAGTTTTTATGTAATAATTTTATTAATTTAGTACAGTATCATAAATTAGCACACTTATTAAAATACATACTGTAGATCATTTTATTCGTAACATGGCTACACGTCAAGTTATGGGGAACCAGTATAAACTGACTGTTGGATGCGTGAAAAGATCATACAAAGTGAGACCAGAGAAACTGGTTTTGTATAATTTGATGTGTACGATCGTACTCCACCATATCCCGTACAAGGTACACAAGTGAACCAATTACTGAGTAAGTGTAGTTTAAAGTTTTTACATTGTGAATAGATATAGGCAGTCTCTAATGTCAATGAAATTAAAATTAAAAACAGTAGTTGCAATAATATTCATAATTCACTCAATAAGCGTATTTATTATAGTACCTAAATCCTAACTTAAACGTAAAATTACAAAATGTAGAATCAATCCCTTGGTTGTGAGAACCGCTTGCGACTGCTGTTGTACCTATAAAATAATACTATTTTCAAAATAAACTCCTAACAAATACCTAAATTGTATCTTTTATTAAACCCCTAAGTAATAGTACAATTTTCTCACTCTTTTACTTAACGATTAGAAAAGGAAAGTCTTCTCAGCGTAAATATATATATTACAAGTTTAATTCCTAAGGCATCACATTTTGTAAGTACCTACCTTACCTACTATACATCTAAACCTGTGAGAAGAGTTATTTGATTCTTAGTTTCCACTCAAAACATCGTCGGCTACACCATCACTTAGCACACGACATCCTATTAAATTAAAAAAAGATTCTAATCAAAACAATTATCCATGTTTGTGAGAAGTTTTTACACGACAAACGTTCTGTTCCTCTCAAACCGGTGTACTGAATAAAATAAATAAGGCTTGGTGCGGCGTTTACAGCCGATTGTACGCACGCGCAGTGCGCACCTTATCAGCTGATCTCCCTCCGCCCCACGAATACAGATACTCCACAAGCAGTTCCCTAATATTGTTACGGTTGTGATATTTATATTCGAGGTTAATATCAGTTAATATAAAAGGTCATTTTTCTATAAAATCTATATTATGCTTAGTATTTTTAATATCTAGAGATTACAATCGGTAGTGTGAAGTTCTGTGTTGTAGTAAACATGAAAGCTGCAGCGATGTCGGTCTGGATATTCATTAATGTGCTATGCTTCGGAATGTGTGGCTACTTGTATTTAATCTGGTATCAGTATTGGATGTACGAAGAGAAGCAGCGAAATCTCACTAAATCGGATAATCCTCCGAAAACTATGATATCTGGCGTTAATTATGCGATGGAAAGAAATAATTCCAAGTTTCTATTGAATTCTACTTTAAGAATTGAGTTCCTTCGGAAAAATCGGAGGTCGGCAGTGGGGGGCTTTTGGAGTAGTGGTGGGTCACGGCAGATGTCGAACAAGACGTCGAGTTCTTACCACGTCCCGTCTAATAACATAGTGAGGAAGAGCAACGGCAGTCCCAGGTTCCCGAACATCGACCGACCCTTACTGGAGTTCGACAGTGATAAATACATTTGTAACGACGTCACTTCCTCGGACTGTGAAGAACGAACCGCAAAGTTCAAAGAGCTCTTGTTGAAAGAGTTTCATAGAGTGCTAATGGGAGAGAGTAAAGTTTTCACGTCAGGCTTAGATGTTCACAATACTTATGATGTTAAATATGACAGTAACAGTCCGAAGAAAAGTTCTAGAGAAGAAGTGATGTGCGCGTTGAAAAGTGTGGACGTACAGACAGTTACTGCTGATGACGAACCGTTTGCGAGACTCGGCTTCAAGATCCCGAGGGCACCCCTACAGGAGCAGAGTCATTACAACACTTGTGCTGTTGTTACAAGCGCTGGAGCGTTGCTGGGCTCTGACTTGGGAGAATTTATAGGTGAGGTGGTTCGACAATTTAAATAAAGTAGTTTAAGTATTAGAGGTATATAGGCACTAGGTATAGCTATTTTGATATCGTTGTTGACAGTTATGATATGAATAACGTGACGCTTTATTTTTTAACTCAAAACGGGTTCATTTCAGGGGCAACAAGGCTAGTAATTATAAAAAGGGACAGTCGTCTGGTCACGTTAGACATAAATAACGTCGGTTTTTAGAAATACCCAGGCAGGTGTTCTGAAAGTTTGTCATTAATAGCCTAACATAAAACAGGAAAGTTTTTCCCAACTGACATTCCCAAACATCTCATGTTAATAAAAATTATTCGAATTGAAACATCATACATTTATAATTAATGATTACCTACTGCACTTAGTTATTATTATGTGATGCCTCAATACTTTCAATCTTTTAAACTGCACGTGATTCATAGCGAACTTGCGTCGGCGCCTGTTGTGATGTGACGAGTGGGTATACTGAGACGCACAGATGGCTACTTAGTCGCTAGTCTGTTTACAGTTATCGCCCTAAATGTGCTAAGTGCAAAGTTTTATTATTCGTCATACCTATCTACCTCCACTACAACAATGCAGGGACCCGTAACAAGCTTCCCTAATGTTAAACTGTTATTTTCAGAAACTGAGGTAAGCTTTCCTTGATACTAGCTAGTTAAGCTAGGTTCAGGGAATCTGAGTTGATATTTTGATGAAGTCCAACTAAAAGCCTATTACAAGCAACTATCATGCGTATACGATATACCTAGTTTGAAATATCGCTACGTCCACAATTTTTTCCCTTAGAAGTTTAGACATTTTTTTAAACAAATTTATTTTGTGAAATTTTACATAGGCTTGTTCTTTAGGATTACCGTGTACGAAGTATTTATTATAATATTTATGCGACCGCGTGGTCATGATGGGCAGGTGATCGACCGCGTATTGTGCCACTTATCGCATCGGATCTTTGCTTTGTGAAACGCATTGACATGCGTAGTCGGGTCTCTTCGACGAACGGCCCAAATCGTATGCGAATTACACGAATTATTGTCGCTGGGACTCGGGACTACACTGATTACTCAGAGAAACCGATTAAATAACTACATTACTATGTCAGTAAGTACGCCTCGACCAATATGTATGGTAATGTTACGATGCAGGTGTCCACAGTGTATTTTAATTGTATTTTAAATGTGGGTACGTATCTCTATAGAATGCTCTATTTTATTTTATTTGATTAGGTGTTAATTATAGGTACCATACGCATACACTCTCATAGCCTACTTACTGTTTACTAAACTTAAAACATTTTTGTAAATGTTGATTGTCGATAGAATCACTCGTACCGGTACCTAAGTATCTACGTAATTAATTGTGCTTGTGCACCAAATACGTATTAATACTGACATAAGTAAGTATGTATATTTTATAGGTGGTTATTCTGTGGTACAGGCCGTATAACTAATTCAATTAATTATGACCAAATGTGTTTTACTGATAAAGTCAAGCCTAAACCACAGGTTCGGCTGTAATTATGGTGAGTGACCTAACATAGGTACAGTTTTATTGTAAAATACGATGTTCCTACCTAGGTATAATAAGTATGAGTATGTAGGCTGGGTGGGTAATTTTGTTAAGCTGTAGAGTCATTCATTAACCACTCAAAATAATTTATTGGTGGGTAGAAATTACGTTACCCGGAGTTGCGGACGACTTAGCAGGTTATTCGGAGTTCGGTTTGAAGCTGGGTTTGGCTTGGGAACGGGGTGGTCATAGGCAATATCTGATGCGCCCTCTCGTCTCTGCTAAGGCGGGAGAAGATATTGGATAATTTTCTCCTTCAAAAAAGGTGCAGAAAATTGTTATTTTTTCTTAAGTAGGGCTACCTAGCCCTACTAGGTTATCTCCTGTGTCGTTGGTGCATTTACAAACATACACAATTAACATACAAAGAGTTGTTCTATGCGGGAATAGAACCCGCAATACGTTGCGTGGCAGCCGGTTGCCCAGCCACTGCACGAACCGTGCAATCCAGTCAGTAAATACGTTAAGTAAGCATATCTCATTCTCAATTTATTCAGGCAACCCTAGAATGCTAGACTAGCTAATACTAAAGCACACTCATTAATACAACTTTGAACACGGTTTGAGTTATTCATGTGTCTATCTTCGTGTTACACAGAAACGCCTGGTTTGATATGCTGATTCCATTGCAGTTAACTATGATAGGTTTGTCAAGTGGCGCCGGCGCCGGTCTCTGTAGCATTCTTCTTTAATTCCAACGCGTGCGCACCGGAAAATTCAACAAGTCGCACATGAAACTTACAAAACATTGTTAATTTTTACTTTTTTTGTAAGAATAGGTGAATACTTACTCATAGATAGGTAACCCCAATCAAAAACTTCACCCACATCACGTTTAGTCATATTACTTACCTAGTTATATACAGACAAAAAGTTTTTTTGTGTGAAAAAATGTAACCAATTACGTACCTACCAACTAATGTCACGAACATTCATTCAAAAAAACCCATTGGTAGGCACTTATTTATGAATGTGTAAAATATATATACATTTATTTGATTCACCTGCCAATAGGTACCGACCACATACAAGTTCAAAGGCAAAGGTAAAAATTGATGATTCACAATAATGGCAACGAGTAATGTTATTATTTTATTGCATTTACATTAGTCACTACGTAACCACATGTCTTTGTCCTTTCTCGAAAATCTGCTGATAACTTTATAGCCCAGACGAGGAACAGACAATGACACATGCTTCCGACTGTGGAGACACGTGTAAGGACATCGCTTACTTATTGTTTATTCAGATTTTTCTTAAGTCATTAGCAACAATCAATCTACCACAATATACTTAAGTACTTATTTTATTGCATTTTAAGCTCATATAAATCTTTCTCAATACGAACATAATGTTCAATAAGTTGCGTTTTGCCTTATTTTTTAATAGGAAAAGACGCTTTACCTGCCTGTGTCTGACACGGTGAAGCTTACAAAATGTGTATGATTATTTTGTATAGCAGCATGCCAGCACAGTCTACCTACATTGAGGAACTATGCAAAAGCTTAGCCAAATGGGCTAGACGTTGTAAATAATGTAGATAGAACACTGAACGTAACAATAAACCAACTTATATGCTTAGCATACGTATATACTATGACACCTCATTGGACCCAACTGGACCCAACATTTTCTCGAAAGATACATAAGTAGGTATAGATAGGGATTATATTTTAAAATGTGAGGGAAAAGCGGAGAAAAAAATTATCAGTCAAAATATGCTACTTAGACAAGTATAGATACCTGGTACATATTATATTCAAAGGACAAAACACAAAGTACGAATTGCATTTCAAAGAAACATTTAAATAAAAGCGAGTGTAAGTACTAAATATAAAAGTAAATGACGCGTTTCCGAGGAACTTTTCTTAAGCACTTTGTCATGTTTGTGTTTTTGTATGAGTTCAACTTAAAATTCGCTTTCATATCGCTGTTCATCGGCCGCAGGCTGTGCCAAAGAAAGGGAGTGGTAGATGACATGAAAATGTATGGTGCCACACCCCTTTACTGCTCGGCTCGGCTCAAGATAAGTCCCACTTTGTTATTTTTCTTTGCCGTAATTGCTTAGGTGAGGAAGGCTGGCTTTATGCAGCGAAAGATTTGCTCTAATAAAATAATAATAATTAGAGACTCTTATAGGGATTAAAGACACACATACCTACGTCTCAGTTTTCTTAGAGCGATAGTATGTAGGTACTATATACTTACATAGGTATGTAAATAATATCTATGTAATAACACAGTTGTTTACCCACAACCGCGACTATCAACACTTACAGATCACGATTGTACATCGTAGGGTATCATACCAGCAATATCAAACAGAACAGTTATTTTCTTCAAAACTACACAGTACACAGGTGAAATGTTTTGATAACACGAAGCAATGAACCTATTTATCCGAAGGTATCTGAAGCCTTCCCCTATCTAACAGTCGGACAGATAAGTACATAAAAGCTAAGCCAAGATTTCGTTGAAGTTCTTAAGTTAAGGCTATCAAGGTACAAATCGTAACATCAGTATAATGGTTTATGTTTTGGTACTACGTAATCCGGCCATCTAATTTTTCTTTGTAATTTTTATGGCGGCTGTAAAGAAAGTACAAAACATAGAGCGCTTTGTGGTGTGATTTACATTGTATGTAAATGGTAAGAGTTTGGATGACAAAGTTACACTAATATTGACAAATAATATTGAAATAAGTAGATAAAGTACCTATTGACTAGTGCATTAATTGACTAATTTATCCTACTTACAATTTCAGTGTCATGTCTACACTGAATTTTCAGGGTGGACAAGTTACGGATTATGCTGCGTAGCATCACGATACCTTGATTTTTCTAATGATGTATGCTCGATTCCATCCCTATTAGGTTCTGAACTAATAACAGAATAGCATGCACATTTTTTACAAATTAAATACAAGGGAAAAAGGTTGTGTAAAGCTAGGTACCGTAAGTTGAGCATGAGCAAGGTTGTTTAGTTGTGTATATTGTTTATAAGGTGGCAATGAAAGAAAAGCTGTGCAGGATACGTGTGGTATTGTTCGCGTGGTGTCATCAACCCACACGTAAAGGGCGTGCATAATTCATGTTGTACCATTGTGCGCCTCCGACATACAATACGCCGGCAATAAGGAGCTTCCCGCGCTCCGCCGCCGCATTATATCGCGGCATTATATTGTAATGTACGCTCTAACGGTCCAGGGGAACGTTTACTTCATCCTTTCTTGGATAACCGAACATTTTATCCACAATACGTACCCTGTTACATTTAGAAAACTGTGAATATATCTAGCTTAAATTTCCAAATAATTATAATATAATAACAATTCAGTGGAATAGGGAGACACAATTAATGATGAATTAATGTAGGTAAATCAAAGTCTAAAACCCTAATGTTTGGAGCACAAAAGAAGCTCCGATGACTAACTTAATGTTTTGTGGTCTTACTTGCCTCTTTAATTTCCTTTATGTATCATCTTGTGGGAATTGTCTATATGGTTTAATTTATTATTTACTACGTTTACGTTGTACCTATAAAATTAATTACACATCTATAAATGCAGCATTTGCATTTAAATGTGAGTATAATAAAAAATGTTATGTGTTAAGTTAATCTAAGTAGCTAATTCAATCATACTGTATTCCTGACAGAAAGACAATCGCACTGTGTTTGTTCACACTACATACATTATTGAACAGTTTTATTTTTCATTATGCAGATTGTCCCGTCTCGACATTTTCTTTTACTCTGAAGCAGAAATATCTAAAGATGTATTGAAAATATTTAACAGATGTGCACGTATTTATATAAGTACGTACGTACAGTTTTGTTATATTACTTTTTTATAAATGTACTTTACTTACTTTAAAACATAATTAAATTATGTAGATATTATTTACCTACTCTTATTTGGGTGCGTGATTAATTCGCTATATGAGCAAAAATCTATTTTTGACATAATAGTAATAAATAATTGTTATTACGAATATTGGCTTATTCAAAACTTAAACTGAAGTAGATACAATTTAGCTCTAGTCACGTAGTCTCTTATATTTTTCGCTGACATAACTTGTAAGCATGAGAAGGGTATTTGTCGATAATAACATGGTCATAACTCAGTGGATGACATAAAAAATAAACGTTTACTTAATTATAGATAAATAAATAATAGATGTAATTACGAAGTATTTTTGTAGCAATCGAGTTGTTCGTTTCTATTGTTCTACTTTCTTACACCTATGGATGGACGTCAAAGGTTCAAGTGCACGCCGTTTTTCATGGGGTTAAAGATTGTATTCTGACGCAGGCTCACTCAAGAACATAGTTAATTATAGTAGTCATATTTATAAGTATTACTGAATTAGTTTCCGGGGCATCTAATATTGAGACTGAGTCTGACGGCATTTTTCATAGACTCATATGAAGGGACTGTTTTACAATGTTGTTGCTTGTAGCTGTGTGAATGTGTGTAAAACACGTTCAAATATCCGTCAGTTGGACTAACTAAAACTAAAAACTTGATTAAAGTAAATTCTTTTTAAATTACCTACTTAGAAAATGTAAATCAGAGAAAAATAAAGTTTAGTTTAGCAACTAGGTCAACAAACGACACGGGCGATCTCCGCTGTTGCAACTAAATTAATTTGTATTGCTTTTTGAAAGATGATACAAATGACTGTTTTCATACTAGCAATTTTAAAGCCTGCATTTCATTTGAGAACGTTTTGAACAAAATGTTTTGTAAAATATTTACAATGAGAAAAGATTTCTCTAATATATTGTCTTTGAACGTTTCAAAATTCATGAAATGGAGCGGAAACGCTCCACAAGGTCTGATAACATTTATAAATGTTAAGAATCAAACGTCGCAATAGTTATTGTATGAATTACTGGAGTCAAGGTTTTTACGAATTATAACAATTATGACAATGCTTTGTAGTCACGATTGGAAACATTTTTTCACCCAAACTATGCCTGTTTAAACTAGCAAAGCCTACGTAATTTTGTACTATTAAGCTAGGTAATGCGCATGACAGTATGATTAAATTATACCATAGGTATTATTAGTACTTTAGTCGTTACATTTGTATTTAAAAAGAGCTGACTCGTGTTTTGTTATACCTGAGTTAAATCATAAGCAAACTGCTGTACGGAGCCACGGAAGGCCTAACGGGTTGCCGAGGCTCCAGCTCAAAAAGCAGGAGTAGGAACGGAGTGGTTTTTAGTCAGTAAGAGTCTGACACTCCCTCCCGCCTCACCCAAAGCGGGAGAAGGCATTAGACGATATTTCCCCCTCAAAAAAAACAAGTTGCTGTACTACATATTTATGATATTTGGTTAACTTGTGATAAAATATAATTTAAGGTTTAAAAGTATGCATGCGTGTAATAGGTGCTAATGCAAAAGAACCGACGTCTTATAGAATTTTTACAACAACAAAAATCTAAAAATAACTCTTATATCATTACATACACACACTTGGAAAAGATTTCCCATACTTTATGGAGATGCGATCCGGAGGCAAGGCGAGTATGTCACAAACAAACTTATTTGTGTTGACAGATTCTCACGACATGGTATTGAGATTCAACAACGCGCCCACCGAGAATTATACCGAGAGTGTCGGCTCCAAGACCACTTTCAGAGTTCTTAATTCACAGGTAAACTTTTGTAATATTTATTTCAATTATGTACTTATCTACCGTCTCCGTGCGAGAAGTAGCCTTTTGTTAGCAGTGACTAGTTAGGTATAGGCTGTTGGTGTAATGTGATATACCTATTTACAAGCAGTTCCAGGGAGTTTTCGTATGTAAAATTCATCGTTTACTTCCTCAAAAGATTTCCTTAAAATTTTGCGAGCATGTGCATATCCACTGAAATCTAAGTTGGTAAAATTAGGTTTTTTTGGTAAAAAGCGTCATAATGAATCTAAATAGGTGCCACAATTCAAAAGAAACAATATTGTAGACGTAGGTACCAGTTTCAGCATTATTTATTAACATATAATGAAAAATAAATGGCATTCTATGTTTTAAGTACTAGAACAAACAGCCAATCAGACATTTTAATAAAAACTTTCATTTTGTACATAACTACATGTGAGTACAGCCACAGTGACGTGTTGTTTTAATTTTAAGGTGGTTGCAAAGCCAGAATTCAACTTCCTGGACGATCCATTGTACCGCAATGTGTCCATTCTCATCTGGGATCCGGCGAACTACACGTCGACATTAGAAGACTGGTACCATCATCCGGACTATCCACTTTTTCCTATTTATAAGACGTAAGTAACCAAGTTTTCCTATAGAAATAGTCGTATAGGAATACTCATACGTAATATTTACCACAGATAATATAAAAATCAATAGAGTTCCTCTTGTAACGACTAGAATATGGTTTATACGTAGTTGCAATGAAGTGACTTTTGAGGAAATACGCATGTAAGTATGTAGGTACTTACTGGTACTTTGATTTCCTGAAACTGATATCACAAGAACGCGCCGGTTTTCCCCTTTTTTTTTGGGGTAGACAAAAGTGTCATACGTTTACGGACCATATTTAGGTAGTCTACCTAATGCACATATTTTGACAAATAATTAGAGCCTAAACATATTTGTTAGTAGTATTTACCACGAATAATAAATAAATAAATCGATTTATTAATTATATTTTGTTTTTCCTAGTCCGTAATTAAGCTCAGACTATATTCTCATAGATTTATTTAGGGCTTCTGTATTAGCAGATGTAATGATCGTACGAGTGTTTATTTACGACATTATTTTCTTAAGTTCATTGCACATTTAATTGAAGTGTTTTATTTGTCATGTTTCAATTCGTGATTATTCTAAATTGTAATTACAGATGTTTTCTGTTCTAATATTTATTGCTTTCAGGTTACTTGACCGATATAAGAACGCAGATGTACATTTGTTAAATCCCCAAGTTCTATGGGCACTATGGTCAGTGCTACAAGGCACATCCCCATACCGTTTACGGAGAAACCCACCATCGTCAGGATTTATAGGTGACGTTTATAACAATTATATTGTTTTATTAAAGTGAACATTTCAAAACGAGTATTAAAGAGTACGTTATTCATCCTAACATAAATTGTAAAAATTAATGTACTTAACAATATTTTTTCAAATTGAAAAATTCAGTCTGTCATAAAAGTTAATTTGCATCCTGCAAATAAGGTTTTATTTTTCTTTGACATTAGAATACTGTCTGATTATCATGATAAAAAAAATAGTAAGAATACCATATAACTAAAAAAGAAGGTAATAAAAAACAAAACTATAATGACCTCTCAAACTTTTTTCTCCACAAATAGCCAGTGCCCAATTATAAAAGAAGTAAGTACTTAGCAAATAGTTCTGTTATCATTACAATGACTATAGAACACTAGCTGATTTTGAAAAAAAAATAAGGACACCATTTATATAGCAAAAGAAGATAATAAAAAATAAAAGTTAATGGCTATCATAATTTTTATCTCCGCATACAGCCAGTGTGTCATTAGAAAAATATAAAAAAAAGAGTTTCTATATTCGAAATACTATGATTTTGTGTGAGCATCTAGTAAAAATAATTTTGTTATCTATTCTATACATATAATAAAATTGTAGAAAAGTGCTGTCTGTACATTGAAAATACAAATAAAAAAAATAGCAGGGGTTATTGTTATGTCGATGTCGAACCCAAAAATGTAATTAACTTTTTTTTTGTCTGTTTGTCTGTTTGTCTGTTCACGCTAATCTCAGAAACGGCTGATCCGAGTTGGATGCGGTTTTCACGAATATATTGTGGTATGCTTCAGTTATGCTTTAGTGTTTGTTTCATGTCAATCGGTTCATAAATAAAAAAGTTATGTCAAATTAAAGAATCACGTCGAACACTATTCTATGCTTATACATACAAAATGACTGTGATTATGATCCAAAATAAAAATAAGTATATATTAAAAAAAAACGCTGCTCATAGTCACTATTTCACGCGAACGAAGTCGCGGGCACAGCTAGTAATGAAATATTTGTGGGTAAACGTATGTATATCCTATACCATGTTTTGGTGTATTTAAAACTGTTTATCATAATTAAATAAACTAAACCATTAGTACTTTGCTAATAGTTTGCTTCAATGTACTTTCAGGTCTTTGGTTTGCGTTGCACCGTTGTAAGCGCGTGCGCATGTTTGAATACGTGCCGTCTGCGCGTGCGACGCGCCGGTGCCACTACCACGCGCCGGCGCACGACGCCGCCTGTACCCTCGGCGCCTGGCACCCACTGGCACATGAGAAGACCCTTGCTGAGCGTCTACGAGATAACAAAGACGTTCAAGTCTTTCAACAAGGAATCATTGATATTCCTGGCTTCAGAACCATCACTTGTCATTAAACCCTGTTCACTATAATCATCATGTCATTATTAAAGTGGCCAAAGTAGGTAATGTAATAAACCTGTATTGTACGTAGTAATATTAGGTGATAGTTCCTTATGATGCGAATGCCGGGAAAGGGGTCTCCGGTTCGATTCCCGGGTCGGGCAAAGTATTTCTGTTTTTTTTTTTTAATTCTCAGTAGTAGCACGGAGTCTAGAATTGTGCCCGGTATATGGCAATATGCTCACCCCCTATTACATGGAACTCATAACATAAATAGTGAAAAGTCGGTGTTGTATTGTACAGTGGCATAATGTACACATCTGCCTACCCCTTCGGGAATGAAAGACGTGATGTTATGTTATTTATTACTAAAACAAGCTTTATAAAAATATAACCAAATCGTTTATTAGACAGTCATATTGATTGTCATGAACTCCTAGATACTCACAGGAAAATCAGCGAAAGTTAATATTAACATTGGAAAAGAATTGCACCATTATTCTATCGTTGTGATACACTATTGTGGTTAGTCTCAAAGACCTGTCTGTCTGATCGGATAAAGCCTAAAAGTGTCTAATGAAAGTTCTAGAAACTGATTTTTACACAGTATAGAACCTACTCAAAATTATAGAATACCTACTAAAAGAATAATAGGTAACTAAAACCAGACATGTTATAGAGACTGACCGCTAAACGTTATGGGCAGCGTTAGGTGGCAGTACTAGTCCACAATAATGTAGGTACAATGATAATGTGACTATGTGTACCTACCTACATAGACAATCTATTTAGTTATGCCTGTAACGAATTGCTTTGTTTTGTTGTTGAATTATTAAGCTAGCCTATGGTAATCATTATAATGGGATTCTTCTTCATTAAATAATAACAACAACAAAGTCTAAATTGAATACATAATCTCTTGTCAAATCGATAAAATGCGTCACGCCCGAGTATTGAAAGGCTACTCAATTTTAAGTCACGCGTAGGTAACCTATAGTTCTGTCACTCGGAGCCGCGGAGAACTTAACGGGTAATCGGGGCTCCGGCTCGAAGTGCAGGAGTAGGAACGGGGTGGTTTTTAGTCAGTAAGGTTCTGACACCCACCTCACCCAGGCGGGAGAAGTCATTCGAAGACTTTCCCAAAAAAATAGTTGTGTCACTACAAATACTTTGTAAAATGACAAAGATGGCACAATATTTAAGTAGAATTTAAAATTGAAACCTTTCAGTATTCGGGCGTCAGATGTTTATTTGAAAACAAGTATAGAGGTATTAACTTTAAAATATAATTGTTATCTAATAAAAAGTTCAAAATGAAATGTCTTCCTTTTATAAAATAGTGAAATGTATAAAAAGCCTTACATAAATAGAAGGTAGTGGAAAATTTTGTACATCGATAAAAAACTGCATTGCATTGTACCATTTTAGAGTCGTAAGTATAGATATGGCATATTATGTTTGCGTAATCGAATTAGCTCAACCAACAGATTTACTTAAGAATTATTCTTTCCTTAATGTATTTTTAGTTATTAAACACTTTTTATAGAGTAATGCATAATAATTATTCTATAATATTATCTACTTAATAATGCGATAATATAGGTACACACAATATGCGTAATATGTAAACAATTTACAACAATACTTAGATGTGATTGTGGACGAAATAAACCAATTTGTACTCGTGATAATATGTAGTTTTATTAATGTTTAATAATCTTTTTTTAAATTTTTGTCTTTACAAAAAAACATACCATTAATATAGGTTTACATTAATGATGGCTGATGATGAACAAAACAAAATAAGAATTATTAAAATGTATGTAAGTTGTAGATCTTTCCCACTTAGATGATGACCTGGAAATTGTCCAAAGTAATGGACAGCTTCGGTCAAAATTTAAATCTAGTTTAAGTATGCGTGACTTCAGGAAGTAAATATGTAATTCATATAGCTGTTTTATGTGATTCAGGTAAGGTCAAATCGACCATGAAGTGCCCTTGTCCATCTTGTATTTTTAGCGATTTGCTAGCGTACGGAGCGGGCAGCGGGTGCCACCGGAATACTGATGGGTGGCTCGCTGCCTCCTGATTAGTGATTCAGTGTGAGCGCGCGGAATTAGCGCGCCATGTCCGAGATGCGGACCAGGCAAACGCACCTTGTGTAAGCAAAGTTCCAACGGCCTTGCTCTGCCGGGGTTTCGGAACCGCCGGCTACTACTACAACACTCCGTGCACTAGGCCGCTGGTCAGCGGTTCAGTGCACTGCATGCACAAATGACCGAAAGGATCAATGAACGACATACAACAACAATATTGACACTAATCGGTCATTGAGCGTCTGTCAACGGTTTTATGTAGAGCGCGTGGCGCGGCACCGAGCTTGTCTAGCGCTTCCTACTTCGTTGTTCATCTCCGTCAAATTGTACAAAGCCCGCAAACTACAAGTCATGAATCTTAAGCAATTTGTAATTACTGTGTTTATATTCCACACACTTTAGCCCCAAATACCGGACATTTTAGTAATGAGCACATGATGGGCATTATGGTGCATAGTTTGATTACAATGAAGTTGAGCGGAACTTATTTTCCTCGAGCATTGTACTTTGACACTGGATGTCGATGTCGGCAGCCTTCTGTCCGTTAGGTCATTGCCTCCGAACAATTCGCAGAATAGTGCAACAAGTGTGCGGGCGGCGCAGTGAGTGTTAATGCGATGCATCCCTGCTGCACTAAGGCACTAGGTATTCCGTAAACATATGAAGGTAATGCTGTCAGTGTACTAGGAAGCGCTGGATGTGTGCCTAGTACACCCTAGCACTGGCCGCCGTCCAGCAATAGCGCATACCTCTACTATTCAAGCTCCATAACATTTGTTTACACAATTTGCTTACTTGATGTGATTACATGTATCTGGGATGATCCAATACATTTCTATAAGAGTATCCCGTGAGTTCTCTGTATTTGTGATTGCTATTAGTTTCGGCTAATCCTCGTGTTTTTAACGAGGTTGTTCCCAGAATATGCGATCTCCATTATCGAAGATCTGCGACTGAGAACCGGTCCATTTCACCGTTAGTACTATGTTTACCGGTGACTCATGCGCTGTTAGTGAATGACATTTTGTCCTTACTTCTATATTCTATGACTAGTAATATCTAATGTTTATTCCAGATAGGAACGAAATAATTCGTTTGAAAAATCTCTGATTAACGGACGAAAACAGTTTCATGCATAATGTATGCATGTACCTGCTACTGCAAAATGATGCGTAATGTAGGTACGTACTATGTATATGCTGACAAGTAGGCGCCTACCTATTTGATTATCTTAACAATAACACTATGTATGTATTTCCCCGTTGCATGGCGTAGTAGCCGTACCCAGTCTTCATCAGTTATATATATTGTAAGTTTCTTATATTGGACGATTGAATAGGTGCGTATTTTGTCTGAAAACCGACAAAAAATTAAAACCGAAGCGAGACGACATTTTCAAAAGGTATGTTTTTGAAAATTTTGTCCATCTCGACAATATTTTTTCAACATAAAAATATCTTCTATGTAGAAGATTTTTATGTCTTAGGTATAAAAATGCTTACGAGCTAGTAATATAGTCATAAGCTGAGGAAGTATGACTAATTATAATAACGTATAGTGCACAGGTGCATCGTGTACTTAGACTAAGCGCTGAGTGTGCCCTTGGCGACCAGTAAAGGTTTCGAAGCTTTGTTTTACCGGCGAGGGCGACATATGCATCTCATAATAAATTTTATTTACATTAGGTATGGTCAGTAAACGAAAGAAAATTTAACTAAAATAACGAGTTACTTGCATAAATATATTGAGAAAAGTTCTCCTAGTTTCGAGCCACAGAGGGACCCTTACGCCTGAGTAGAAACTAGTAGAGCTTTTTTCAGTATATTTACGTAAGTAACTTGTAATTTTTAGTTAATTCAGTGTCTCACTTTTGAAGACTTAGTTTTGTGCTGTGACGATATTTAAGAGTTGACTATCAGAATTAATTCTAAATAGTCCTGTAAAATATGGTCTGTAATTGGGTCGTGAATCATCCGGTGCGTTTGCTCTGAATCATCTCATTTTTAGGTGGTCAAGTTTGCATTGACGCACGAGACTTTGTTATGTTCAATTAAATTCTATAATATCTGCAGCAGTTGTGTGGCGATTTTGTGGGACAACTTGACAGTCACTTCGGTTCTAGTTAAATACAAACCACAAACCCCATATGCTTAAGAGTACTTAGAGGAAGGAAATTCATTTTGTAAAATATTATAGAATATGGGTCATTAGAGTAAGATGATGCGGAAATGATTGTTTCAACGGTTTGCGGTTATATATGTTGTAGAATCCTCGCTTTGGTCGTCGACTATTGATTAAACAACTTATCCATGACGAGATATACATAAATGTAAAGAACATATTTAAATATTGAATGAGGGTGATTTTATAAATCTTATCATGACCTTTAAAGTCACCGCAAAAACAGAAGCAATACATGATTTTTGAACACCTACTCTACTATTCAGTATATCATATTCCAATTAAACATAATCCTTTATCGTCGACGTTTTTCCCCGATTCATTTGTATATTAATAAATATTGTGAATTAAAATAGCCAATTAATCATGATGGTCGCGTCGACACACAATTATGTCACGAGACTTACGTAATACTGGAATGTGGATTTACAAGAACTAACTCGTTTTACTACTTTAAAGTTTTAGCCTCTAAACTTGTAAATAAAAAATGTAAGGTTGTCATCAAGTTATTCTTAATACAAAATATGCAAAATCTTTTATTAAACTATATACGGAATATCGTCTTTCGTTCCAAGAAAATGTAGACAGAAATGTATCAGTGATACACCCACTTCTCCGCCATTACCTTGTTATGTCATCTAAGTATACTCGGAAACTGTTCTCAGAAATTAAGAAACTAGTGAATATTGTCAGATAAAATGCCGATCTTTTAATTTTAATTCAGTCTCAATGTCCAC